AGAAAACGAAGTATTTGAACGTATGATAAACGGTTCAACAGACTGGTCGAAATGCGCCTCCCTCCCTTATGTTCACGTGTTAGGATTAAATTAGTTTGTCTGCTCCATCCCTTAGATTAAAAGATAAGATTCCCATAATTACCTCAGAGGGTAGTTTAGCCACACAACTATAAACAAACAAGAAAATCACTGCGTTTGTATAAACACTCATTATCGTGACGTCGCGAGGGTGAAGGCACGATAGTGAAACGAACGTCTTGGGGGTAAGTTAAGGTTGTGACTGCAGATTTGTACCGTGTTATATTTGTTGCGTGATCAATTTTCCCCTGCTGCCTCAGTTCTGCGATCAATTTAGAAATTTTACTGGAAACTGCCGGGGGCGGATTTTCGCTGGGGGATAAAAATGGCGTGTGTTGGTCGCGTATGGAAATACACGGAATTTTATTGTATTCTTGGAAGTCACAGCATGGTTCATGTGACTAAATGAGTGATGGATTTTCTTGGTCTTTTTTAAAAGTTCATGGGACCTTGGCCTTGAGTATGAAGGCGGATTCTTTATATTTTCTGATTTGAGAGTACAATATATAATCTTATATTCAGAGGGCGGTTATACGAGGTATAGGGTTGTAAATGTTAAGTCTTAGTATTAGTCAACGGTAACAACGAAAAAGTTAAATGATCAAAGTATCATGTATAATGTGCTCATAATTCGAAATAACTTGGCAATTCTCTGAATATTTGTTCAATTAGATTGACCAAGTACTTATGACTCATTTATATAAAACAAACACGGACTGACAAACCGACATAAATGAGAAACACCGACTTGTGTGATGCAGATATCTTTAAGCAAAAGAAAATTTGTGAACCGAAGTTCGAATATTATCACCAGTTTGATACGTCGTTTAGGTAGTCGTAGATTTATAAAATTGATACATAGGCGGCGTATTCAGCGCCTCCAATTACGTTAAGTGTACTAAGTTTCATTCCTTTGTAAGTACGAGAGACGAAAGTGGAAATTTTGCCTTACAAAGCCGTATCATTATTTTGATATTTCCTACGAGAGATTTTTCAAAAACTCGTGCGTATTTGTGATTTGAAGAAAAATGCATTTCCTGGGTTCATCGGGTACGTAACTTCCGAGATCGATGCCATTTTGCTCCTAAGGCCAAACAATCATTTTGTACCTTGAAATAAACCTCACAAAACTTTACGATCATATTCGTATTCAACGGCCCAAATTACGTAAATGTACAACTTGTAACAACGTACAGCAGCCGCCCTACAGCCCAGATGTGCCCCCCCCCCCCGGACTTTTTTTTTTTTCCTCGCCTGAAAAGGCCGATGAAAGGCAAGCATTTTGAGATGACAGAGGGGATCCAAGCAGCATGCACCGCGGCTCTCAAGGCTATTCCGGAGAATGCTTGGAAATCGCGCTGGCAGCGCTGCATCGACGCAGAAGGAGCCTATTTTGAAAGTTTTTAAAGAATTGTAACGATTGGCTCAATAATTTTTTTTTAAATTGACTCACTCCTATTACTTTCCGGACAAACCCTGTATACCATAGTACTATCGGAGATCTATGAGATAAGTAACTACTTGTCCACATGCATGCCATAGTTGTGAAGTTTGGACAAATAGTATCGAATGGGTAACCCGATCCAACGATTTAGAAAAATTTAAATAAATAGAGTCCACCTGCTGGCCTTGCTCGATTGAATTGCAAAATTAAATTAAACAATGTATATAGGATAACTCACCTTTACTCTGCTGCATTGTCTTGGCCTTCGCTACATCGAACGGCCCCTGGGTTGTAATATTCTGTCACAGTTTCCTCGATTACTTGGGCTGTACAGGTATCGTCCAGTTTCATGAGCAATAGCAAATTCTTTCAGCATTATTTTTTTACCACTTAAAACGTACCAATAAGTATGGGTCAGTTACTTAAAGTGATGCATCGTAAATCAGATATCACAGATTTGACGTAGGATTCACGCATTCACCATTTCCAGAAAAATATCATATTCACAATTTTCCATGTGGACGTTTATTCTATTGATTTATCTTGAAACTGACCCTGGTTAGTCCTAGGAACGGTCTGAATGAAAGGCCTTGAAGTACCTTGAGGGACTCACTGTCAATATGGAATATAAGTATCCGTCCTGCACCGTCTGATAACCTCTTCAATATATTCCATTTTTCCGTATTAAGACCCTTATTTTGGGATTTCAAGAGCTGAAGGATGTTGCTTTCGTCCATTTCATTCAACGCCTTAGGAAGAGACGCTGCAACCCTTATTAAGCCTTTTATCTCGGAAGGACGTCCCACTTTCAGGCTAGCCCTTGGCCATAGTCTGAAATGAGGAATGGTTTCGTAAAGCCAGGTTACAGAAGAGTCGTTTGCAACTGTAAACCAAACAACGTTTTCTTCTATGTAAACGCCCTTAAACTTTGGCCCTTTTCCATTTTCACATTTCAAAATTTCGTACAACAGGTTATTTTCGATCAGTTCGCATTGTTGATCTGTCAACATAGTCGATGGATGATCTGAATGTGCTACTCCCATTGTTATCGTTACCTCTGCTTCATCTAACCTGAATCTACTGTTTTGAGCTAGAGTTGGAGGGTCCCTTAAATCTGATACACTACTAGTTGTTGTGTGTATTGTGTTAAAGAAAGACCGCATTCGGGTCGAACTCGAAGATGTTACTGTAGCCTCAGGTCTCCTAGACTGGTTCATAGATCTATAGGCAGGTGATACCCATTTGTAAGGGTTCCCTTTAGAACTTGTAAAACGCCTTTTATTCTCTTCTTGAAACCTGATCCCAACATCATCTTGATTGTATCGACCATACGCATTCAGGTTTGCCCTTATTTCTGCAGGTGTAAGAATGGGACAACCCTGCGACATTGATTCGTGCATAAGATGCTTCTTTTTCTGCGCGTGCGTTAGTTTCTTCTTTGGCGGTGGTGGTTCGAGAAATGTATGGTCTCTTTTCTGGCCATTTTGGCTAGTTGTTCCTTCAGCTTCGAGAGCCGTCCTAGCGGCTTGTTTTCTTTGTAAAATCTTTCTAACCAGCTCATCTTCTTCTGCATTATTAATTTGATGGTATTCCATATTTGTTCCCACGAGTATGGGGGAAATAATCTGTCAACATCCGCGGTGCCCCCTGCACGGATGCAAGGCTAAGTACTTCGAGAGGTCGCCTGGTATCTCGAAGGCTCCGTTTGAGACGGTACTACCCTACCGCCACGCACTCCTCGGCACGGGTCGCGTGGACACCTTGAGTTGGGCTTTTTCCAAACACGTAAAAACCAGGTTGCCGTCACATATAGATGGCCATGCTTATAGCTAGAAACTTCAATATAGCAGCACCTCCAATCACAACCAACTTTGATTTGAATATTGGTCGCACATCACGTTGTCAATCGATACGATGTTTCTAGGTTACTCGACGTCACAGAAATTGTCGTGATTATTGTCATAACCTGGTTTTTACACCTTTGGGTTCCCTCCTCCTTTCTCAACCGGGCTTGGGACCGGCTATGGCGGAGTTACTAGCATTTGGTAGGGGAAACCAAAAAAAAAATACAAATATTCAAATACGGGGGTTTTATTATAGTAATACAGTAAATAATACGAAAAAAAAGGTGCTAATACAAAAATAATACAATTTGATTCGAAATATTTTTCTAATACTACTTACAATACTGAAAATTAAGCGGTTTTTCCTAGTAGAAGGTACAGAACAAATAACTATTTGCAAAGAAATCCATTTTCTTTTAAGTAAGTTGATTTAGATGTGAGAATTACAAAACAATCGCTAGCTGTTCATCAGTGAATCGGCATACTTTGTATTATATTGTACTGTGACAATCTGTCTATTTTCACATTTATATGGGGTTAGATACAGTAGATAGCCAGAAAGTATAAAAATATACTTTCCGGCTGTTTCATTTTATTTGAAGCATAGTTGTTTCTGATCATAATCATAACGTTTACACCCCGTAGAACGGATGATTTATCGATTTTCCGATATTAACGATATCACTTCGATTTATCACAAAAAGGCTATCAACAGATCAACAAACATGATCCAAATACTGTAAAAATATAAGTTGCGCCATTTCTCGAATATTCCGATTTCATCTGTAGAGGAATCCATAAGCACTCCCAAAAATATAAGGTGTAGCACAGTTGTTATAGAAAATAATATCTGTAAAGTCCTAGAGCGTATATCGTTTCTTTTATATCTGTGACAACATACTCTGGTACAGGGATATACTCTCACGCACACGTTGAATGCTTTAGAAACGAAATCTCTTAAAGCATACTGTAAGTAAGAGAATACACCTAGACTGAGTAACACGACTGAAACCTTCGGTTCAAATCCGTGCAAGAATGATGATATGGCGAAAGTCAGCAATATGGCGGGAAATCGGCCTAGGGGTAACCAAGCCCTGTAGACATCTGTTGTAAAAAAGCAAAAAATTAGCGTCTTTTATTAAACAAGGAAGTATTGCAATCGCGAGGAATTTCGAAAATGAAATATCATTTTTTTCAAATTTGATGTTGAATGACTTATACATCACTAGAACTCTAAAAGAACCGCTCGAATTTTAAAGAAACTTTGAAATATGGTTTCTCTGGTAAACTATGAAGCATGCATCCGGAAGACAAAAAAATTGTAGGATTGGAAATCAGTCCAGTGACGGCGGTGCTACGAGCAAAAAAAGGAAAAAATGGTGGACTCTGTACTTCCCGCGAAGTTCTGGATAAATGAATTTTGTATAAATATGCTTCATGTATCAGTATCAACTTAAAAACAAATACCTCGAAAACTATTAGCTTCTAACAACTAAACCTTTTTTGAAATTCGAGAAAATAAGATTTCTTAGTCAGTTGTTGTATACAGGGTAGCACAAACAAGTTATCATAAGTTATTTATCAAAATAGTGCTGTTAGTGGCGCCCTCTAGAAAGTTGGATATATATATATAAACATAATGAACCGATGACGCCATTTTTAATAGCAACCAAATAAAGCAATTGTGTCAATCGTAAATTTTGAAATTTGGTTAATAGACATTGTCATACTTACATTTTTTGAGGAAATCGTGCATAGGTTTGTTCCAATAAGTAACAACGATTGCTAATGCAGTTGGGAACTCGATTTTGATCGGGTCAGTAACAATGTACCTCCATTCATGGTCATTTTTCCAAATTTTCGAATTTTTGAATCCAGCAGCTAGCATAGATGCTTCAGATAGGAAAGAAATAAAGTAATGGCTATTTCGGAATGATAAAGCTTCCCTGTATGATACTAGCAGTAGATTGGATTCATCAGAAATCAGGTATGTGGCAAAGCAGTTTGAGATAATAAGAAATAATAGTGATATGAATACTTGCTTGATGGTACTAAGTACCCATAAGATATTCTGAAAAAGAAACTTTTATTTGTATACAGGTCTAGTGGAGGAATATATGGAATCATACTTTTTTTGTTGGCTGTCGATATAAATGCATATAGTCCTGAAACGATATCCATGGACCAAAGAGTATATTGGCACTGGAAAATATATATCCAAAAAAGTTTGTAAAAGAAGGTAATATGATTGATTCCCTCTCAATGTCATCCACTAGTGATATCATCTTCATAGAAAAAATCATAACAATCCCCCTTATTTCCATCCATGTTTCTTGGTCTAAGAATTTATGCTGACTAAAAAAAATAATTATAAAAACGTATTTTGGGGTGACAAAAGTTTATTATATTTTCTGGAAAATGATTTGGCACTTACCATAATATTGAGAAAGCAATAAGTGCACATTTCACAAGATTTGAGCTACTCAAATATGGATATAGCATTGGTCGTATGAACCTTTGAATAATCACAGTAAATTTGATGCAAATATACGACAACCCAAATAATAGCAGTATCATTACTTTCCCTTGAGCTGAAGATAGTGTTAGTACCAGATAGATACCACATATTCCTGATAAACTATGGAACAGCTGTTGAGGCAGTTTATCTGAAACTATATCATCTTTTTTACAGGGTGGCGCATCGAAAACGAATAATATTACTTACAAACAGATGTCAGAACTCCAAAACATAGATTGGTGCATATCAGTCTTGATAATATTGGGAGAATGCTTTGAATTGAAAGTAGTGCACAGTTTACCAGTACATCAAAAAATGTTTCTTCATCATAATTAATCGCATCTGGATTATAATATTTGTCAATATAGAGATCATAGTCATATCTGAAGAAAAAAATACAGAACAGATGTTACGTACATCCTACAAAGCATGCATTTTTAATGGAAAATCGGCTACTAATATGCTGGCATAATACTATGTGAGTTCTCCTAATTCATTGTATACCTTTGACAACTTTAGCAAGTTTTTATTCGTCTATTTTCATAAATGAAATCTGAAAGCCACCTCAACTCTTTTGGAAAATAAAGCTGCAGCATCTATTAATTTTATATTAATACAAGGATACAACAACCCCATACATTGCACTTTTGACAAAATCTACATAACATAGAAAATTATAAAAGAAATATAGCACTCATCGTATGCCCATATTTTGATCTAATGATACTTACTCATCGATATTCATCTTCTATCTTTCGGTTGAGATCTGAGCATTACATTCTTGAAAATAGACTAGTTTCACACTATTTTCCTACACAAAAAATCTAACCTAACCTAAAATCATGTAATTTTCCTAAAAATATACTGAATAGTTTGTATCCTCACAACACAAAAAGTACATTGACAACATAAAATGCCATACTTGTCACTTGTCCATTGCTTGAGGGTGCACCATGGTTGTCATATTGTGCACGTTTCACCACCCTGGAACTGAAAATGTCAGATCCACAAAACATACACACTGAAAAAGATTTAGTCACGTGATATCCATAGGGCAACACTGTTGACTTATGTCAGTGTCAATCGCCATTTTTTCTAGATGCCACATAGTTGCCTTGCCTGATTGTGCATGACGCCGCATGCGACGTTACCGGCTCCTTGCATAAATCTGATACTGTGTATAATTTTATAATGTTTAGTTCTAATAATTCCATTGATGCTCTCGCTGTGTGAGCTGTGGCACCGTCTTGTTGGAACCACAGCTCTCCCATGTTTACTTGTTGCCGTTGAAGTTCGGGTAACAGAAAATTTTGTAACATGTGAACATAACGTGCTGAAGTAACTGTTACTGCTCTTTCTTCCTCTTCAACAAAGTAAGGACCAACGATACCTAATTTACTGATTCCGCACCACACAGTTAATTTTTGACTATGCAAGGGTCGTTGGTGTAGCTTTCGTGGATTTTCGGCCGCCCAATACCTACAGTTCTGCTTGTTTACATATCCTGTTAAATGGAAGTGTGCTTCGTCACTCATCATTATGACGACGTCAGGATCGTCAGCAAAAATGGCCCGCATTCTCGCACAAAATTCTCTACGCTGTGCAAAATCGCTTTCCGTTAGCTCTTGCACGATCATTATCTTGTACGGATGATATTGTAAATCGTCATGCAGAATGCGTTGTAACGACCGACGGGACACACGCAGAAATGGAAGACTTTCTGTGTTATCAACATATTTTGCTGTTTTGACAAATAGGTATTCACTTCCTTGTTAAAGCAAAAGCTTAACACAGCCTATTATAAAATCATCCTGGGTGTCCAATAAGTACCACGACAAACTTAAGGAGAAGGTAGGCTTTGGACTGACCTCCGAAATAACAAAAACTTACCTATATAAAAATGTCACCGTTTTTGAAAAACGAATTTTTCATCTGTGGTCTTTAGCTGCATGTACGAATGTGGTTATACTTTGTTCATTTTTTTTACGATTGCAAAGACTATCTGCGACTGCTAGCATGATACGTGGCAACACCGGCTGCTGCAGAACACTAAAACCTCTTTAGCGATGGTAGCTGATGTTATGTGACGTCATCACGCAGTCTCACGCTCCAAAAAGATAACTCTTCAATCCAGAAACTTCTGGATACCGTAACTTTGTCATTTTTTATATTAAAAAATGTTTTCAGTGCTACTCTTCACTCTCAGACTACCATTTTAAGGGTGTTTCAAGAATAGGAAACTTATTCATCCTCAAGGTCGCGCTAAATATTGCGAATCTTGAGAAAAAAATGGAAAAAAACAAGCATTCAATTTACCTATTTCCATTTATTTAAAGCAATTGACCAGTTTATATGAAAAACGTATAAACTTACAGATATCAAAGGTATGAACACCTTTTAATACTTAATATATAAGTTTTTACACTCACAGTGTATGATTAGTTAGGAATGGCACTTAGTTCGGTATTGCATAGAGCCAAATTCTTTTAGAAAAAACAATTTACGGTAAAAAAAAACATTATACAAAAATGAATGTTTTAATCCTATCTCAATAAAAATAAGTCTCTTTATTGTTTTGGAATGTCAGTTCACAGAAAATGCAGATGGAATTTGATTAAATCGCTTTAAAATAAGTATCATACATCATGCGGTAGGCTGTAACGTAAAGCCCGCCACTCACGATCCAACGCCGCAGTACGATTTGACACATTTTAATAATATTTGTCGGTCTACGCATATTTATAAAAATGGCTTACAATGAGGATTTTTGAATTATAAAAATAGCAAGAATGCCTTTGGAAAATAAAACCAATTTGACACTACCATCTAAGTTTCTTATTTTTCCTTTTACTTTTAGAGTAATACAAAATGCAAGACCCGCTAAAATTAGATTCCAAATCAAAACTCATACTGCAAAATCGTTAGATGTGTGTCCTTATCCAATTTTCGACAAAGTCGTACTGCGGCGTTGGATCGTGAGTGGCGGGCTTTAGATTTGTTAAATGGACGTTTTTTTGCAGAAAGAACCAACCCAGAAAACAATTATTGAGCCTTTAAAGTTTTGACAATGACAACAAATTCATTTCAGACCAAAAACGATTTTAATTAATGGCATACTAAAGGCTTTAAATATGTGTATGGGTCTCTTTTACAGCAAATGAGATTGCTCGTTATTACGATTATCTTCCTAAAATCTAGATTTTTCATATTTAGTGGGTTGGTTCCTTCCTGCAAAAAACCGTCCAAATAGTAATGTTGGATATTGATCTTCCATCAATTGAACAAACAATTGCTCTTCTAATAACAGCCCTGTTATTTTTTATGAATGTTAATAAAAGTTATTGCACCAACCCACAAAGTGGAATGTTTAGTATTAAATACTGAAAGTACAGCCTAGACAATGATTCTTCTCAAAATTTGGGAATGTCACTTCAACGATTAATGATAATATATAAAGATAATAAATCATAAATTGATATCTTACACGATAGCATCTTGAGTAAAAATAAACATCGAATAATATATAAATCAATATTGGTTATGGCTATTCTTCCAACACCATATGAAAAAATCATTAGAATACTGACCAAATCAAGACAAAAAGTGTCTCGTATCAATTTTTGTAAAATGTCATTCATGTGCTTTATGTGAAAAATTGAATTAATTCAGTCCAGATGGGGAGAATATTCCGATTATATTTTTTGCATAATCTCATTTAGAAAAGACCCCTTTTAACGTGCATATGCTAAGCACAACATTTCAAATGTAAGCCAAGAGTTCGCGTGTATTTGTTCAGGAAATAAGTCCGTTACAAATACAAAAATCAACTTTCAATTTCAATAATGGCGATCAACCTTCGCATTTTGCTCCTCACTTATTATGACCTATAACCTATGATAAAGGAAAAAGAATAAAATAATGCCTGGTGTAAAAAGCCAGAAGACCTGAAAGAAAAAATTACATTGTACAAAAAGCGGATGAAAGAACGAATCAGCATAACCAATAGTTAATAAAAAGTATCCAGCCATTTTAAAACGAAACGGAATCAGAATGGTACCTCTTATAACTGAATATGTCGGATCATAAGCAAAGTAAATGTATCTGTACCTGTTTGTGTCTAACGTACAAAAGTTGTGATAATTTTGATATGAAGAGGAGGGTAATCTTGACAGCATACAAGCATACATATTGCATGGTAACATTGCATGTTTTGAAGAAGAACAAACTTTCTTCGTGGCCTGAATTTCAACCAGTGTGGTGGAACCCCAGAAAATGTTTTGCTTTGTATTTGTAAAAGAAGCAGGCATGTTTGAAGTGTGAATTGTCTGCAATCGTCTTTGATATGGCTGAATACTTTTACGATTGATAAATTGAAAGTCAAACTAGGAATAAATATAGAGAAAATTCATGATTATTGCCTAGCGCTATCCATATTAGGTACATAATCTAGGGCCATAAGGCAGGCGAACACGGTCATCACCATTTTGGGCTTGACTTCTGCGATGTCCTCCGGAAGAGCGTATACCCTAGCTCCAGCTTTGCGGGACATTGAGATGGCGTACTTGGCGTTTGCTAGTCGATCCTGCAATCAACGATATTACGAATGTCTTCTATTTAGTTGGACTCGGGCTCCAAAGAAACACAGTTGCCGACGTTTCGGAATATGTATTGATTTCCTTACGAAACGTCGGCGACTTTGTATTAGGAACCTATTTCTTGCGACCCCAAATCCAATTATATGAAAAAAAAATCATAAATAAGGGTCATTAGTAGACGAATATTTAACAATGTTATGTTTAAGAGATTTTGCTTTTTTGGATACAAGGGATACAATTATTTTCAAATACAATTCTGATAATGTCAATCTTAGATTTGTAAACATGATTTCTGTACCAAAATATACGAACGCTACCAAAGTAATTTTTCTTTGTGCAAAGATTCATAACAGGAAAGACTGTTTTACAAAAAAATCGCTACGAACAAGCCAATGACTCGAGCGAGCTCAAACTTGTACTGAAGGCGGATTACATGTTCCCCTGTCTCCCCTCCAAGCCCGGCGCGTCCAGTGTTGCCAGATCGAACGCTACGTTGCCAATCTCATCAATTATGAACACATACAAATCAGATCAGTTAAGCACTTACCTCTTCTGTTGTTCCTTGTTTGACCAAGTCGTAGTTGATAGCGCCAGGCTTGATGGCGTCGATCAGATCGATGACCACTTTGGCATCTGAAATTGTCGGATCTTGGAAGCTGCGTATGGAGGATTTCTTTCCGGCGCCAGTCAGCTTATTGTTTACCCACTGAACGATCTCCTTCTCGACGATCGGATTGCCGGACTCGGCCAATTGGGTTAAAATAGACAGAGTGTACGCTCTCATCAGTTGCCAGATCAACGCTAGCGTCAAAGTAACGTTTCCTTCGTTGATGTCCTGACCTGAAAAGCAATACGCCGCCTGGTGTCACGTGGAAACAATTGTGATTTATCTATTTATTACAATTTGCGGTGTTCAAAGCCAAAGCTAACACGCACCCACTGCTTTAAAAATTTGGATTTTTTTACGTAAAAAGTTATGTTGGATTCTTTCGATTTGATACGAATTAATGGCTCAGAAAAGATTCTATATATTGTATGTCATTTATATTAATGTTTTTAGTTGGACGCATTTGTAAAAAAAATAATAAAAACTTCATTAGTTTGAATTGTTTTTCAAAAATGATATTTTTTCATACGATTTTAAACAGGTTTGGATGCAGAATTTATTAGGAATTTGATTATAAAGCCTATAAATTTATGAGAAAGATCTACAAAAATAAGAGATGTGAGGTGATATGTAGCTCCGAAATCGCACATTCAAATGATGCGAAAAGTTAGCCTATAAATGTATAAACTTACCTCCAATTCCAACCAGCGAGAATTTCAGATCTTTTCCAAGTTCTACGGCGTAGTTGCAGTTTTCCAATTTTTCCATAAACTTTTTGCGTTCGTTCGTGAATTTGCGGTGGACTTTGTTCCATTTGACGGTACCCGGCTTGATGATGTCGTACAACTGGAAGACAATCAACCCATCTGCCAAGTCGGAATATAACCAATTCACGTGTGGAGACACACCCATTGAGTTTATCCAATTTCTGTACGCTAAAACGAGTTGTTTACGTTAAGCTTTAGGCAGAACAAAACCATCTCCAATATATTTTTCAACTTTGCGGCAAAATCGTTGAACACACTCTTGTGTGTTTCGCATCATAAAAGCCCATACAGAGCAGAGGCATACATGCCATTTGGGGAACCCAAAATACTGTAGTTTCAGTTGTTTGGGATATTATTGAGGACAAAGTTTTTCGAAAAATAACAAGAGTAAATAAATTTTTAAAAGAAAATGTTCCATCATATAAAGTAGTTAGTAGTAGTAAGCTTACTTCTTTCTTCTCTAGTCTCTTCAATTGTTTCATAGCCATCGATTGCGCCGTTTGTCTGCTCCAAGCCTGGATGATTGTTGAACAGGTTTGCCACGAAGGCCAAATTTAGTTTGTACACACCATTTACGACGTCCTGTGGCATCACGAATGCCCTACACTTCAGTTTCGCGGCCTGTTCGAGCATCATTTCTGCTCGGCTGATCAAATCTTTCTCGTACAAGGCTTCTGTTGTTACATCAACATCTTGCGGCGCGATTTGTTTCAACAAGTGGGTGTACACCTACAAGATTCGGAAGAGTCATGCACCAGATTTGACCAGGAAATTGAGTGTGTGGTTGCAGGGCATTTTATCTATTATCTAACGCACAAGGCAGGACAGGAGAAGAAATGTTTAAAGTGTAAACTCTCAATTAAATAAATTGGTAAAATAACATTTACGCTTGACATGAGCTTGAAGATAATTGTCAAGGTCATCATCATATATGATATTCTAGTGGTTCCCACCAAACCGCACCATTTTGATATCGAACATTCTTTCCAGATTGCACCGTTCCCGAAAAATTTTCAAAGTGACATTGACCTTACAGCATACAACTCAGATACAAACAACATATAAGCTTGAAATTTCTGACGTTGAGGTCAAAGTCACATTCTGACGTAAAACTTCCCGCTTTTCCCAATTCCAGTACAAAATGAGAGGTTTTTGAAATTATTGAATTAGTGGTCAATATCATGTTACCCACAAACCTCACAAATGTGCTGTGGAAGTTTTTTTTAGAGCAAATTACTTTCAATGTCGTGATCTTGACCTTGAAACGACCTTGATCTGGCTCTTGAAGGTCATGTTCAAGGTCACATTCGATCGTAAATTTTCTTCTCTTTCCAATTCCGATATCAAAAAGGGGATTCCATTTGGGAATATTCACTTGACCTTCAGACAATTTTGAAGGATGTGGTCACGGTCACCTTTAGGTGGTCCCCACACATCTCAATTGTTTTGTCAGATATTTTTGACCTTGAGAGTCGTGGTCAAAGGTCATTGTCAAGGTGATCTTCAGGCACAAGATTTCCTCTTTTTCTCAATTCTGATGTGAACATATTCACTTGACCTTGAAGATTGTGACCAAGGTTACCATCATTTTGCTCTCTCGGAGCGTTACAACTATTGTTAGAAACTTTTTTTTTGAATGCGTAGTTTTCTAAATATTTAGGTGGGTAGATTGAAATCAGTCAGTTCAGAGTAATGAATTCCTGTGACTTCTGATTCGCGTTGGGCCTTACCTCAGAATCGGTGATATCAGACTGGAAGTTAGTTACTCTGCGATGGGTTCCGGCCCTTTCCAAATGATAGTTCACCCATCTGAGCAGAATTGCCTCTGGTGAGAGTTTCATCAGATCGTCGATCTTTTCGTCCTCGGACAAAAGCGTCGTCAGGCCGGGACAGTGCTCGAGGGTAATTTGATTGAAGAGGCCGATCCTGATGATCTGCCATAGCAAACCCAGCACCAGATGAGGCGTTCCTTTCGACAGACTGTGCGCGTCTATGTTCACCACGTTGCATCCTATCGCCGACGCGGATGACAGGGCTAGCGTCAAATTTTCAAGTTTTCTGTACAAGGTCAGTTTCTCTTTGTTTATAGCTCGTTCGTCGATCGTATCGGGGCAAGAATGGTTGATCACCTTGCTGAAATGACGACAATGGTAAAATCATTTCATTCAGGTTTTTTTAAAAACGTTTTAGATTAGATTATAAAAATTAGTAAGATTGTGGTCGATATAAAGCACCTAAAGTTGTAAACTATGAAGCCATTGACTTTTGGACCTTGGGTCATATGAACTTTTTGACTTGTTTTGAGCCCCCTATTACCCATTTCAATAATGACTAAACGTGCACACCCTGTATCTTCATTTATAGGCCGTGTTTCACGAGTTAAAAAAAAAACAAAAATAGAACGGGTTCAAAATAGCTACCGTAGGTTGGTATATGGAATCAGAAGTACGACCCTATATCACACAAAATCAAAGGGTGGAAATGGCTAAACACGGACAATAGGAGAGACTCATTCACATGTGTAAGTTTATGCATAATTTTGGTCAACAATCCAAATCACCCAGGTTTTATTAAACATTTCATGCTCATTATAGGAACGTTAGATCAAAATTGAACTACACAGTTCCTCAGCACAAGACGTTCCAAAGATAATTCATATATGATGCGATCAGGATGCATAATCAGCTTCCACAAAAATTCAACCTTCTAAACATAAACAAGACAAAATTCAAATTGAAACGGTATTTGTTTGATATGCAGTAGAATCAATGATAGTACTTTTTAAATTCATATTTTTTTGTTATTTCTTTATTATTGCGAGATATTTGAAAAAATGTTTAACTACAAAAACGGGTAACTGATCCTCCGTATTTTACGTTACTCCTAAGTAACTTTGTTATCGTGCAAAGTTTCAACATAATCACCCATAGAGACTGAATTTAGAACTATTTTTTTTAGATATGACTAAACCTACTGTTTTACAATGTCCATTAAAATACGGAACACCCCGTATAAAAGATTATCCATTAATCCATAGCCGAACAACAGTTGCTATCTTTTATACATCTTATCTCATTGATGGGTCATATGATAAATTGATTGTAAATTACGCAATCACAAACGTTTACACACCTTTTCACGAACTCTCCACTTACCACAGTAATATTCCATCTTTAACTTTCTCATATAGGTGTTTGCCTTCGGAATCGATGGGCAATAATTTTTTCAAGTCAGGATCATGCTGAAGGTTCGAATTTATCCAATCTGAAAACGCTAGTTGTTCTTCTACCCTTACAGAATGCGTAGTTCCTTCGTTCGATGCTTCAGATGTTCCTCCTACGTAACAAATATATCAATAGTTGTTCAGGAGGTTAACTTATTCTGTCTTGGTTATTCGACCATCGCAGACCGCAAATAACTATATCAATAATGTTTTATTTTGTAATGAGCGGCTTATGCCCTTCTTGACCAAATACATTTATTTGTGACCGTCTTCAGTTTTCGTAGATAATGAGTCCGTAAAATTTAATCTAGTGTACTGTCTCAAATCTAACAATGAAGATCCAAATTATATGTTTGTAAAATACACAATTCCAAATTAGCCGATTTTTTCGAATCTGCCCTTCTATTAAAACAATGAAAATATAAAACATTCAGCATCGAATTGAAAAAAAGCAACGTTGAAGGATAGCGACATATCAACATTAAAATTTAAAATGTGTTATAATAAAAAGTCAATTCCCATTCAGCAGCACGTGTACAGCAAAGAGTGGTTTCCATCTGTCAAATGCAGTGGAACTGTTTTAATATTGATAGTGCCACTATATTTTGGAGATGCACTTGCCTAAATGTTGCAGGTTCTCTCTCTTGGAAACTGCTGTACGGAATGTATTAGCAATGTCATTAGCCTTGAGATCAGAGATAAGTTTTTCAAATTCTTCGTAGGTTAGCTTGCCGTTGATTTTCGTCTTTTTTGAATTCTTGTATTCTTCTTCTATAACTCTCGATTGATAGCCGGCAATTTTAAAACCGCACGACTCAAGAGCTTCTCTCAGTTCTTTCAGATCGATATGTCCATCTCCATTTTTGTCTATCTGTAATTAGAAAATGGCGTCAAGCATATTGCTTCCGCACTAGCTACGCAACGCTGTCATCAGTTCGTAAACAATAATTATGAACTACTTTTAAATACATTCACGAATTAATAAAAGTGTTCGTAGTATCTATCTTGCTGTCTACGTAACGTATCCGTCACTCCATTTAAGAAAAGCATATAATTTGAAAAGTACACGACTTAGATTTTTACTATATTTTTCTGATAACTATTATGACTTGCCAAATTCCCCTTTTACGACTTGAGATCGACTTCTGGAACACCCTGTATAACACTAAAAAACATATCTGATTTTCAAAGTTCTCGCGGTTACAATACTTTCCCGCTCCCACCAGTAAGAGTAGGAAGATATTTTTTGGGACTGGCTCGACATGAGTTTCCAGTTTTCTTGAAAAGTACCGGGTTTGTGCAACATCAGGAATCCGGAAGCCCGGAAAGATCTCGGCAAGTACTTTCGCTTGAGTCTCTGAAACTCCTTTTGGGTCGGCGGTTAAAGAATTAAAAAATGGTATAATGTTTGACAAAATGTAATTGGATACCATACGTTTGTGTATTATCGTTATAATTTCGTGCGTTAAAATATATCAGGTTCTGTTGAAACTATAATGATTATGGATAATGTTCAATAATTTAACCAAAATGTCTGTACTGATGTTATTCCAGACTTCAAACTACACGGAAGTCAACTTAGCGTTATCAGTTTATATTTAGGCTTTATACGTTTCGAGACACTGACCTTTATTTATGTGGATTGTATATATTATTTGCTTGAAATTCGATTTAGTACAATGCACTGAAACTTAAATAAAATTTCCATATCAATAAGCACTTCTTAAAGCGCGTTTTCAAAAAACAATCATTTTTACCGTTTTTGAATGTATGATGTGTTTTTTTTTAATAATATAAGCACACTTTGTGAGGCAAACATTTTACCTACATTATATCACAATGTTTACTGAATTGTCGGAAACTAGTTCCATTAACTTAGATAAGCAGTCTACAAATATCCTGCATTTTAATAACGTGAATCATTCTTTTCAATCACTTATCACGAATATAAATTACTTTGATGCTGTAAAAAAAGGTTTTTATCATTAGAGGTACGACATATACATTTATAATAATAGAAGGCAAGGCAACTCATCCAACAAAATGCATAGAATAATATAATATACAGGATGTTTCCTAATTGAATGTCAATATACAGTGCTTTTCTTTAATGTTCCCCTCCCCTTTGATTTTTTGAACGGATCAATTCAGAAAATTGAAACTTGACGCAATGAAGCTGATGCGTGAAAATTGACAGATGAAATTATAAAAAAAAATTATATGAAAACGTGGCACATAATTTTAACGCTCCTGACTAGTACTTTATAACCCTAGAATATAAAGTCAATACCTTTACCTACTACAAAATGTTGAATTCATCCGTTCAAAAAATCAAAGGGGAGCGCGACATTAAATAAAAGTGGTCGATTTTTGGGTCCATTTCAAAAAGAAAACTTCATATGAATGCCCTAAGCGTCTTAACTTTTCAGATACAGGGGAGTCAATCTGCAAGCCACAATTTTATTCATTTCCTCCAGGTGCGTTCGTACGGAATGTCCCCTGCCCATTTTGGCATACATTTGTAAGCAGATTTGATTGCTTAATTTGTTTTTAATCCGATGGATGGTTTTCGCTTAAAAAATATTTATCATGTAGAGAAATATGTTTTTCGTTGTATAAATCATTTGTTGAATATAATTTTGGTTTTCCGAACATAGTTTTTAGAGCTGCCAAAAATTTATAAACAAATTTAATTTATTGAGTATGAGCGCGTTACTATGTCATGCTGCATATCCTTGCTCACAATCGCAATACCTTGAGTAGTGTGTCATCGATTTTATCAGATCACGTATCGACATGGATTAAAAGATTTTTTAATTATTACGTAAATCTCTCCTATCTATTAACGTATTGATCATAAAGTTGAATAAACGGTATTTGAACATTATCCAATAAAACAATTTAGATATCTATTATAAGTTGTGGTACAACAAAATACCTGTTATCGGCGACTTCATACGTTTAATATTGTTAAAATATCCAAAATTTTAAAATGAACACAGTAGACTATACCAAATTTTTTATTGTAAAAAAAAATGCCTACCTATGTATAAAATTGTAAAAAGGTAAATTATGCTAGCAAAAGGAGAAATAACCGCTGATTCCGTATACAGCTCAAGAAAACCCATTCTGCAGCGAAGGGTTGGCAAGGTTAAGTTTTCAGATATTCGGGACCGCAAATCTAAAAATAGAATGCATCTAGTGATAAGAGCATTGTCTACGTCATGTAAAATACATCATGGTATACGTGTAGACAATTGCATTTGTCCAAATCTAGATATTCATATAGACAATGTATGTAATTCAAGTATTGGATGCTATCTACTTCAAATCAAACTCATAAGAGGTATCCCTACGCCTACCTGTTCAACGTTCATTATTCTGATCAAGCGGAGGCAGTCATTTCGAAAATATTTTATAACTGATTGAAATTAACTAAAAACTCAAAAAACCCAAAAACACCCATTGACATAACCAACTGCTTTCTCTTGTTTTTACCGATTGACATATTGTTTCTATCTAGTGTAATGAATCACAGAACATTTATATGTTAAATGAACCGAGTGAATTGACTGTATATTTCCTATGCCTTGGTAACAACTTCGAGTACAATTTTTCATGTATACGGATTTCAAATGCTGCTTTACGAATATTGAAATTACAAGCGTCAGTAGCTCCAGTGGCAAAGCACTGGTCTAAACCACGGGTCGCGAGTTCAATCCTCACAGGATTCAGATTGTGGTAAACCTTTTTTTATTTTTTAACAAGCTTTTATTAGCTTGACCTGTGTGTATATACACTAATGGACAAAAGTATATAGACAAATATGAATATGGTACAGAAATTTCTTTCAATGTGAAAACTAAAATCATTGAGTTATACAAAGATTGTCAACGTCAAGCCGACATTGCCAAAAATTTGAAGTTGAAGCGTAAACCAGTTTGGGCAATACTGAATAAATATAAACAAAAATGTATCTTGGAAGCTTCTAAGAGAAGTGGTCGGCCTAGAAAACTAAATGCTAGATCAGTTAGATTAATAAAAGTAATTTCGTCCAAAGATCCGCTTAAAACCCCAAGACAAATAAAAGCCGAAATCGAGACAAAATAAATTGTCAGTGTTTCTACGAAAACTATAAGTAGAAGAGTAAATGATTTGAAGTTATTAGCACGTCGCCCGAGTAAGAAGCCGCTAATCTCGAGGAAAAACCGGAAGGACCGATTACAATTTGCACGGTTGAATCTTGATTGGAACATCTGTGACTGGAAGAAGGTATGTTTCAGTGACGAATCCAAGTTCAATATGTTTGGATCAGATGGTGTTCATTACGTTAGACGTCCTAGTGGTCAAAGATTGAACCCCAAGTACACTTTGCCCACTGTCACACATGCAGGCGGGTCTGTTATGGTTTCGGGATGCTTTTTGGGATTTGGGATGGGACCTTTAAATAGAATAGATGGCATTATGGATAAGTTTGTATACACAGACATACTAAAGCTGTTATGTTACCCTATATGGAAGACAATATGCCCTTAAGATCAATCTTCCAGCAAGATAATGACACTTCAAATCTCGCAAAGATATTCTTTCTGGATGAAAAAATACCAGTTCTCAAATGGCCTTCACAGTCTCCCGATATAAACCCCATTGAAAATCTATGGGAATACTATTCAAACAAGGATGAACTTTTTGCCGCTTTAGAGCAAAAGTGGAGACAAATTGATGAATCTTATATCAAGAAACTTCTACAATCTATGCCGAGACAATGCCAGGCGGTGATTGATAATAATGGTTATGCCACAAAATATTACCACACACATGGTTGGTTTTCTATAATTCAATGAACTTTGCTTCTTTTTTCTATAATTGTTTTGCCTTTGTCTATATATTTTTGTTCTTCATAGTTCCAGTTTTTTCAATTAATTTTTTATTGAAGGGAGTCTAATGAATTTATTTATGTATAAGTGAGTATTATGCTATAACGAATTATGTATACAGATTGGTGTATTAATAAAACAAGTTAAAAAAGAAATACAGCACAATATTAATTTGTCTATATACTTTTGTCCATTAGTGTATATCAACTTTTTGAGCCAAGTTTGTTTCAAACCATTCACAATTGATTGCTTCATCAAAAACAGTGTTGTTTTATTCTTTTGTTATAGCAAAATCCTAAGCAACATCTCAATGTAAACTAATTTATACAAGTACATCTAACTAATGACACCCTGTAGTAATAAAGAATAAAATAGGATCATCAAGCCAAATAGTTTAAAATGTTGGTTAATCAACCATTTTTGCAATGGTACTATTGTCCAATATTTTGCTTGCTATTTTCTTTTTTATAGCAATTTTAATTTGAGATCAAGATTTTGCAATATCCAAAAACTGCTTTTATGACACAAATAAGCAGTAACAACAAGATTGACTCTATGATAGTAATTTTTTTTATTACATTCAGTAGACCAGGTGTATTCAGATTGATCACCAGTAGCTATTACGAGTGCCCTACATCTGTTTGATTGTGGTTGCCTTCAAGATATGGTCTATCAAACAGATGTGATTTCTGTAATACAGTTACATGTGCAATTAAGGAGGAGCCTCTCAGAAAATCCCAGACAAGGGGTATTTTGCAGACTAAAAGGATCATTTATTAAAAGGTGCAGGGCATGCATATGGCTACTCTTTGAACACCTAGCCTAGAGAATTTAATAAATTCTTACCATCAGAACATCACTTCTGTCTCTTATTCCTTATTTGCATCATACAAGCATTTTCTTGACATCCAAGAAATAAGACAAAATTCCTGTAAAAAAACAGCCAACCAAATGTAAGTTGATCAACTTTTTTCAAGTATTTGGTTTGGTGAAAAATGTATTCTTTATTACTGTAGAGTCTCAAAGAAAGGTATATACAAATTTGTTTTCATTAAAATGTTGCATTAGAATGGTTTTCATGTGGATTCAACTGCAACATAAGAAAACAACAACGTTGACTTTAATGAAGCAATCAATTGTGAATATTGAGAAGCAAGCAATTTAACAAGACAAATAAATGTCAACTTTTGCTAAAAATAATTGATTGCTGTATATACAAAAAACAGTGAGACTTTTAACTAAACAACATTTAGCCATACAGTGTAGGTAATGGTGTGACCTATTCATATTTGCAGTATTATCCTTCAATATCCAGATGTATCCTATATGGAAAGTGGATTAAATTTAACAATATACACAATGAATAAGGTTATATAGACATATTTTAAATAACTAATACTCCGAGTGACTCATTCTGTGTCAACTCATGACATTGAACATTGAATATATTCGGGAAATTACTAACAGTTGGTAAATATACATATATGGAATATGATTCAAGTAAAAACAAATGATTTTAATCATGAATATAACCGCATGAGACAACAAAAGTATGCTATATAATGACAATCTTCCTTCATAATCACAACAAATCCGTTGAAAAATGTCTCTATCCGATTACTGGCGTAAAATACTTATTTAAAGTTTGGGCGTTGCTATACGTATTGTCAAAATAATCAAAAAAATGAAAGTTAAACAGACAAGATAGCTAGTAAAAACAAATCGATCTTGTGCATAATAGAGGTTAGAAACCTATATGCAGAAATGTACATACCGCAGTAAATCTTTCCCTTATTTCTTCCCTTTCTTCTTGCGATAGCCTTTGAGAATCGCCGGTGGATGTCATAGTTATATGAAAAGGTTTAAAAACAAACCTTTGGAAAATAAGAAAAGCAAAATATCAGAGGTCGTACACACGCGCAGATCTAAATGATCCCAACATAAATGAGCAAAATTCTAATGACTAAGGTAGATTCTAGACCACAAAACATACACTGACAGAACGCTTACTCAGTGCAATTCAATCGGCAACACGAATGACTTTTGTCGCCATGTTTTTGCGGTCATAGAACAAATATGACACAGAAAGAACACCTGCCTACTCAAAACAATTCGATGAATGACATATGCCGCCATGTTTTTACAGAGACATACGGCGGTGCTATTGTGGTTGCCTACTTTCTCAGGACAACTGCCATTCGGACAGTTCAAACACCTTAGGAGTATTTGTGATTGGGTTTGGGTTCATTCAAGAGTGATAAATAAAACAATATAATTGGAAAAATAATTTTATTCTGGTAAATAACGTATTGTAATCCGTCAGCGCTCTCCCACACGATGTGTCGGCTGGCCATGTGTCCAACGTTGTAAGGCGTTCGCCACATCGTGTGTGACGGGTTTAATCAAAGTAATAATTTCGTTACTTTGAGTATCTATGAGTAACGAGTACTCGAGTAACGAATAGTTACTTTTTCAGCACCTCTACTTTTGGCTCAAAAGTTTTGACTTGTGCTTGTTGTTTGTGATGGTACACAAAATTATGTGAAATGTTAAGGGATAATTTTAATCGTGAAGAAAAATAGAGAAATCGGAGTAGCCTTTGGAATGGCCGAAGAATCAGGTGAAGAGTTGTCAAAGGTGGAGAAGCAAAGAATTGAAAGAAACCGCCAAAAAGCAATCATTCTTAGAAAAACCAAACTTGTACCTCATCCGTACGCTAAAGAGTAAGTAACTAGTGTTTTACATTTGGTATGATAACAGATGTAAGTAAAAGGACTCTTCCAGGCACCTCTACTCCCAAGACACGACAACTATAAAAATTGGCACCACAAAATACAAAGACACTGGCGGTGGATTTTTGTTAGAAGAAAACACCTATAATGAACCTTTGGTGAGATTATTTTTCTTTGCTTAATCACATAATATAAGGGAATGGGCTTCTCCAGACAGACCATGTCTTGCAATGTCGTTTGAAGTCAATATATTTTAGGAAATTGTACCTGATGAAGCACCAATTGTTGAACCAGATAGGCCTAACTGTGTTAACTGCAACAAACCTATAGGCACATCATGGTTATTTGAAAAATTTTCATTCAATTGCTGTGACTCGTGCAAGTGAGTATCTTCGATATTAATGCAGGACTTGTACAAATTTATCTCAGAAACGAAAGGGTGAATCTAACGGGATGGAAATTAATGAATTATCACTATTTTTAGGGATCCAGAAATCCATAAGCTAATAACAAAGACAGAAGCAAAAGAGTCATACTTACTCAAGGATTGTGATTTTGATAAGAGAGAGCCACCGTTGAAATATATACAACAGAAGAACCCTCATAACCATAGATGGGGTGATATGAAACTGTACTTACAGATACAGGTGATCAACTGCCTCCCAGAAAGATGGTATCAAACAGGTTGACTTTCAATTCTTCACATATTTCTGATTCTTTCCTTAAAATATGCTTTTATTTTTTACCTTTATTGGCTATGAATTGTGGAGTCAAGATGCATGATACCAGCAACAAATAACAGTCTCAAATTAAATTTTTTTTCCTGGGAGGGGACATTATTGGACCAGCTTCTACAGTCAGTTGATGAATCAAGGTGGAAATTTAATTGTTTTACTAATAAGGGACACTGAACATATATGCCAAAAATTATCAAAATCGGATAAACATATGTAGGTGTTTTCTTTTTTTTTGCCACTCAGTATATTTTCCAGCATGCAACATACACATTGAAAAAAAAATAAATATTATTTAGTAGATTGAAAATGAATGATGAAACAAAAAATGCTTAAACATTCTCTACAAGTAAGGGACAAGGAATGTATAAAAAAATATCTTTAACAACACTGCATTCATCTCTCGTCAAGTTACAAGACGTGGTTATTTTACGTCGCTTTAACTTGGTGTTTCGAGACTGTATCTTTCAAATTTTATTTGACTTTCTTGGTATGCATCCTCTTTGATCAAAATCTGCCACTTTGCAGGTAGAAGAACGTGCCTTGGAAATCTGGGGCAGTGAAGATGATCTGGAAAGAGAGAAAGAACGTAGAGAAGAAAAACGGGTAGCGGCCAAATCCAAAAGGTATGAGAAAAAGTTGAAAGAGCTGAGAAAAGAAATGCGCAGTAGCCTGTATGACCGTACTAAAGGAGGACCTCACACTCATCAATTTGGTCCTGAAACATATAATGAGGAAGAGGACACTTATCACAGAAAATGTACTACTTGTCCCTATGAGGAAACCTTTGAGAAAATGTAAATCTAGTTTTTTATTGTTTTTTTGATCTGTATTTTTAAGAAATTAAAACACCTCTCTTAGCTCCTTTTTTTTAAATTCATTATGACAGTATCACCAATCGAATTACTTGATCTGGTTTGAAACACTGTCAACGTCTACTGGCGAGAAAGTAATTTATTCACTTGACTTACCTGGGAAATATAATAATAGTCGTGTAGTTTTGGTAATAAAAAACGTTAATTTATGAATTTATAGTTTTATTGTAACAAATTGCTGTATGTATTTTACAAACTGTGCTACATATTACAATTGGCCAGGTAGTTCATAGTCCCAGAAAACATGCATTCAAAGAAATTAATATCAAATATTCGTCACACCACACTGAAATCAACTAGATTACATTTACATTTCTACTAATTACATAAACCACAAGTGTGAATCAAATCAAAGATTTGACTTTACAATAACAGTTTCGGAATTTTGTCAATTAGCTTTAACACAGTGATAGTCAAAACATTATTACAGAGTTTTTAAGCACTGAAAATTGTCATTCCACGGGTTTCTCCAACTTCAAATCGCTTTTAACAGTCAAGGTAGAGAAAAGTTGAATAGAACTTTTTCCAGAATGTTAAAAATAAAACTGTCTCTGGGACGGAAAAGCCAATTTTCGAGAAAATTGGTTATAAATTAATTTGCACCGGGTGTTACGGACTGCCAACTTCTGATTTTAAGGTGCAATTGACAAACTTTATTATAAAAAAAAAATTAGAAAAATGTCTCATGACTCGTGGAAAGTTTTCTCCTCGTCTACTAATGATCTCGAAAGGCTTTCATAGGAAAACCGTGCTAAAGTATACATTGAAAGATAAGTGATAATCGGTTGAATGAACATTAGGTAAAGCATTACTTTATATAATGCTTGCTATATCTCCTTTTACTGATGTTTCTCTGATCTTGTCGCTCGAACGGCAATTGAGTTGCACAAATGGACGCCAAATAACGCGACCAGTGACAAAAAACTTGTTCTAACAACTGCTTTACATCTTTGATCGCGTAAATTGTCGGGCACTCTGGATATATTTTTCGTATGAGCAAATATTTCTGAATGTTTTGCACTGACCTTTGCATTGATACAAACTACAAACGATGGCATACCGGGGAAGTACACCGTTTTAGAGTCTTCATGACGATATTGGGTCTGTTGATTGATATGCAAATTTCATTAAGCAGGACATATGTCCACAAAAGCTGAACTTTTCTATTCCTAAGGTAGAAAGTAAAAATAACAGCAAGAGTCCTAAAACGTTCCTTTACCGAGACAGAACATTGCTTTTGGAGAAAAATTTATTCGAATATTTTATATATCCATATAAAAGTTGAATCAATTCTGCCTTGAAAATATACTGGTCATTGATTTTTTTAAGAATATCAATATTTTGTCCTTAGCGCGTCTCATCAGTGGCGTATAATAATAATGTTCTTTATTTTCCCATCACATACGCGTGCATTTTACACACACACATGAGAGAGAAAATTCCTCCACCTAAATTGAACATGGAAATAGTAATAATTTCAATTGTTCATGAAGTAATCCCAAACTATGGTAGTTCCTTAAATTCATGTGGATTGCATGATTTGAGATGATAAGGAAGATAATTCAATTGTAAATTTGGGCCTTTTTTAACACTCCGTATTTTTTGTAATGGGAAATTTTAGAATTTATAATTATCGAAACGAAACAAGTATTGCCATTGTTTTTGAATCACTCTGTATAAATCGTATCTGCCATTTTCTTGCCAGATACAACTAAAATAAAGAAACAGTTCACTTTATTACACTGATGATTTTTCAGTGAATAAATCCAATTCTAGTTTACCTGTAGCAATCACGCATTATACAAATATATCTATTTCATACTAAATGTAATATCGTACCGTGCTTGTTCAAAACGAAATATAGCAAATGAAACCGTGTTGATAATTTGAACTATAATATATCCTGAAAGCGCTTCATTAAGGGCCATTTTTTATTTTTATAGGTTGTGGCATAGCCACATATTCGTTTAATATTAAATGCTAGATGTTTTCCGTTCAAAATCAAAAAGAATTTGGCACTTACATCTATTTCAAGTTGATAAAATAATCGAGATAGAAAACTAAACTTCGCCACCGAAATTACTCCAAAATAAACTTGAAAAATGCAAAATAATAAACTAGAAATAGAAATAAATATATTTAATTCCTATAATGGCACATACATAATATAAATTACATAATAAACAAAAGCCAACTAAAAGGACAAATAACAAAATAATGAAGGAAGCAAAAGACGTTTGACCTCATTAAAATATATAACCTCTGCATTTTAAACATCAAAAATAATGTTTAAACGTATTTTCATCATTTTTTTGTGTATAGACGAATATATATCTATATAGTTTTTCCAAAATTACAACAATGGTTTAATCAAATGAAATAATATATAATTGTAGTTGATAACATAAATAAATATAAAAAAATTACGTCAGTATACTATTTAGCAAAATATATAGTTGATAATCCCATCACAGCAGTATTTTTAATATGAAAAACTGCTGATACGTTACAGTTTGAAGAGATCAAAATATCGCCGGAACTTTGTCACATCACCTCATTAAAATATATAACATTGTATTTTAAACATCAAAATAATGTTTAAAGTTATTTTCATCATTTTTTTCTATATAAAGAATAATGTATCTGCAGTTGGTAGACGAATATACATCTATATACTTTTTCCAAAATTACAACAATGATTTAATAAAAAGAAATAATATACAACTGTAGTTGATAACATAAATAAATATAAAAAAATTACGTCAGTATACTATTTAGAAAAATATATAGTGGATAATCCATCACAGCAGTATTTTTAATATGAAAAACTGCTGATACGTTACAGTTTGAAGAGGTCAAAATATCGCTGGAATTTTGTCACATCACCTCATTAAAATATATGACATCTGCATTTCAAACATCAAAAATAATGTTTAAAAGTATTTTCATCATTTTTTTGTGTATAAAGAATAATGTGTCTACAGTTGGTAGACGACGAATATACATCTATATACTTTTTCCAAAATTGCAACAATGATTTAATAAAATGAAATAATATATAATTGTAGTTGATAACATAAATGAATGTAAAAAAATTACGCCAGTGTATTATTTAGAAAAATATATAGTGGATAATCCCATCACAGCAGTATTTTAAATATGAAAAACTGCTGATACGTTACAGTTTGTAGAGGTCAAAATATCGCTGGAATTTTGTCACATCACGGTTTGGCAGTTATTTTGAAAAATCAATTTCACTCGTGTTATATTTCAATCAAGTTTTTGAGGAGCTACGTATTGATGCCACCTGGGAGCATAAAATATATTATAACTAAGTCGCTAAAAATTAAAGCGTTAATCAAGTTTTGGTGGCTTGATCAACCCTATTATCATGAATCATAAGAAAAAATCAAATATCCACAATGTATATCATTCTTGTTTTTATGACGAATGCAGCATCTATAAATTACAAATCGTGGTAGAAAATGATTGAGAATAAATTCCAGACATAAATCGCCTTCTACCCAATAGGCTTTTTTAATTGGCCTTGAATAGTAGAAGTGATAACAAAATAATAGAACAAATTGAATATCTTATAATAAAGGTACTTGCATAAAGCACTATAATATAAATGAAGTTTTGCCATTCCTTATCTCTAGAGGGCCTCTAGTAAGTGAAAACAAAACAGAGATTCTCACCAAAAAAGGGGGAAATGTTAAACAAATCATGATATCTAAAAACACAACTTATAATAGAACCATGTTGAAAATGAAGCACATCGTCATGAGGTTATCAACTGGTACAGGGTGCGTTTTATACGTAATGTATTTTTGCCTCCAGTGGCTAGAATTGTGTTACAATATTCGAGAATAACTGGAACCCTGACCGCAAACACATAGAAGGTCTAACATAGTAAGGGTACATTAATACAGGGTCAACCTCAAGTCGGATAGGCCAAATCATAATAGTTGTCAGAAAAATATAAATACGCTAAGATGCACCTCATATTCTCAACTCTACACTTTCATTAGAAGCTGCTTCAAATTCAAAGGTCTATAAAAAACGCCAAAAATTAATTTACGGCATAATACTGTGTCCTTTGTGAATGATAATAACGATTACCCTATGTATTATGTATATCTAAAGATTTGAATGTACAAAGATCACTAAATGATAATTAAATCTTTATATACAACATTTACTACGATTGGTTTTGTTTAGAAGTGTACAAGTATACCCATACAATCGTGCACCAATTTGAAGTAACTGCACAGATACTATAAAGAAAGGCATAGTCCTACACAATGTGTTCAAGTTACTTATATTTTGAAACATACCAAACTGTCATTTAGCACGTCTATCACAAATAGACGAGCCAGAAACCTCGCATCCGTTTAACATGAATCTTGGTGCAAATAAGTTTTAAACATTCTTTAAACGAATTAAAAAAAGCTTTTTAACTGTGGGCATTTCTTTAGTTTTTTTTATTGAAAGCCTAAAAATGGCACAACTTTCCTCTAAACTGAATCCAAATTCAAGATCAGATGTAAATAATAACAGTTAGCGCGTGATCTCTCGGTAACAGGTGGGGACAACGCCTCTTTTATTGGTCAATTCGCCATTAAATTTCAAGCGGTCGCCTGGCGGAATAATGCGCGGGACAGGGGCAGGGCAGGCAGAGTTGCACTCAGGCCACCGTCCGTCGCGTGTATCACTGCGTGCTCGTGTTTTCGTATTCACCTTGCTTGGTTGTTGCTGTCGTTGTTAAGTGTATTTGAGTAATTTGTTAAGTTTCTGTTAAATACTGTTATCTTTGTTTTACAACACGTTGGTGGTAGTCCATCATTCGGAGGTAGCCCTGAATGCGGCCCTGTACGCCGTCCTATAGAAAAGTATTTTGGACTTATCTCATTGTTATTTAGTTATACGCCAAGGATTTTCAGACCTTAAACCAGTTATAGCTTAAAAAAGGCTATCTTTACAGAAAAGTTAATATGCTTTTTTGTTCAAAATGGTCCAAATAATCTAAAAAAACATTGCCCGGAGCAATATTTTTTTAGATTGATTTACTATGTAAAAATAAAATATAAATATAAAATATCTCTATAAAAATTACAATAATCAATAATAATGAATCAGAATCACAATGTTCAATGAGGTCAGCCTATTTAAACAGATGTGCATCGAATTACCACCTGGCAACCCCTTGTTTCGGGTTAAGAGGCATCCAACAAAGATGATTATGAAAAAAAAAATCGACTAGAAAAATGTCTCCTACGAATGTGAGGTTTTGGCCTAGTCTGCACAGTTTAGTATACAGTGTAAGTGGGAGGTTGCATAGCTGCGAATGACGATGCAGATTTGCCAAATGAACAATTTGAGTTTAAAAAATTGAATCCAAAGCATACGTTTCTCTTTTGTCACTGAACTAAATTGTGAAATATTCCGCGTAGAACCGTAAAAATTAAATAGCTGTGGGATGAGATTCACGCTTAAAGTGTGATTTATGGAAACAAAAGTTACTGTCAACACCTGTATGTCATCTCATAGCTATGGTAACGTTTAGGGCCCTACGTTTTTAGTAATAAAAGAAATTCAAATTGCTTATTTGAACATCAGCGTAGTCAGTCTCTTTGCATGCAGCTTCCCCTCGAATGATCCTTATGCAATAAATGATTTTCATCATTTTATCCAGTATGATTTATGTACCTTTGCATTTTTCTTTCCGTTTGTTTGTCCTATCATATAGCAAAATCCAGGTTTACAGGTTGTGCAGGATCAAAAATGCTGAGAAGGACTAGCCAACCCGTTGGTGACAATTGAAGCCTATCTTCTATGTTGGGATGTTCCACTTCTTACCCAAGGATTGGGTATCTTATTAAGAATTTAAGAATATTTCACTTTGAAGCATACGCCCCCGATTTCCCCAATGGGCGCCCATGCCTTCTATCAAAGCAAAATGAATCTATTTTCGTTCCCACCAAGTATGAATATTGTATAACAGTGCTGTTCAATGCGATACATCACATAGAAGCTCCTTATCAAGATTCAAAGTTGGCAGCCTGCCTATCCCTCATTTTCAAAGCCCAGCCACCATCTTGAAATTTTCGACTGACACGTTTACGCTGAAACATAGTATTAATGAATCAATTTTATCGCTCCCAATTCCAGCTTGCTAACTTGACCCGGTCGAAAAAAGTATCTATTTGAAAAGCACTGCACATGTACACCAATAAACAAATATTTGGTATTTTCGCTTCACAATAATTACAATTACAAATATGCACAATATTTTACTTAATTACATAAAAATTATATACATATACACCAAAAATGCCGTTCTCTTTTACTGAAACAAATTTCACTACAGTACGACTAGAAAATTACGCTAAACGTGTTTCAGTAAGAAGTTGGATATTTTTAAAGATGTTTGGGTAAAATTAGGTAGTCTTTAGACCATAATTCTCTGCAATCTTTGTAAAAAAAGTTATCACATACAAAGACAGATGTAAATGAAATAGTTTTATATTAGGCCTTCAAAAATACAGAAACTTGTCAAACTTGTGAAAATGAAAATCGGATACTTTCAAGTTTCTGAATCCCCCAAAAAAAAACTGGTCCGCACCCAAAAATAAAATTCTAGATACGTAAATAAGTTTTGAGTTGTTATATAATGATTCCAAAACTATTATCAACAAAAATTACACGTGTGCTATGAAACGTATCACCATTCTTTCAAGAATTTTTCCCATTACAGTAATAAGTCCTAATTTCAATTTCAGCTCCACTCGCTCCAAGGTATAACATGAATAAAACCACCTCAGAGAGCCCATCCTATCAATACCAAAAAGAGTATCTTTTCTTTCCAAAAATGAGCAATTTGCGTTAGGGCTAGTCCGTCCCTGACAAACTAAACGAGTGGAGCATATTTATATGCTATGCCAGTCCAACAGCGCTGATGGCAGTACTATCTCATTTTTGAAATTCAGCCAATTTGCATATGCAATTTCCAGGGCGAATAGTTTTAAGTTGACATCTTGTAGAAAAACCTACATAATGTCAGAGAAAACCTATGTCAAAAAACGACATACTCAGCGGAATGGTCAGACTTCCTGACTTTCATTAGGTCATCAGGAAGGTTTGGTAGATCAGTGGTTAGCATGTGCAGCTACACTTGGGGTCCTGCCAGGATTCGACTTCCCATAATCACTATTCTACTACTTGGCCATCAATGTTATGTGGTGAACGAACGCCTAAGATCCATGGCGTGTGACGACGATCACTATCACAGACGATTTTACACGTTTGTATGGTTAGCTAACAAAAGACTTCCTACCACACACGAAAACATGTAAAATTAAACAGTATATGTGATAACAAGTGTATAAATAAATAAATTCGAATACTATGTAAAAATAAAATATAAATATAAAATATCTCTATAAAAAATTACAATAATCAATAATAAATGAATCAGAATCACAATGTTCAATGAGGTCAGCGAAACCTAATTTCACCCAAATTCGGAGAAGAGACTATGGTAAGAACATCCAGATAATTCAAACTCGCCAAACCATCGAACATTTAAGGAAATTTTTACAGGGATTTACTTAACCTATTGGTCGCTTATTATTTCTTCAGTTTTAACGTCTGCAATACCTTGCATCGCTTTAGTCAGGACAGTGGCATCTTTCAATGAAAGGACCTGCAGCACTTGAGGTCCATCATTACCAGAACCTTGGATCATCATCGAATGTGTCGTGATGCCACTTGGAGTCACTGTCAAGGTTTCCATGCCATCTCCTGTATTGGGCTCCACCTAGCCGAGATATGCCACAAAATTATAACCAAAAATACTAGTCTAATATACAGGTTGTTAATAAGCTTAAAATGGTGATGACTTAGGAGATACTGAGAAGCAAAGTTCATATAAACATAGGTCCAGTGGTGCTTTGTATTCAGGTATGCCACAAAATCACAAGTGAAAACACAATAATATACAAGGTGTGAGTGAACCTAAAATGGTGATGGCTTGGGTGATTTTAAGAAGCAAAGTTCATATTAACATATTTATATTTGGTGATGCTTTTTTTTTGCAGGATACAAGGTGTGGAAAACTTGTTTATTTTTTTTTTGTAATAATCCTAGCCAATTTTGTTGAAAGGAAGAGGGTCAATATGGACGGTTTTCAACACAAATTATTTTTGCATAAAAAATCAATTATTTTTTCTTTCTACTATTAACAAGCCGACTTTATCCTAAACCAAGCATAACAACTATCCTCTATTCAAAATTAGTATCGCAATATAACGGCGCGATGGGTTCCCAAACGTGTTGTACCTCGACTTCCTGCACACCCAACGCTTCATCAATGCTGCATACTACTCTAACCGTCTGAAAACACACGTGAAACGCGCTTATAGCTCGAGCATTCCAGCACGAAGTGCGATTCTTCTCCAGGATAACGCGCGACCTCATGCCGCGAGTCTCACGCTCGATATAATATCGAAATTGGGGTCGGAGGTACTGGAACACCCTCCCCCTCACAGTCCGGATTTATCATCCTGCGACTACCACACGTTTGCACCACTGAAAGAAGCCCTCGGAGGTCAAAGACTCAACACCGACGACGAGGTGCGCACATGGCTGTCCGAGTTGCCCAAGGAATTCTTCTAAAGCTTCCGGAAAGGTGGACAAAATGCGTAACTAGTGAGGGAACGTACCTAGAAAAACTGTATTTTTTTCGATAGTAAATAAACGTGTCAGACCATTCGTCTCGATCATGTTTGAACCGCGCTCGTATATAAAAATGAATCCCTATTTCCCGCGGTCGCGTCATAACTTGAGAATTTACCAATTTCATTCATCTTTTTTTTTAAGTTTCCTACTACTGTATAGAAGGTTCTTACGGAAAGAAAAATCAAGAATATTGCGCAGAAAATTGGGAAATCATTGAAGACCTAATGAATATTTGAGCTACGCGTGTTTGACAGTTCGCTTGGGGATGGAGCACGGAGTTCGCTTGAGTATGGAGCACGAACAGCAGAAGAAATATCTCAAATGCCAAAAGACACAGGCATCCGTCTCCGCCTTTTTTCTTTACAACGGCTATTGACAGTTAGGCATGGGAAAGAAAACAGGGTGCTTTCGTTTTTGGACTTCATTTCTTTATCATCCGTACTTTATGATGGCCCTTCCGAAAGAAACGGCAGTGTTGCCTAACTGTTATGTTTGTCAGTTAATTCTATGAATAAAAATGGCGGATGAAAATAAGTTTCTTTTGCGTAATTGACTTTCACTACTCTATCATTTTGAACTTGACAGCTCATACGCCGCAAGTGTATTTTATCGTTTAACAGGGTTTACCGATGTTATTGTTGTTATTTTATAGTTTTACAATTAAAATTAAAAAAATTGCGCGTTCCGAAAAAAAAAGTGGCGTACTATTTTTATTTCGAAAAATAATGCCACTAATCCCCTGTATCTCCGCCACTGATGTATGTTAATTCTAAGTAAATACTTCTGAATGTGGACAATACTTAGGTGAATCCACATACCAAATTTTAGTTCATAGATGCGATCAACTTGAAATTTTGATTCATTTTCAAGAAACGCATTGACCATGATCCTTTTCAATGTATTTTCTTTGTTCTGAGGTTGAAAACTATTGAGCTATAACGTTGTATCTCCACTGTCCACATAAAATCAGCCATAGACTTTTTTCCCTACATAACCACTATAAGTAGTAATAAGACATCTTACCTTTGGTACTTGCACCACTGGCGTGACACATACGGTGCCGTCACTGTTTGTGTGGAGGTGTTGAATGTTGGCTACCATCGTCTGATACATCGAAGCGCTGACTGGCACTGTTATAACTCCGCTTACTGAAATTGCTTCACCTGAGTTTAGTATTTGAAAGCCAACAAAACAAATCCCTTGGAGGACGAGTTTTTAGTGTTGGTCGATAGCAGAAAGAGATATTCAAACAAACCACTAGTCAAAGTCGAACTTTTAAATCTGGTGAAGGGTAATAAAAGTGGTGACAAGTATGTCATCGACGAAATGGCTAAATCTACCAATCGGACTATCTTACGCCTGCCTCCTGTGCGAGTTTAACCCAATTGAGTTAATTTGGGCGCAAAATAAAAACGAAATTTTCAAAAAAAAAACACAACTTTCAAGATAGCAGATGCAAAGCAACTTTTTTACACCGCGGTACCAAATGTAACTCCGGAAAATTGGAAAAAAGCAATCGAACATGTTGAGAATGAGGAAGAAAAAAAATGTGAACAACTGACCAATGTATGGAAAGAGTGGTTGAACCAGGAAACGATTCAGAATCTTCAGTTTATACTGGTAGTGATAGCGATTAGTTAAAAAATGTAATTTGTATATTTACCGGATAATGACGAAGGACCTATAGCCCTAAATATACTTGTATACCATGTTTATTTTGACGGCTCTATGCGGTTAGACTTCGAAGTAGGTTATCCCAATCCTATGTTAATCCTGATCGCTAATTTCGAAGGAGCCCTCTGTCCAAGATTTTGACGTTATCAGTTTTGGTTTGACTTGTGGATTGCCGAAATATCCGGATAGAGCCGTCGAAATAAACATGGTAATGAAATGCAGGTAGATTTATTATTAGATATTATATAAAAAAGATCCAGAACCTAATATAAAAAAGAATTTAATTTTTGAGCTCTTTTCTTTATTTTTTCCCATGTATTAAAATTATGTTTGTAATATAAAAAATATGTGAAGTTAACGAATCATAAAGCATATTTAATATATCAATGTAATAAAGTAATGAAAAGATAGAAGAAACAGTGAAAATAATCAATTAATTTTAAAACCTACACGCCACTCGCATCGGTTTTGCAGGTAGTTGTACGGTGTAAATCGGGCTGCCCTGTCACTTGTTTTATTACTCCATAGGTTCGTTGGATAAATTATAGGCAAATATACGCTCGTTACTTGTCGCTTTATACAAGGCGATTCATAACCACGTAGCAACACAAACATGCATTCTCTCTAATGGCATAGAAAGGTGCATATTTTTCAAGAAGCGTATATTCTTTGATCATGTCTGTAACTAACTTTTTTTTTAGATATATTTCTTAATAACGAAGCAGTCGACTCATTACACACTAAAAACTCATCCTGTGTACAGTAGAACCGCGATTATCCGAAATAATGTGGAAGTGCTTTCAGATAATCGAAATTTCGGATAAAACGGAAATAAATATTTTAGACTTTAATGCTTTTATTGAAAAAAGGAAATGCGTGTGTTAAGTGAGTATACGGGGTTTGTCCGGAAGGTAATAGCACTGATTCGATTTAAAAAAAATATTGAGCCAATCGTTACAATTCTTTAAAAACTTTCAAAATAGGCTCCTTCTGCGTCGATGCAGCGCTGCCAGCGCGATTTCCAAGCATTGAAGGCGTCACGGAAGGCATTCTCCGGAATAGCCTTGAGAGCCGCGATGCATGCAGCTTGGATCCCCTCTGTCGTCTCAAAATGCTTGCCTTTCATCGGCCTTTTCAGGCGAGGAAACAAAAAAAAGTCCGGGGGGGGGGGGGGGGGCACATCTGGGCTTCTGAGCACTTCCACGTAAAACTTGGCGTTGACGGTTTGTCCAGGATTATGAACCTGACTAAAACAAACTTACACGCACACATATACAACTGAATTCCGCAAACGCGCTTGGGGAATCACCGGCAGCGAATCTAATGACGCAAACGCCGAATGAGGAACTACCGGCGGCTATTTCGGATCATGCGCCGATTTTCCGAACAACTTCGGTTAAAACGGAGAAATTATTGTATGCGATCTGTTTCAGATAAAACGGATTTCGGATAACCACGATTCGGATAAACTGGGTTCTACTGTATTATCAAATATATGTTACTGTTACATCAGTTTAAAAAGAAACAAACATTGTCTCGTTAACACATGAAAGTTCGTAAAGACTAAACCCGAAGGAAGAAAAAAATGCTGCCGAGTAGATTCGATTCGATACTTCCCAAGTATTCGTTCCGTTCTTTGAATTCCAGGATGTAAAAAAATAACGGGTCATATATCTTAGATCCCAATTTTGTACTCCGAACCATGATAAATATGCAAATTATAAGGACCGAACGGATTCGCAGAAACCCCCTATCATATAACCACGTAAACAAACCGTAGTAATTTAACAGTACTGAATACTGACAGTCATGACAGATTGCTTTTTTTTTTCGATTTTGACAGGAACTCTGTCCAAATTTTCCACGTTTCGTTAATACAAGAAATTAATAGATTTAGAATCATAGAGCCACAGAACGACAAGTAAAGATAATAATAAATAATAATAATAATAATAATAATAATAAAAATAATAATAATATTATTCTTGATAATAGCGTTTATTTCCAGAACAAAAAAATCAAAAATGAAAAAACAACATCAATTCCCTGCAAAAGGGACTAGCAAACAGGCAAGCTGATCAAAGTACTAGCCCAACAAACAAAATAACAACAGAGGAGTGTTTAACCAAATTATATAAGTTGATATTAAAAACAACACAAGCGTCAAAAAAATATATTCATAAAGAAATTATAAGCACATTTTGATTTAACAAAAAAGGTCAAATAATTTTAGGCAGATTTAAAGGAAAAACATATTCATACATTTACATGCTCATACACAGGGTGGCCCATCCATGTGTGGACGGAATATTGCTCATACATAAATACATTTTGGAATAATCAATTTATCGGATGTTATACATGACATTTTAAGGGCATATTTCTAAAATATTGGCCATTATAGAGGGTGTCCCAATTTCGACCTACATATCAAAGTTGTGATTTTTCAAATGGAATGCCTCACATTTTATTGAATATTTGAATAAATAAATTCAAAAGAAGAAAATTGATATAACATACTATGGGGTTTTGGTAATTCGCATATAAGGTGTTTTGTCTAGAAAAACCCCCCACTTCGGCAACCCGTCCGTCCGCTATTTTGAAATTTGGAGTGCTGAATTTTGTATCAAAGAAAACTTACACACCTCAACTTTTATCCTATTTGTTACTTTTTCGAATTTTAATTTTTGCTCATACAGGGTGGTCAAAAACGCAAATTGTACTTTTTCTCAAAAATTTCAAATGCATCACCCTGTATATTTGTGCAAGTTTGGATTCAATTTTTTATAAGCTTCTTTGGGACACCCTGTTAATTGCCAATATTTTAGAAATGTGCCCTCAAATGTCATGTATAACATGCCTCAGATAGATTTTCCCAAAATGTATTTGTTTATGAGTAATATTCCGTCCACACATGGATGGGCCACCCTGTATACACATAAAAAGGAAATATAAAGTAAACGATACAATTCATCTAATATACATTTTCTGTAACTTCACAGACATAGATTTAAGGTTTGTGGGGACGTGATTGTTGTACAAGTGATAGATAATATGAGAAAAAGATCTAAAACATAGATGTACGATGACGAGGTTAGGAAATCTGCTTCCAGGACCGAACATTGATATTATGAACACCACTGTAGTCTTATTAAATAAATAAGGCGGAGTTTTATACAGAATAATTTAATGAAACATAACTGCAGAGTGCAAAGTGACCACAGAAGCAACAGAACGACAAACAAAGGCTCATTACGTCAGTGGTATATGGATTTTTCTGTATAACAAAAATCAAGAGAATTTATTTAGAACTCTGCCTATGTCTTGCATTTATTTGTATCTGTGATCATATTTCTATACAGAGCTATTCAACATTTATTTTAGCGCGTCAAGCAGAATGCTACACCACTTAGTTTAGTAATAAAAGAAGTATGTTAGCTTGAAATTCAAGTTTGTTCCATCCAAGGTCTATTTGACATGGTCGTGAGTTATAAAAACAGTCTGGCCTTACGACGATGTTTATTTATTTCTTTACCTAACCACCAAAAATCGTAAAAAGTAAAAATTGGCGATGAATGAATATTTTATAGCATCTCGGCAACACCGCCTCGACATCCAATGACGGTCTGAACATAGATCGATGTTTTTATTTGTAAAACAGTAATAGTTCAAGAGCCGTCCGCAAGGTTTTGGTTACATAATATATACATATGGAATGCTAAAAACTATTATAGTCAGTATTTTGATGTTAAACAACGAACTCGGTAGGTTTGCTGTTTTTAGCGTCAAAATACGTAAGATGCCACTAGTCTTTAGTTGTTATTGTATCATATCAGTACGCGACAATGTAGCAAAAAAATCACGACGGGCTTCTCTATAGTACAGATGATGCACAAGGTCAATGGGGTCGACCGGCGGATTATAAAGGCATTACTCTTTAGTAATGCTATGGACCTGCAAAGGAGCAGTATCGACAGCGTTGCCAGACAAAAAACAAAGGATATGGGCATGTTCTACGCTCACTAGATTCCGTTTGGCGTTTCCCCTTTCCTCTATATCACGTATTCTATCTGAAGATACATCTAGTGAAGAAGAAACAAACTGCTGTAGTGCTAATAATAATAATAATACATCATTAGGTTGGTTTTCTTCGGGTAGACTGCGTTATTGAATGATTAAACTTATAGACCATCAATTGGCAAATGTGGAGACAACATTATCTATCAAGAGATTCAATTGCATTTTCCTATTATTCCAGGGATAGTGAAGCAAAAAAATATATTATATCATAGAAGTGTAAAACCTTAAAACGAAATAAAACAAAGAAATCTTTATAAATGCTATAATTAAAATAAATAACTAAAAAAACAAAACTCCTAATTCAGATAGGACTGTAATTTCAGATACGGCTGTAAATTCAGAACGGCAGTATAAATCTCAAGTGCATCTGAAAAATTAATTTGATATCTAAAGGTTCCATTGTGTCTGGTTTATCGACGTGGATCAGTGATTTGACATATCCCTGGAGAAAATGAACCATACCATGACTTAAAAAGCATACGACATCTAACACCAACTGATTGATATATAATTCATTAAAAACGATGGTTACCAAAAGTTATAGTCAAAGGACAGATGGAGCATGTTAATATGAAAAAAAAAATCATAAACGTAATCTTGTAAAGTCCCCGCTTCCAAGATATAGATACTGTAAATTTTGTATTCTTCTGACACGAACATACACATCTCGTTAATCAACAACCGCTCATTTGTCCCGAGGGTGTCAAGATTGTGGAACAATCTTACTACAGTTCTAAACTTACGTTAAAAATCGGATTAACAAATTTTCTTTAGGGTTCTTATAGCAGTCGCGGTGTCCTGCTAATTATTAGGTTTCTGCCTGCGCGGCTGCTTCGGTATAAAGTAAAATAAAAAAATCAATAGCGATCAACATAATCATGTACACCTGGGGCCCTGAGTACCACCTACCTACCTGCAACGAGTCTTTAGCAGATGTAAACGAAATGTTTAGTCTCCGGAGCTCAGATCTCACGGCACAGGATTATTTTATCTGGGGATGAATCAAGAGCCGCGTTTACGCCAATAAACCGACGACGATTGTCCAGCTCAACCACAACATTACCGAGGAGGAGTCCGTTACCCCACGAGCGATCTGCCAGCGAGTTTTCACGAATTTCAAGTCGAGATTCGAGGAGTGCGTATGTCTCGATTGCTACGCTTTGTAGTTTTTTCTACGATTTTTTAAAATACGCGCAACTTAATGGCCCACCCTGTATCTTAAATATGCTGAAAATGGGTTTATTACTATTTTTCCGTGAGGAATTGCGTTAATTAACTTATCAAGGCTTAAACAACGTTTTTAGCCTATCTACTGCAACATACGGCTATTCTACATGAAAAATTAATGTTAGTTTGCTTTGTAAACTATGGCCCAAAAATGTTTCCTTACAAAAACTCAGGGTGTTGAAGTTTTAGGAAAAAAAATGGAAATTGAGTAATATTTTCAGAACCGCTTCAGAGATTTCATTGATATTTAGTACGCAGTGAAAGTTGATAAAGATGCATGTTTTTGAAAAACTTCAACACCATGAGTTTTTGTAAGGAAATATTTTTGGACCATAGTTTATGAAACAAAGTAACATTAATTTTTAATGTAGATTCACACCCTTAAATTCGCATATCATTAAGGAACACCCTGTATAAAATAACTATAATGATAATTATGGTAATAATAATATTAGTCATAATGATAATAAATCTCAACCTCAACATTTAAAGGCGCACATGATAAACGCAATTGTATAAGGATCGACACCTGATATCTACCGAAACTCCACAAACGCATCTCTGATTAGCATCAAAGATCATGTGATCTCGCACCTATGGATTATTTTCTATGTGAGGGTATGTAAAATCACTTGTCAATGTCAAAAAACTAGGTTCTGCAGATAGAAGAAGGTGTACAAATCAACGATCGTAACAAAAAATTGTTTTTTAGATCGAATCTTAGTGTCTGTGAATATGCACATACCATGTCCATCTTCTCCAGTGAGTATGATTTGACCATCAGGATTCAGAGTAGCTTCTGTCACGGAATTCAGATCGACAACTTCACCCGAGCCTTCTGTTATCGTCTGGATAGTGTGCACCTGATTGCCATCTCCCTGTGCAGACTGTAACTATTAGGAAACACACCCTTTCAACATATTTTCCTTTCGATAACAAACCAAATGTTGCCAATCACACAACAAATAGACGTTCTATATACTGGTGCACTGCCAAAAAGCAAAATTATAGAAAACAAATATAAAATAACTAGTATACGTTTACTTTGGTTTGTCAATCCAAGTCTGACCAGGGTAAATTTACTATCAAACTAATCTAAACGGAGAATCAGCTCATACCAAAACTTGAAATAGTGGTGATTCTATGAATATTTGGCTTAGAACGCACTTTTAAACTAGCATATTTTCTAAAGTGTACCTTTATTGTACTAGACATCCATATTAATAATATCCATATATAAGTTAGGCGATGAGACCGACAACGTAGCGTTCGATCTGGCAACACTGGAGGCAGGGGAACACGTGATGCGTCTTCAGTACAAGTTTGAACTCGCTCGAGTCAAACTTGAGCACAGTGCAACGGAAACCTTTGGGGGTCAGAAGCGTATAAATATATTGCCCCCCAAAAAATGAAATATACTATCCCCCACCTCCTACAATCCCCAAATTTAAACCAGTTCAAAAATGTTTCTGAAAGAAAACGGTCAGGAGTCTCTGAAACGTCAAAAGACGACACCTTTTTTTATCCTTTCTGTGAAAGTTTCACAAAAATCCGAGCGGAGCATCCTGAGTTATAGACGGTCCAAGGATTGGCGGAAAAATAGCAGACCGGCAGACCAACAAACTGAAGGAAATGAGTGTGACATTGCACCAGACGTACACTAATTTGACGACTGCAATATCTTCTGCGCCACCGGCTTACTTGCAACATTTATGTATTTAATTTTACATCAATTGTCTCTGTAGAGAAATTTTTGCCAGACCGTTTGTTTTGGAGAAAGTCAGGTTTGCCTATTTGAGAGTTGAGACCTTTGAAAAGCATGAACCATTTCTACTTTGAAATATACTGCGACTCGGTAAGAGGACATTTTGGGACCTAACGATACTGCCAATGTTTCCTGAATTACTGTGTACGTTGAAAAAATATTGGCATGAACTGATTCAGTGAAACTGAGGGATAAATAATACTGGAACAAATACACGTAAAACCATGCCAAACAAAAAAGCTACCTTTCCAGCAGAAAACAAATATTTAACTTGATCAGACCGAACTAAAATAAAATAAATCATAATATCTACCACATAGATAAATGCAATTTGTAACTTACGGTTGCCATGCCTTGGACATGAGCTGTAGTGCCATCTGGTAAGGTGATGATGGGGTTATTCGGATCAACCTGGACGATGCTCACAGTTCCATCTGGGTTAGTGATTGTATGTAGGACTGTTGGAGTATACTGTGTTGACATCTGAAATGCGTTAAAACTTCTATATCACGACAAATGCCCAACATGTATTTACACATAAATGGTATCCTATAAACTTAGTCTCACGTCGATCAGCATTGATTTTAGAAAATAGGCTCAAGTAAGCAGCGAGATATGGCAATGACGGTTAGGAGTTGGATGTTAGAAATAAATGAGGGACCATTTTTGGAGGACGAACAGCAAGAATAAGATTTTGTTGATTTTCATCCAAAATTAGTTGTTCTGGACTGAAAGGGAATGTTTACACGTTTGGAAATACATAATATACAGGGTGCTAATAAAGTATGTAGACAGACTTTAACCATTGAATCCTTGGTCAATTTGAAGACTAAATGTTTATATGAACATGGGTCCGCAACAGCTTTCTTTTCGAGCTAGAGCAAAATATATGCGACAAGTGGGTCATTCTCCTTGGTCCGATTTTTACGAAACTATCAAACAAATGTCAACTGCGCGAAAGTGTCCAATACTCGCAGGGTAGTTTTGTTGAATAAGAAATGATGGAATTATGGAATTACAAGTCAGTATCTCGTATACACATACACGATGCTACGAGTTACTTAATATAGTTGTGACTTTCTTTGTGTGCTGATATATACGATATAAAAGAGTGGCGTTTTTCTGGGACACACTGTATGTGAAATACATGTTGCAGACATTCATACATATGTAATATAAAATAAACAAGAAACAAAACCAAGCTAAATGGGTACAAATAATACTGAAAATGTTCTAAGTGGGAAGAACTTCGCATTCTACATGCTAAAATAATAATTTATCAAACAATAAAATGTGTTTATCAAAAGTAGGTAGCACCTTAATTGTATGTGGTAACTAATAGTCTAACCTGGACTGAACAGAATCCCTGGAATCTAAGCGAAATAAAAATGTTATGCGCGTATATTTGGTCTTTTCACTTGGAAATCTCTCTACCAAGATGAACCATTACGAGTATGTCTGTAGCTTCTCTAATGTAAAACAATCCACAAAATAAAAATATAATTCGGGAATCAAAATATAATGTGTCACCGAACGAACGGCAGCAAAAAAGCTTTGGTGCTATGAAAAACAGAAAAATACAACCGTGAGGTCAATACTCTAAACTAAAAATAGCGACAAGCAAACATGTACATAGCTCATCTAAGAATTTCATCATACACCTTCGATCGCGGATTTAAAAAAAAATTCTGCAATAAACAATAGAAAAATACACATTGAAGCCTCAGGCTTAATACCCGAACAATTTCAGCATGTCCAAACGTTTTAAGAAATAGCATTAAAATTATCACTCTGTTGAGATGCAGCAAAGAATATAATTTGAACCCGGAATAAAATGTTACAAAACACAATCACAATGTTGGTAATTCGTGAATTGATTGATTTATGGTTTCTCAAAAACCCACTCTAAACTAAAAACATACAAGATGCAACTATTGATAAAAACGATTTTAAACCCAAAGTATAGAATGCAGAAGAAAGAAGGTGCTACAAAAAACAAAGAATTTTTCAATGTAAACATTTGCTCCGAGATATCCACGTTTCCTAATAATTCAATAAGCAAAGCTTATCAGCAAATCCCTCCAAGAGAGAAAGAAAGAAGCTAAGATACAACAGAACAATATGATTTGAAACCCCAAATAAGATGCTATGAAAAAAGGATTAGAAAAAATAAGCACGATTTCGATAATAGCGAAAAATAGCTATACACATCAACGTTTGAGCTACAGCTAGCTGGATCAATATTTGTTTAAATGTCATAACATATATCCACGCGTCCTATAAATAAAAATAGTTCGATGTTTTATATAACCGCTTAAAATCCGTGCTAGCATAGAAAAGGCTACATGCAGCTACAATAGAAACATAAAAACGAAAAGTAGAATACTACGAAAAAAAGCGCCAAATATTACAAAAATCGATTTCGATAATAGTGAAAAGAAAAATGCCTACATTATGTCAACGTATCAGCTATATCCCGTTGGGTGAAAGCGAACATTTTTTTAAATGTGATAAGCCACAAATCCCGATATATCCACGCGTTCAAACAATTAAATATATGTATATTTTGATATTTTTTAAAGAGTAAAAAGGCCACGATGCAGCTACAACAGAAAAATAAATTTGAAATCCAAAGTAAAATGCTAGGAAAAAAAGCGCTAAGTATTACAAAAAACAACCACAACGATGTCGATAATAGTGAAAAATGGCTACACACATCAACGTCTGAGCTATAGCCGGCTGGGTCAAGGCAAACCTGCGTGGAAGACCCCGAAAGACCGTCAGGTGATGCGGCAATAATTTGGGGCGACCCATTAGCTTGGATCTGTATCTTATGGGTGGGCAAAACGCCCGATGTGTGCATTTTTAACACTCCCACTGAGGTACTGACATTTGCATTGGCTGTAGCCGCAGCGTTTGCTTTTTCGTCCTCCTCTGTAAATGCTGGCAACAAATCTTCTCTGCCATGGAACTTGTAGCAGTTTATCACTATCTGCCTCAGAGCATGTGTCCATGAAATCTGAAACAAAAATATATTTAGTACATGTTTCCAACATATAATGCTTACAAAACCAAATACTTTCAGTGTTTGTGATCCCTTGCTGGCTTAGTTAAGAAGCTCTACCTAACAGGAGGAAAGCAAATATCAGGTGTGCTCCCGTTTATTTTATAAAAATGTGTCTCATAATTGTGAAAAATTGGGATGTTCAAGAAGACATAAATAATTTTATTTGCTGGTGAAATTTGAATCAAATGCAAATGAACATAAGTACAGGGTGGCCCATAAGTCATTTGAGCTGGAAAAAAAGGAATAAAACCAAACTAGTTACATTATGAAGAATTATTATATTTTGTTATAATCTTTATTGAATGGGAATTATGTTTTAAAAATCACATCGTCTAAATGCAATCCATTACGATCACGGCACTCATATAAACGACGTCTAAAATTGTCGATGATTGCGCGGCAAGTCAACACTGTAATGCTTGCCATTTCTCTTCGGATATTTTCTTTCAGGACATCAACTGATCGCGGAGTGGTGTCGTACACTTTACTCTTGAGGTAGCCCCATAAAAAGAAGTCCATTGAGGTCAAATCTGGACTACGTGGTGGCCAGGAAATGTCTCCTCTTCGAGAAATTACTTTGCTGGGAAAAAGTTGACAGACGACGGGCATAAAAGTGTTGGAGGTGTGGGCAGTTGCTCCGTCCTGTTCAAACCAGGTCTGCGTATTATAGCCTGAAAAATTCTGCAACGCTGGTGTCAAAAACTCTTCTATCATTGCTACATACCGCTCCGAAGTAACAGTTAATGCGCGACCTCTGTCGTCCTCAAAAAAAAAGGGCCTACGATGCCATGCGCTGACATAGCAGCCCAAACTGTAACTTTAGGGCTGTGTAAGGGCTTCTGATGCTTACGCCTTGGATTTTCGGGGCTCCAATAACGGCAATTTTGTTTATTTACATGCCCGTTTAAATGGAAGTGAGCCTCGTCCGAGAACAACACATTATTGAGCGAAGAAAATCGATTCATCATTTCATTCGCAAAGTTTAGTCTCTGAATAGCGTCATTATCTTTTAATTCCTGCACTAACTGAATTTTGTAAGCGTGCAGACGTAAATCTTTCCTTAAAATCTGCTGTAAAGATGGTTTGGGTACGTTTAGTGCTCTGGAACGCTTACGAGTAGACTGGGTAGGATTTTGACGAACAGACTGTGCCACAATGTTGATGTTTTCTTCAATACGAGTTGTCCTTGGTCGACCCCACCGCTGTTTATCTAACGTCGAACCAGTCTCTTCGAACTTAGCAACCCAGTTCTTAATCGTTTGAGCTGTTGGACACTTTGTAAAATTGTGTAAATTGTGGTATTCTCGATATTTACGCCGCGCAATGGTTGCCGAATCATTATTTTGATAAAACGCGCGCACACAAAAAGCACGATCCGCTCCAGTGAAACACTCCATGGCGACTGAATTCCCAGACACTGTAGATACTGCCCCCACCTCGCCCGCGCCGCTCACGCTCACCCGTTAAATTTTATTCAAATTTGAAATTTCAAAGGACTTATGGACCACCCTGTATAAGTTAAGATGATAAGTTTTTATAGGATACATAAAACATTTAATTTGAACTATCAACTTGAATCTGTAGTCATGGAAAACTTTAATATCATAAAAGACCTCGGGGTTATTATGGATTATAATTTTATCTTGAAAAAGATTCCATGTGTGCACGCTGCAGAGTAGAGGACGAACCCTTGACACATGGCCTGTGTTGATGTAAGACATCGTGGACCGTCAGAACGTCAAAGAGTTGGGGCTCAAAGCCATGCTCAGCTTTCCCAAGAGGGTAGGTTCAAACCCATAAAAGCCACAAAGTACCTCCTGGTTGCCAGAATGTCCTCTAGTTCACTTTCATTCATTCAACCTTCCATAAATTTATCTTACCTTTTGCTTCTCATCTTCGCTTCGTGCATCCATTCGGACATTAGCCCATGGCAATTCCTTGGGCCACCACGGTGGTCTTGTTGATTCCCTGCCCCAACCTGGTTTACCTCTGCCTGTTGAGTATTTCAACATGAGTGGGATGAATGCCCTGAGTTGTGCTTGGGTCATTTTCTCGACTGGTGTGGGAATTCCATCAATGATTAGTGGAGGTAGCTCGAATAGAGTTGGATCCTCTTGCACCGGAGGAGGAGCTTGATGTGCTAGGGCACTGTCTAACTCTTCCATGATCATGCCTGTATTTAGAAAATATGTTAAAACTGCCGTCATACAAAGATTGATCGACTTTGCATAATATGTTCCTGTAATGTTCACTGGGCCGATTTTCAAAAACTACAGTAGTAGTAACATCGTGTAAATATTTCATTAAAATCCGAGCGGTACTTCTCAAGTTATAGACGGCCCAAGGATTAGCGGACAGACTGAAAAGACTGACGGAAATGAGTGACATTGTGGGAGGTAAAAAACAATTGCAGCAGCATTTACAACCTTATTGTCGACATTTTATTATAATTCTTTGGTAATCGACCTAAAAGCAAATAGCATCAAAAAAGTGTGATATATTAACATGATAGGGACAGAGGCATATACATTGAGCCTCGTACAAGGCATACCATAAATTCATCAACATTTATATTTGACTCACTTGTCAAACTAAGTATGTAAAGTAATATTTCAAGTAAGATCAATGGTTGTATGTTGCTTTTAATGTTAGACCACTTTTGGTTCATCATGTATTTACATACCTCTTAAGTTTTTTATCACATCTTCTAGTGGCTTAGCTCCAAAAACTTTGTAGCTTGTATTTGGTTTCCCTGGTGTTGCTACTAAGACTATTGCTTGCTGTCCCACTCTTGTCGCGAATTCATCAATAGTTTGCTACAACCAAATGAGGCATATACAGGATGATTCAAAAAACAATGAACATGTTTAAGAAATGCATTCATATTTATAGATTTGATCTATATTTTTGATCTTTAAAGTTAATTTGCTTTGATGCACATACTTTTCTCAACACCTTGGACATATTATTATTGGCATTAGTTCAAATAACTTCAATACTCAGTAAGAGGGCGTTTTAGGAACCATATATGTATTTTAGTGTCATTTTTGGACCTACTTTATGTCATACAAACATTGTTATTTGTCTTCCAAATCAGCCAGTATAAATGTATACTAGATAACAAAGAATGGGAATGTATATGTTATAGAAATAACTGAATCACTCACCCGCAACTTCCTTAATAGTCTGTTTTGATGTCGTTTTCTGATTGAGGGATTCGTTTCAAATGAGTGAGGTCTTTTCCGTTTTTTAGATGATACTATGGCTGCAGCAGCTGCTACTCCAACAGGACCTTCAAATTGGCACATAGTAGTAGTACTATTTTACTCAGCCAAAATAACATGGTTCAAATGGAAAGTCACAAAAAAGAATGAACATAGGAAAAACAAAAATGTGTCATCCGAAGATACATTAATAAACTATGCAATAATGAATTTAAATTTAAAACTGTATGTTATAACACATTAAAATAACTGACAAAAGTAAAAAATTTGTAAGAAACAATACTCAAAAAGATCCATTTTAACGGGATTAACATCCACAACTTAAAAATTCGTCAATAGAATAAAAACATTTATTAGTTAAATAATTGAAAACCATGTAGATATCAAAACGATTTGCTTTTAACTTGGTGATTCTTGTATTATAATTACACTGTTCATTTTGCATCTCGAAGTTGTTACTGCTATGTTTAACATGATTTACACATTTATATATAAAAATACAAGGTACAGTGAGCAGTTTGTGTATACATTTAGATGAATTTTTGTTGTCTTGAACTCCACTTAAATACTTGCTTTGGAACTGAGTAGCATCAGCTATTCACTAAGAGTGTTGTCCAGGTATATAAATTCAGCATTTTTAAAAACAGTGGAATCATTTTAGATCCTAGATTCGGAATAAATATTATTATTACTCTACTGTGACCAGGCACCGAAATCAGGGTAACTGGATCGGATATGCATAATTGGCAAAAACCTTTAAAAAGTAAAATCAAATGTTGGAATCTTACCAGCTGCAGCTAGCTGTGCTGTAACTTCATCCCCCATAGCTGCTGCCATGAGGTCAGAGTTTTCCTCATAGGCAGAGCCAGGAGATGAGGGTATGTTATCTTCATCATCATCTGATGGGCCAGGTGAAGCCACCACCATGGCAATTTGTTGTTCAGTGTTGTTTTGGTTTCCGTTAGAATTATTCATTATCAAGACCAATCACCCATACCATGGAAGACAGTCCCCCTGGAACAATAATTTGATTGGAGATTGTTGATAATAACTCGCCGCTTGAATGCAGAAGTATTCTAAATCACAAAATGCCAGTATTAGTATTGCCTGGTTTGCAGTCATTTTTTTTGCGTGCGTGTGCCCAACATTATAAACTGAAACTGAAACACCCTATACATGGAAGTTCCAGAATGATAACAAAGTTTGTCAGTAGCTAAAACAGTTTTCAAAAATCAAACTGGATCACTAATACTACCTATTTACTTGATGATGGATTATTGATTGGATTACATGAAGAAGAAATGGAAGATTTACTAAAAACCTTGAAAACACAGTTTGAAATAGTTTCTATGAGTTTTGGAATTTTCGAATATTACTACAACTACTTTTTTAGGAATGGAAATACTAAAAGTTTCTGATGGAATTCTCAACCTAAATATATCAGACATATTTTAGAAACCTTTCATATGGGGGATTCAAAAACAGTAAGAACACTATGGAAACTAATAAAGGAGGAAAAGATCAACCTATAAATAGAAGATTTCCTTATCGTGAGCTGATTCGAAGTTTGCTGAATGTTGCAAGTAAAACAAGACCAGATATTGCTCTTGGCTCCTGGAGCAGAAAAATGGAAAATCCCACTAACAGTGATGTAGAAAATATGAAGATCACGCTACCCTACTTGAAATTGACTGAAAGCTAGGGAATAAAAATTTATAAAGACCGATGGAAGTGAAGTAGTATAATACAGTGACTCTGACTGTGCTGGTGATTTGGAAACAAGAGTACTACTGGGTATGTTGTAATGTACTGTTGTGGACCTATTGTATGGTGCAGAGATCACATAATAGGTTTTACTGTAAATGATAATAGATCCATTTTTAGCATAGACATTTACAACACACTGTATCTTGAAAATGAAAGCCCGGTGGACCAACATTTATATCAACTTTTTATTTTGGAAACACCTAACGAAATGCCCTGTAGACTTGGACTGTATAGAGTAGGAATTAGAGGCAAAAGTATAAAATATTTTGATATTTATCTATTACAATGAACGAAAATTCAGAAGGTGAGCTATCACAGGTATAAAACAGCTACATGCATAACAAGCTCATTGAGATAAGGGAAATGTTGAGAAAAGTAACATAAAATTAGCCTTTGACTGCTATTTAGTGGAAGTGAGGTTAGGTGCATGCAGGGAATTTGAACATAACCATTACAAACATTTAGGACAACCTAGTAGTTACTATAGGATTTGGTTCCATTCAAAGGGAGGCATAACAGAGGCGATTATTGGAATATATAAATACTAGGCACAAAATCAATAATTGATGTATGTTCCCCCTCACCCCTTACCGTGGAGATAAACCCATAGCTGAGGATTTTCTCGGAAAATTGATCCGGAGAAACAAAACTGAGGAAGATAGTTTGAAAAATGCAAATAGCCCGCATCTGTACTATCGTATGTTTTTTCAACTAATGCACATGAACATAAACAGTGTTTGCGCAAAAGGCCGTGGTTTGGCGCCTTTCCTATCATGCTGATAACAAATAATTTGAAAAGATGGCTTCCTTATAAGTAATATGTAAAATAGCATGCTTGTATGATGCTTCTGCTAATCATTTAGAGAATGCTGTAAATATGTGCTGTTAAAATGAGAGAGCGGCATTATTTGATATTGGATGAAAACGCGCCTTCGTCGGCCACAGTGTAAAGAGCAGGCCCAGTCAAAATAAAATTTACTACGGCTGCGTACGCACCTGCGTGTATTGTGCACATTTAATATAAAAACATGACTGCCGGCGCAGTTTCGCGTATTTTTGTGTTTTTTACGTTTATAATTCGGCTCACACCACTTCACGGCAAATTTTTCGTTTGGTAAATATTTAGTGTACGCACTGACAGATAGATTATACGTCACATTCTCAAATATCGATCGAAGTCCCGCTGTTAAAATGTCGGACATTATTTGGAGACACAGCCATATTTCACGAGTCTGCGCATTTTCACTTCGGCGATAAAATGTGCTAGTACGTACCTTGTGTTGAGAAGGAATTTAATTTTTACAAAATTTTGAACACAAAAATAAATTACCGAAATTAAATGAACGTGAATTTTAACTTCCACGCTTCGTACGAAGTAATATGCTTTATGGAAATATCAAAACAAAAGATAAAGCTCGTTTGTTGATGCATAAAATTGCTAAGTTTCTAGCGACATCTGTCCATTAAAAGTTTAACTACAGATCCAGTGCATTGGAGATAAGATAATCCAATACAGATAGCCTTGAAACATTTTACTGGTCACATGATCATTCAGCCACGCCCCGTTTTCTACACAGCTTTTTCCACTGGAAGCTGTGTTCCAGATAGCGGGTACAGACCACAAAACATATACACAGACCCACGTACAGTACAGTGTATATCACAAAACAGAAAACATATATGTTTTATGGTGGGTAGAGATGGCCGATATTGTTGTTTCTAAATATATGTGATATCGTTACTTTTTGATATTAGCGATTTAGAACCTTGACCCTTGAGGTGATCACGACTTTCGAATAACGATGAGATTATGAGTATAGTGATGTCCTGAGCAAAATACCGCGAATAATTCGCATGGAGACAACTATCAAAGTCCATAAGGCATGATTTCTCTTCCAGGCCATAGTAGTCTTATGGAGGTATATGATTTTCGACCTTAGCGCGTAAGCACACCTCACGGATACTGAAATGCTAACGCTGTGATCTTTCCATGCCATTCGCCGAGAAGTACCTACTTCCCGAAGTCGTGAACACGTCACAGTTTTTACCGTATTTTGAATTAAGATGAAAAAAATTGACGTATTTTATTTCATTTCACAAATATTCAAGATACAAACCAGTCAGTTAAATATCGGCCACCCTGTATAAATCGAGGCGCTGAATAATACAATATATGCAATTGAAAGCTATTTATTGTCACTTCTCACTATTCGCCGATAATACTGAACATTTTATTTTCTTTTGTACCTTACACTTTTTTTCAATGTTTTACAAGTAGTGGTCACCTGGTATATGCAATTATGTAGTTGGACGACAATCATATATTGAATTGAAAATTGACCTTTTCTTGAATATGAAACAATAATTTCATATCCGAGATCATTTAAAAAATGTACTACAAGTTCCTGGCGCGGTCAACGATACATTGACCCAGTTGGAACACTTTCAGCAAACTTTAGACCAGTGGTCGCCAACCCGTCGATCGCGAGCCAGCGGTAGCTCGCAAAGGTACTTCTGGTGGCTCACAACATATTTTAAGAAGGTCTAGAAATCGTAGAAGCTTCCGTAAATTTTGTAAATTCTCGTAATAAACACAAGCAGCGGCAAGACTGCGGTGAGCGATCTGTTCGGGAACGATCTCGATTACTTTGAACGGAATAAATATGCAAGGCGCGGCGACAGTGCCCTCGGCTTAAAACTGAACGGTACAAAATCTAGCGGTTAGTTTATTTAAGTTTATTAGCATCTATTAGTATTAGTAGAATGAACATATGTATGTCGCATACAACTGTGTATAATTTCATTTAAGTTGGCTTACATTGTTTACGACTAGGTAGCTCACTAATTGTTCCAAAATTATCAAAGTAGCTCAACACACTGAAAAGGTTGGCGACCACTGATTTAGACAATCGACCAGAAAAATAAATAAATAAATAAAAAGACCGTATCCTGAATTAGTTATCCTGTTTGGCTACAAATTCTGGTATAAGAGGTTCGCCATCATCCGAGTGATCTTTGGAATTCCTGCTAGCTTCTTCGTCCCATAACTGCAAAAGGTTAATGACGTCTGTATGCCCGAAAGCCACCGCTTCCTCCAGAGGTGTTCTACCCCACCGGTCTTTAACGTTGACCGGAACGTTGCAGTATTTTAAGAGGAATTCAACACAGTTTGCATGCCCTTCAGCTGCAGCTAAGTGTAGGGCCGTTCTGCCATCATAGTCTGCCAATTTCATATCTACCCCAGATAACTTATGCCTAAAACAAATCAATAATAGTAATAATATGTCTAGCCAGAGGCCAATCTATTCAACCAGTACTTGCAAATATATAAAAAAGTTTGAATTAAGTATATATGAGTAGGTACCCAAAAATAACCGGAATAGCATTGCAGTGGGCGGAGCTTGTGTAGTACACATTTTTGGACGGAGTAGCACCCAAACCAAAACAACTGAACGTATGAAGGGGTACTACTACTCCACAAACTGGTGTTCGGCACCTTATATCCCTGAATTGGGAGGTCAAATCAATGGCGCTCACATCACAATCTCAGGAGAAAAGTTTTTTTGAACAGTGGTTTTCGATAAATCTATGGTGAAAAGTTTTCAAATGAACACCCTGTATAATATGTCATATAATTGATAGGGGCACTGGAGAGCGTTGATTTGTCTCAAAGTGTTATGGTTTCTTTTATAATCACCTTCTTAGACCTGGCAAGTCTCCAGAGGCTGCAGAAGAGAGCAAATTGACTATATTTAAGCCTATAGTCTCATACTTATGCTTCCTCGGATCGGCTTTGTTAGAAGCGTGTCTCAAATTATCGTATCTGTGGAAGTTGAATTTTTTCACCAACTCCTAAAAACACACATTCATATAATACGTTAAAAATAAATGAGTCAAGTATCACGATCAGTGACGTAAAACATGATTGCAATTCTGTGTAATAATAATAACTTACTTCGCAGAATTGCACTCCTCTACAGCTGTTCCCTAACGCATCCAAAGGCGGTGAGTAAAGGCACATACCCATTACATTTGGTACCACCACAAGCATTCCCCCGCTCACACCAGATTTTGCGGGCAACCCAACCTGAAAAGTCAAGTCTGTTAAATATTAGGGTCTGACCGAAGCTTCGGCTGTTTCTTTGGCTTTGACTTCAACTTTGGCTTAGGCCACTTTCGGCCAAAAAATCCGACGTTTTGGCCAAATGTCAAGTGTTTAGAACAAAGTGCTGGCGTCAAGTAGGTCGACTCTGCACTTCCCACGTATACAATTAGTCCATTAGACATTCGTTCCCTGATCTAGCGGTAGTACCATCCACTGGCAACGTCGCGCTTCCAACTTACCAGACCTGGGTTGGGAGCGTATATACTAACATCTAAAAATAGATCTCTATCTATACCCTCCCTGAACCCCCTACAACTCCCAACCCCCAATTTTGAACCCCTACAAAACTTTTATAAAAATGATCAGGAATCTCTGAAACGTTAAAAAGCAAAGTTTGAGCGATTTCTATTTTTGTCTCTTTTTGACTCGTAGTTCCGCCACCACTGGACCGATTCTCAAAAACTACAATGCTTCTTCGTCCTCGGCATAGTGATACGCCTTGTGTGAAAGTTTCATCAAAATCTGAGCGGTACTGCCTAAGATATACATGGGATTAGTAGGCAGACATACAGACAGAGATAAGTGACAAGCACGTGAAAATAACGTTACCTATTGGTCATAAAATGACCTAGTATCACGAGTTGAATGACGTGAAAATATGACCTAATAATGACACATACCGATGACGTCATATGGCAAATGTCAATAATACGTCACTTGCTGGACACGTAGACATGACGTCGATTATTTATAATGAATAACCAATTTAAGCTTCTTCAAAAAATCATATACTGTGTGTTACCGGTAGTATTACACAGACCACGCACCATCGACTGCTCGCCTAACGACGAAAGACGACCTATTATTGCGCCCCCCATCCTTCACTTTGCCCGTTTATACGAACGCACGCAATTGGACATTTAGTAGACGTCATTACGACGTCGATATTTGAAACAACCGCGTCAGCTGACAAGTTATCGCAAATAGGAACTTATCTGTTAGCTTGCTAATTACCCCTTTAGCACAAGCACGTCAAAATAACGTTACCTATTGGTCATGAAACCGTGAAGTATCACGAGTTGAATGACGTGAAAATATGACCTAATAATGACACATACCGATAACGTCATATGGCAAATGTCAATAATACGTCACTAGCAGGACACGAGAAGACGTCGATTATTTATAATGAATAACCAATTTAAGCTTCTTCAAAAAATCATATACTGTGTGTTACCGGTAGTATTACACAGACCACGCACCATCGACTGCTCGCCTAACGACGAAAGACGACCTATTATTGCGCCCTCCATCCTTCACTTTGCCCGTTTATACGAACGTACGCAATTGAACATTTAGTAGACGTCATGACGACGTCGATATTAGAAACAACCGCGTCAGTTGACGGGTTATCACCAAATTTCGACGTCATTATAACGTCCTTGTGATAGCTGGGAAGATGTACTACCTAATGGATAAACATGTTTACCTTGAAAGCAAATTGTCCGGAGTAGTCGTACATCCCACAACTATGCATCAGAGACAGAACGTCTCTAACACTTTCTGGTTTGAGTACCTTCTCCTCCGAAATTGGACAGATGCCACCATTTGCCAATGTGGCGGCGATTACCGAAACGATCTCACAATTTGCTTCTAAGGAACAGCACTGGAAAAATAGTTCAATAGTTACGTCACTTGAAATTAGAATCTAATTCTTCTAGATGTAAAAGAGCTGATAACCTCTGTTAGCGTATAGTCAGTCACATAAACCTAGTAGCGAAGTGCCCAAAAACAGACTCTCATTCCGTCAATGATTCAAAATAATACGAACAAAATAGCTAATGCTTTAAAAGTGTACAACGTTATCTTCAGGGACGCATCCAGGGGAGGCGTCCAGTAGTGTCAGGATCCCGCCCCCAGAATTAAAAAAAAAGTTAATTTGCAGACGACTCCCCGGATTTTAATTTTCAATAGCCGACTGTTAGGGTGGGACGCTGAAGTCAGGCGGGTCTGTCTAGCAGACACATCATGCGGCGGGATCGTGGAGGAGAGATTCCGTTGAGGTCTGGTTTCGGGGACTACCCTTTACATACAAAACGCAAAAACCGGTACAATATACAGGGTGACTTCGAAGTTGAGTCATTTATTTTAACAGTGAGTAGATCTGATCAAAAGAAATGTTTTTTCCTATAACATTTTTCTGGTAAAATTAAAGTAACAAAGTTGTAGCCCTTTAGAAGTGTGAGTACCGCCCTGTCTCAATAATAATATTATGTGCTCGTGTTTGGCAACAAGCCCAGCTCTGCGTCGAGCAAAACGTAAATCATTTCGAACAGTTTTTGTGACATGCTTTTGGGCGCACAGGTCCGCACTGAAATACTTGTCGGGAGGATACTTTATAAAACGAGGTAAATTTTTTTTTTATTTTTACACACATATTTTGGTTTATCTTCCTTCTACAATTATTATCTGAAAATTAATGACTCAACTTCAAAGTATAATTAGCACTCGAGGGATGGAAAATAATTACAAATTTGCTGCACTTCGTTGCATCTAACATTTTCTTTGGTAGATTCAGGCTTACGCTTTCGGGACAGAGTTTTGTAGATTTTTTTTGAAGCTGCTGAATCCACCAAGAAAGAATGAACTTACACAAGGAAATCATAGGACAAGTTTAAAGAATATGAATTTTTACACCAGTATTTTAGTAGTGAAATAATGAATTTAAATCAACAGTTTTCAACACGAATAACTTACTTGATAATAAAAATCCATTATTTCATCAAAATCTGAATGAATGTGACAATCATCCTCAAATGTCTAGAAGTTGAAAATTTTAGATCAATACTGGTATATAGGCAAGATGAGAGAAACTACATTAAAAGGACAATACTCAAATTATAATTCCAAAATCGTATATGCTTTGAAAGCCATATTTTTTTGGTTGTAGAAGTATAGCTAGCTGCCTGTGAAACAAACTGCACATAAGAATACTGAGCCGAAGGTCCGTGTTCTGTAATAAAAAAATATGAAAAAATGAATATTCACCTGAAAATAGAAATCCATGCATTCTCTAAACTTGCTGTTTTCTGGAAAACATTTGTGCTCTCTCATATAGAAACCTAGAGCATAGTTTCTATCAGCGCATTCTCTTTCTGAAAGGAATACAGCGTTATTGAAACCGAGATCTTGACCACCAGCTAATCTCTGAAAAAAAAATTACGTCAAGTAATTGCACTTCCTACGGAACGCTGTGTTCAATTCATAAATAATTATTTTCGGCACACGTTAATTGAAGTTGGCTACGAACATGTATAATAAAGAAGTAAAATGGATCATGTCAGTCAAACAGGCTCATACGAAACCGGCCCCCAGCAACGTGGCCTGCCGCGGCCATGCAAGCCCAGCAGAGTGCGTTCATAAGCGGAAACATACATTATCCTTCAGCAAACAGATTAGATAATTAACTAATAAATGGCATTAAGTTTTTCTAAGTTAAGCCAAAATTTGTAGTCGTAAGTAAGTAAATTTCCATAATACTCACACGCGGGCCCAAGAAAATCAAACCTGAACCAAACCAAATCCGGTCCTGTCCTATCCCTCGATTACGCCCACAGCGCCAGCGCCGTACGACGTACGAATAGATGATGTGAATACGGATTTTACGCCAGGACAGAGCCGTACTTGGAATTTCAATTCAGATGAACAGAGTACTTTTTCATTTATTTTTGTTTTACTTTTGCCCTGCATATCTGTATAATTTTTAAGGACTAATATACAGGGGAATCTATGATGAATGAAATATGTCTAAAAGGTGCGTAGAATTACCGGGGTTAGAAACGTACGAATTGCTATAGTACCAAAAAATTGAGATATATTTTTTCTGGCATTGATCAGGATGTGTGTGACTGAATCGTCAAAAATTGACGTTTGATTAAACTTTATTTTTCATTTCATTTTTGCCAGTAGCTCCGATGCCAGATAACCGATTTTCAAAAATTACAAAGTTTTATCGTTCGTGGCATAGTTGTAACTTTGTGTGAAAGTTTCATTTCATGATGTACCATATAACACATCCAAAAACAAATCTCATTATATAATTTATCCGCGATTACAATACTCCCGCGTCAGTGCATTATACGATGATAAATTACAATTAATTGTGCATAAACTGCAAAAAACCTCACTTACTTCGAAGTAATTCAGAGTGAAGTCAAATTTTTCTGCTGAACTCATATCTGGGTTATACATTGTTTTTAAGAGGGAGCATATGATGATCGCTCCAGCGTTTATCATGGGATTATGCGGTTTTTCTGAAAAAAAAAACATCAAATAAAGGTCAAATATGGATATTCCAGCAGGCGAAAACGAAACTATTTTATAGAAAGCATATATTACACGATTACAATTTAAACACTTACTATTATGATCTAAAATTAATTCGTTGAAATTCCTGCCACTCGGTTCTTGTCCCACGTAAGTATGAACAACATCTGCTCCAAGTAAATCGAGCGCAATTGCGTATGATAGTGGTTTGCTGCAAGACTGTATGGTGAAAGGGATATTTACATCACCTATCGAGTATCTTTGGCCGTCTATGGTTACTATACTCACTCCCCAGTAATTTGGACTCATTCTTTTCAGTTGGGGAATGTAAGAAGCTACCTGAAACAAAATTATTTGAATAGCGATACGAGACCACACAAAGTGCCATCTTCGTATCTATAAAAAATATGGGTCTTCAAAAGAACTAAAAAATCGTCGGAAACAAATAGTGATTTCTTATAAACAAGCCACAATAACGCTTTTCATGAGAAAATAGTCATTTTTAATCGTCCTCTGGTTGCCTTATCAGGTCTTAGGTCGAAACGGATGTCAAATGGCTTGCTTTGCTCAAGGCCATCCCGCTCGGGTGAGTTTCAATGTTTTTCCCATCCAAAGTGCAGAATCCTTACCTAACTTACGACCCTCACTGTTGGGATCTGAGTAATACTATATGCTTGCTCCACCTAGGCGAATCCGCGAATTTAGACTAGTATTATAAAATTACATACCGTTCCAGAATCATTTTCTTTACACTTCCAATAGATCTCTTCAATTTCTTTGCTGAAATCTTGGAACTCTGGTATGATGAATTGATGTCTAAAAGCTGCTGCTATAAGTCCTATATTTGTTGATATTATCCTGCAATAAAATAACCACTTGGAATGGTCCGTTCGGTATGAACATTGATTGACCTCTTTTACCTGAAGATGGTCAACCGCATACTACTTCCGGTGCCCAAAAAATGACGTCAAGTTGGTTGACCCCGAACTTCCCAGGCGCTGCTGTCAAAGGATGTTCGGCACAGGTTGGCACCCAAAAAAAAGTTAGCTAGGAACATGTATAACAGGAAAATCAAACGGATCATGTTAGTCAAACAGACTGATACAATTAAAACTTGCGAACTTATCATGTTTTTTTGTGCAATTTTGGGGCTCTTTAGGATTTGGCTTCCTGAGAAAATATGCTCCCCCTCGCTCTTCAAAATTTTTGGAGGCAGTGACGTCCCCTTGAAAGTGTAATATGTTGTGGACGAGAAATGAACGTAGTCACGGATTTTTGACAATTCATGAGCTAGTTGACTATGCGGTATAATGTCGAAATACAAATATATCTTGAAGAAGGTTAGAAATCAGCACGACTTTTATCATGTCATATTACGAGGGGTACTAGAAAAAGAAATCCTCTTAGCCATGAAACAAAAGACATGATTTTTTTAATATAATTTTATTTTCCAATATAATGCCTCATACACTGCACTTGTACCATTTCTCACTCATAAAAATGTTTACTCTTGACTCTCAAAGTTCAAAAATCGGATTAACAAAATTTCTTTAAGGTACGAAAAAATTGAGTACGATTGCGAGGTTTTTGCCTTGTTTAGGGTACATTTCAGTTCTTCTCTTGCATGTCTGGGAGCGCCTTTACAACACTGATAGCTTAACCTTGTTTATCAGCACATTTATTGAATGTTGATCAGTTTTTATTGAGAAATATACAAGCCATAACATTCCGTTCAAATACGTTGGATATTGACCAGATAAAAAAGTTATTTGATAATCACTAGAACAAAAATGAATCATTGGTTCATTACATGTGAACGTAGTAATTTCGTGAATGATAAAATTTTTGAGTGATGAGTTATCTAAACTATCGGCGAATACATTGGATCTTTAAACCTCTAGGTAAATCGTATTTTTTATACTCAAAATATTTTGTTTTCGCCGCTTTGTCGCTCTGTAATTTTAAAGACGGATAGTCAAAAATTTATCGATTTTGTGTTTGTGAGGCCCAGTTTATGGGATCAAAAAGACCAAAACCGCTACATTCGGTATATTTAACTAGATTTTAAAAATAAGTTAGGTAGTGAAAAGATTGACTAATTTGATCCGTTTAGTTTCTCTGTTATAAATGTTCGTAACTAATTTTTTTCTCAGAGGATTTAACTTGTGGTGAACTTAATTCTTTATGACGGCGTTGCGTGGGAAGTCTAGGAAGTACAGGGTCAACCTATTTGACGTCATTTTTTTTAGCTCAAAGATCCGGCTCAAAAATAATGATATTGAGAAATACTTGTAACATTTTTTTTTTGTTCCCTACATGTACAGGAAAGACTGAATGTTATTCTTATGTGTGGCTATCTAACTTGATACTAATCTTCCAGTTGATTTAAGAAATAGTCATCTGTCGTATGTAAATAATAAAGCAGGTCAAGATTAACAGGTGATTTATCTGTTTATTATGTTATAGATATATTGCTGGTTTACCTTTTGAATTGCTCGAAATTCAATTTTTGCGTGTCAACAGCATGGCCATTCGCATTTTTCCTAGACAATTTCTTAAGATTTTCCATCATATCTCTCAAACGAGGATCATTTTTCCTGAGACCAGTTGCTTTCAATGCCTATAAAAAAACTATATGAGCTTACATCATCCTACTTGGAGCTGTGATATCTACCGATAGGAAATTCCCAATAGAAAGAAGTCCTGTCTCTTGATTTTTGAACATTTCAAACAAAGCAACATCTGTCTGTACATCGTTTGCTCTATAAAATGTTATAGTTAACAGTTAGTTAGCATAATAGCTGTGTCACTTACGAATATAAGAAATTAGTGTAGTGGATGAATGAGTAGGTCCGTCTGTGAATGTATGAAAAAAGTTATTGAATAGTGTATTTTAAACCAATTTATCTTAATGACAGTCAGCTTCGGACAAGTGTCTCCCACCATATAGGTGTTTCGTCTCTCGAATGAGTACTAAGAATCTGTGTCCTTAGGGCCGTATCGTCAGTCTCGTTCCTACAATTGTAGAACGCCTTTATGGCCTCCTTGATTCTTGATTGTCGTAGTCTTTTCTCTCTCCTTCAAAGATGTCTAGATTCCACCCGTTCTGTGTCAATGTCAGCGTTTTCATATTGTGAAGTAATGTTTTCTTTTTGAATTGTAGGAAATCTCAGGCTGATAAGACAAAGCATGATGTAAATCAAAACCATGAACAATTTGATGCAAATACACATGGTACAAATTTCAGCATCGAGAACACGACCATATTCCACTATGAGACCGACGATGCTTCTCTTGTTGCCCACCGCATGCTCGGCGATCGATTAGTTCTCCCCAATATGTACTTCGCTCCTGGCGAGTAGCAACCTAACATCTATCACAGATGATTGAGGTCACTGATGGCAGAGATAACAGAAGTGACGTCGTCATAAATACAATTCCGTCTTCGCCAGAGAATTTAAATTGATAGTTTAACACGTCGTTTTATTGTGAAAAAAATGATTTTGTCCTTATAAATATTATAGTATATAAAGGCTATTCTGAATGAATTTGTATAAAACGGAAGTTAAAACAGAAATGTCATTTTTTTCTGTTATAAGCAAATATATGACACGGCATCATCTTATGTGGAGACGTATGGTTGAAATCGAGGCAACAGTTAACTGGCAGTTTAGCAAAATCTAGTCTCAACATCTTTGGTAAACACAATTATAAAGCTAATGAAACATATGATAATGTCCAGCCTTAACTATGCTAATTTTTGTGACTAACTTTTTTAGGTATCCTTTAAAACAACTGAACTATATCGACCAATTACACACTAAAAATACCCTGTATATACTTACTTGTGCGGCTTTAGCCCATCGTAAAATTGCCTCATATTGCTCTTTAGACCATCGTTACCACCGCTCGTCTGTAAATAGCGCAAATCAACAAATCATTTATTTATATCGTGTGCACCGATCTTACATTTTTGGGGATATCACTGCTCCTTATCACGCTGTGTTTAAGAAACAACCAGTGATCTAACTGGCTTTCAATTCGTCGTCTGCTCAAACTGGATATCCTTCTGGTGATCATTTTCGAATTTTGTATTATATTTCGATGCAACCGACGGCGATTATGAAACGAACTCGCGTTCAACGATCCACATTTATCCCGATTTGGGGTCGGGAGTACAAATTCAACGCAACGCGCGGTTTGGGTTGGACAACGCGCGTGCGTGGAATATATTTGTCGATGGACCCTAACCGCTGAAAAATCGTTACCGGCAGAATTCTGCGTAATGGTGGGAAATATATTATCTCGAAAGTGGTCGCTAGATGACGCGGAAGCAAAAAAGTGCTTTGAATTTAGAAACTTTGTAAGCGCCATTTTCGTGACTACCTAAATACGCCACTATATCGATGATGATTGCATGCATTATTTGACACAATGTTGAGTGCGTATTCATTTTTAAAATATCGTATGAAATTTGAATTAATCGCGTATCTCGAACAGGAACGTATCTTTCCGTAGATCTGGCAATCCTGACTTTCTTCTCACCATCGAGACAGAAATATGCCAGTCACAATGCCAATTTCTGGTGAAAAATGAAAAGTTACAGGATTTTTCGTTTTTTTATTAACAAAAATGAAGGTCAAGATGCGTGGGTGGTGTGTGCCTAACGCTTAGCACGGGTGCGGAACGCACTACGGTGTCAAATGTCAAAAACGATTTTTGACGTTTGATGTTTTCATTTGTCAATCGATTCAAAGTCGCCATTTAAATATAATTGTCGGTTAACTTTATAACGAGTGAAATAGGTACGTCTGATTCTAAATGATTTACTACTATTGAAATTGATTTCGAAAGCTCCTTGTAACGGTACATTTGATTAACTATGATAATTTTGACACTGCCATAATAATTTGAGCAAAGAAGATCAGATTTCAGATATAAAAATTATCATAGTGAAAATCAAGTAGCCATGTCCTCACAAGACGCCATCTAAATTAATTTTAACGATCGTTTTAGATTTTGCCTCAGGAGTATAGTTTGTAACTTTTAAATGGGCTCATAGCCCTAGTTTTAATCAAATTTCAGTACAAGCTTCCAAAATGACTTCCGACAATATTAATGTAGCCATAAAGATCAGACCAATGATCCAGCGCGAAGTAGCCGATGGTCTAGAGCGTCTTTGGAATGTTAGAGAAAACTGCATATGGGAAGCCGATGAAAGTAGTCGCCATGGAGAGGTTTATATATTCGGTAAGAATTTACAGAATCCCTTCACTTAATCTCAAATTAATCTTATAGAATTCTTAAACAAACTAGATTGATGCTTGATAGTTATATATTTATTATTACAGCGAGTCAGAACACAAATATGATGCAATATTGTCATTTGTTGAATGACGCTATATAACTTAACAAAATTTTGATAACTCAATAATCATTATACTCATTTAGATAGATTTAGAGCTTTCCCCAACACAATATTATGTGTTTGAAAGTAATTTAAGGAAATCTTTTTTCATTTAGGGCATCAAGGAGTCCCATAGGACAATTTTTTATTGGAAATTGTAGCATTATTTTTGTCCTGGACACATAGGAGATTGACATGTTATTCTGGGACAACCTACATTTCCATTGTAACTATTTGCTTTCAGACCATATATTTAACCAGGAATGTACGAATTCAGATGTATATGGATCTGTAGTAAAACCTTTAGTCGATTCCTTTATGGAAGGCTTCAATGCCACAATATTTGCATATGGCCAAACATCTTCTGGCAAAACACACACCATTTTGGGCACTAAGACAGATCCTGGGCTTTTCCAATTAGTTTCCAATCAGATATTCCAGCATGTGGCAGACCAGGTTGATAAGAGGTACTTGATTAGGTGAGTATATTTTTATATTAATTATACTTCCTGAACATGACTAAATATGAACACAAATGTCTTAAATTTTGAGATACAGGGTGGTAAAGTTATCAGAATTTGGTATTATGCATTAAGAGACATTTTCCAGTGTACAGCGATTTTTTTATTTCTTACAGTGGCATTTAAGCATGCTTTGAAGTGACTGGTGTTAGAAAAATATGGTATGCCACCATTACGCCCCATTCCTGTATTGCATCAGTCAGCTATGCTTTGTGGTCGATAGATCTTTGCTATTGACCTACTGCATATATCCACTCCACAATTTCATACCCTGTATCTGAAAATTTAAGGTTAGGATATACATATATATGAATTCTTTTTTTAAAATAAACACAACAGTTGCTCCTTATTTTATCTTCCTTCCTCAAAACACCTTTTATAGTCTGCTAGCCACAATTTCAATATTCGCATTCTTGTTTTGTTTTAAATTTTAGATTTGCATAATTCAAATATGAAATTATACCAAAGATAATTTTTGTTTTAACCAGATGCAGTTATATAGAAATCTACAATGAAAAGATCAATGACCTCCTAGATAAGAGCAATCAGGGTTTAACTATAAGAGAGGATATCAAAGGAAATGTGCTGCTTGATGCAAGGGAAGCTGTCGTAGACAACGTTGATCAAGTTATGGAGAACATGATGCAGGGCAATAAGATCAGACGAGTTGCATCTACTCGCATGAATGAGAGGTCATCTCGATCACATACGATTTTCCGGATTGTAAGTGTTTTTTCTCATTACTACCATTGATTAACACATTCCATCAGATCCTCAATCTAATTGAAAGCAATTCCTGCAATGGACTGTGGTGTTGCAACCAGTAATGCATACAACTATCCTGAACGTTAGGGCTTTTCGCAGGGAGTTGTGACTGGGAAGGGTGGGGTTCATTTATTGCTTTTTGAAACTTAGCTTGATATTAGTATCTCAGTTATCTTTAAGCTGTGGTGTATACTAAAAAATCATTCATCATTCAGAAATTCTAAGAATATGAAATATTATCAGTTAGTACAAGGACGGTTGAGAATTGATGTTTTCTTTAAAAGGAACATGATATCTGTTTTATATCTAATCAATCACGATATGTATTGTATTTAATGTTTAAATTATTCAATATTAATTGTTCTATAATTTGTGTAGTCTGCCAGGAATAAGAGGTAATTTTTATCATTTATCTCTTAATGATCTACAGTGTCTTATTGTTAGAACTGGTCAAATCAGCAAGCAGAAATTTGGTGTGGTAAAATTCACGATTGTTTGCTATAATCTCGCGTAAACTTAGCAGCTGAAAATTTCATGATGGTTGAACCTCAACTTGGAACATTTTTTTTTAAATGGAATCGGGTGTTTGTGCGATGCATCCTTTTAAAGCTCTCCATGAGTACTTCATAACCCTAGAATATAAAGGACTATCTTCAAAAGTGGCGTACTTGTTAAGCTGTCAAATTTGTGTGTTTTTGAACTACTATTTGAGGAATCTATCTGAATATGTGATAAACTATGAATCATTCCACCCAAAAAATGGCGTCGCATAGGTGGCCCACTCCTTAAAAACAACTCCTTATACAATTTTCCATGTAATGCCATGACATCAGAAAGGCGTATTTTTTGTCCGAAGCATTAGTGCACTATTTGAGCTTTTTATGGGAAAAAATGCTCGTGTAAAACTTATGTAAAAATGTCATCCAAATCCTAGCAGTACTTTCCAAGTTATACACGTGCTAAAATTTCGCAGACAGACAGATCGACGGATTTAATTTAGGAACACTTATGATAGTATTAGAATAAAACATATGTATTGTTTCAAATAATTGAAGCAGTACAGTATTTACATAGGTGTTTTTATACAACAAATGAATTAGTGGTAAGTTCAATTCGCATTTTCTATCAAGATTCTGGAGTCGAAGGATGCCAATCAGAAAGACGGACCTGTACATATAAGCTACCTTAACTTAGTGGACTTAGCTGGATCTGAGAGAGTTTCTCTGACGAAAGCTGCTGGTGAGCGTCTTAAAGAGGGGGCTAACATAAACAAGTGAGTTACTCCTCAAAATCAATTGAATATTATAATAACTTATTAAATCAATTTTAGATCTTTGTCAGTATTAGGAAATGTGATAAGGCAACGAAGCGAGGGGAAGGAGTTTATCAGTTATCGCGATTCGAAATTGACTAGACTGCTCTCACAGGCTATTGGCGGTAATGCCAAATCATTGATCATCGGGAATGTTACTTTAGCTGCAGAGGAGGAGACTAGATCGACACTAGAGTAAGTTTATTTTATTAATTAATTTTCAATAGTAACATTCAATAAACATGCTGGGTTCGAACGTTCTTTCCTTGTCGATTTTATTTTCAAAAATTGTAGATAATAGACAATAATGTTACTTGAAAATAATATAAATATAATAAAATTGCCTAATTTGAAATTTTTACGAATATGCTGGCCGAAAAAGGCTCACTAAGACATTAATTTTTTTTTCCTTACAGATTCGCCAAAAGTGCTAAAACTGTCAGAAATAAACCGAAAGTAAACATCTTTTCAGCTGCAGAAGAGGCACTACAGGGATATCAGAACATGACTCGCGATCTCGAAACTCGGCTCAAGAAGCAGGCAATTAAGCTAGAAGAGATGGAGGTAAGTTATGGCGTTCGTGGGATAAATTTTCAGATTCTACCGCTACATCAGCGGACTTTGCTCCTCAGAGGTCTCCTCCATGATGCCGCCGCGCGTTGTACCTGCCAGGCAGACCCGCCTGACTTTGGACTCCCATCCTAGGTATCACCACGACTGAAACGGTACACCGTCAAGTAGTCGGAGTACTAAGCATTCACATAGCTATTGTTTCTATGCATTCATAAATAATATAAACTATGTTTTCTTACCGTTTCTGCGTAAATGCATAGAATGCCAAAGCCTGGTAGCTTTGTGAATGCTTAGGAGTCCGACTCCACACCCTCCCCCACACGCTTCTCTTTCTCTCTCTCTCTCGCTCTCTAAGCCAGAGGACGTAGGGGCCTTCTGCAATTCTCCAGCATATGCTGAGGATTGATTCAAAGGATTCAAAACACCGGGTAATTGCCTTTTTCAATTTCAGAAAAGCAAACGAGAGTGTCTGCTCGAGATAGAGAGACTAAAAACGGAAGTATCTATTGTCGGGCGCTTTCAAATGGGAGCCTCGGCATCAACACCTAAAAAAACATTAAGACGTCATACTTTTGGAGACTATGGCAATGTAACACCTAAAAAAGAATCCGTAGGGTATATGCCATTGAAAAATTATCCACCGAAAGAGGAATCACGTAAGTACGAAAGCAATGACATCGGTTTGGGGGAACATTTGCGGATTTTGATAGAGGTGGCAACAATGTAAAAATATGCAACTCGTGCAGTCGGCAGTTCATTTCTGAAGTCCAATGCTTAGAAACTTTCAGCTATTTGTTTCATTAGTTTTTTTATACAAACAAGTTTGTCCGTGTGGCGTCCCCCCTTTCCCCTGTATCCCCCTATAGCCCCACGGTGGTACCCCATGGGTGTTTAGGCCTTCGTGGTGGTTTGAGTATAAAATATAAATAAATTTGTTAAATTGTAGGACGCCTCCTTGAGTTTCATAGTTTTCTGCAGTTCCATGTCAGCGCTCTATTTTCAGGTCATGACACAAATATTTATTTGCATCAAATTCTTCATGCTTTTGATTCGTATCATCCGTTCTATCAGCCTGAAATTTCCTACGATTCGAAAAGGAAACATAACCTCGCAACAGAGGAAATCTAGAAATACCCCTAGCTATAAAAATCAAGAATCAATTGTAGAAACGTCTGACGACACGGCCCTTAGTCTCTCCAATATATGGGTTGTAAAGTACTCGTCAAGAGTCTAAAGGTGTCGCGTATCCGACATCTTGAAATGTTTAGCTTTCACTTTAACACTGAAGTCATGCGTCAATTTTATCTCATCAAATTAGCTTACTGACTTAACAAATAAATAGGGGGTACACTTGAATAGTATTGTATCCCTACGCCATGTGTTTCCTAACTGCAAGTAGATTTTCTCTATTCAAGTTTTTCAGATTTCTTGTTTTGTTTCAGCTGGACGTGAAATGAGACCTATTCAAGAAGAGACATATGAGGAGGCACTGTAAGCATACACTTCATTTCAACTGAATCGGTCATTCCAAAAACCACTTTAATAATATGTCTTCTATGATTTTTTTCCTTAAAACGCTTTCTTACCCACACAAGTCAATTCAACTTTCGGTTACATTTAAGTCTGAGTGATAGACTTGTAGCTAAATCGGGACGACTGTAAACCAAGCTAAATTCATATTTTTTCAGAGCCGAAGCTGAATCTGTGATAGCTGAAGACGTGCCTGCAAGTGTACTTAAAAGACAACTCAAGGAACTGGAAGAATCTTTTAACGAGCTGAGAGAATTCACTAAACTGGATAATCAGCTGGAGGTTAGTTGATATTGTATAGAAATTATTATTACAAAACATAGGTCAACTTTCAACGCATAATCTTTGAACTTATAACTGTTTTTAAACGGTTTTATTTAGCTTCCTTTGTTTGGGTCTAATTTATTAATTGTAATTCAACCCCTTTCCTGTTTATCAATTGATTTGAAATTTGGTATACACCTTTAGTTAGGTTTATATGTTCTAATTTCTGATTTTTGTACACGTTTCAGTTACCATGGTGGCCTTTTTCAAGTACAATGTATAGGAATGAGGAAAAGACAAAATAAACGAATTGTCACCTGTAAGACAGCTAAACAAAATATACTGTCGCTGACATTGTACTTGAAACATATCACTGGGGTGGCGGACACGTCGTACAATAACTAGAAATTAAAACATATGTGGTTTGATAAGTTTTAGCAGTTGCATTCACTTATTTCTGTTTCAGATTTTGGACCTAAAGAAACAGCTCGCAGAAGCCAATTCTGAAATCGATCGTTACAGCAAGGAACTCCGCCAGGTAACGGATGAGTACAGTGAAGAAATAGAAAGGGTAAGTGTCTGGAGATATTGGGATGGAGGGAAGCTTTGCAAATTTTGATATTGAATGGCAGTACTGCAAAAATACATAGCTACAACTCGTTTTCCGTGGATCTGTCTGTTTGTTGGTTGGTCTGTGTACGTTTCGGTCTGTCCGCTAATCATTGGCTCCTATATAACTTGGAAAGTACTCTTCGGATTTGGATCAACTTTTTACACAAGGTTACTAATGTGAAGAGGACGAAAAAAACATTGCAGTTTTTGAAAATCGATGCAAACATTTTTGAAAAACATTTTAGGGGGACAAATTGGGGGTGTGAAGGTAGGAAGGGGTGAGGGAGGGTGTATAGCAATTTTCTGATGTTTGTTTGTAGGTCTGCCCGCATATCCATGGCCCATGTAGTTATAACTTGGAAAGTACTGTTCAGATTTCGATGAAATTTCAACACAAGGTTACTACTAGGCGAGGGACGAAAAAGCTTTGTGGTTGTTGAAAATTGGTTGAGTTGCGGCGGAGAAATATGCCTAATAAAATAAAAATCGCTCGAACCTCGTTTTCTGTTTCAGATTTTGATCATTTCTTTTAGGGGTAAAAATTATATAATATAAAATATATTGATACACTTCCAGCCCTGGTAATTCTACACAGCTCTTGAACATAGTTCACACATCATAGATTTCCCTGTTGATTTGCTCTTGGAAAAGAGACATATTTACAGACGCAAATCGTCCCTCTGTGGCGAGTCTTCTTCCTTTTCTCCCCTCTCTGCAATTGACTGCATTATTAGCCCTATCTTGAGTTTTTGATTTCATGGGGCAGGATTTATATACGAGTAGTATACTCGTATATATATATATTATAATCAAGTATTAAACAATGTTGATAAATAGTTTTACATTTTTCTTATTTGCTTTCCATCTCTTTTTTATATATATATACTTCAACTACTACTACCTCGAAGGGCTAAACACCCATAGGGTACCGTGGGGCTATACTGGGAAATACAGGGGAAAGGGAAGCGCCACACGGACTGTGGCGAGGGAACACGTGTGCGTGCACACATTCCGGCTCCGCCTACGAGATCCGCCGGGTGGTACCTCTGAGTTCGACAGTCACAGACCGTCTAACCCCTACGGACAATCACAACATCCATAGCCAAGAGAAAAATTTCTCTTGGGACGGGATTCGAACCCGCACAGTGCACGGCGACTGAAGAGTCTACTACTGCGGCCACCGCTGCTGTCATAACAACTGTATACAGCATTTTTTCATGCTATTTTGCGATCATCATTATAGTACAGGTCTAGTCATTTAGAGACAGGTGTTTGCCAAAAAGTATTAAACAACGTTGTGCACAGTTGGTTATGGTCCCAGAGACGGAAAGCAAACGTATCCTGTTTAGCCTGTGACTGTGCGGCTTAACCTCTTTTCTGGCTGTTCCACTTGTTCGAGCCAGGAAATTGCTTGGTCGATATGAATTCCTAAAAATCTTCCCCGGTTATTGTAGCTAATTTATAGTTTTTCTTCACTCATTACCCTGAAGGAACTTTTCAGGCTCGAAAAAATTCTCAAAAAGCGCAAGAATGCATCGACTTGCAATACAGACTCGATTATCTGGAACAAAATTATAAAAAGACTTTAAAAACATACGAGTCAGAAATAGAAATGCTGCGTACTCAACTGAGGAACCTAGGAAGATCAGAGAGCCCTAAAATATCTCTTGAAGCTCAAAATATTGAGTTAAAAAAGAAGGTTGCAGACTTAGAAGCTATGCTTGACGCTGAGTACGAGGATATGCAAGATTCTCTAAGTAAGTTGCTTATGTTGAAAGATATTTTAACGGAAACATTTGATGATGTTCAAGGTGCTGCTACCCAAACTGATGTAACGATGTCACACATTGCTGAACTGCAAGATGAAATTGGCTTTCTAAAAGAACTTGAATCTAAACTAAGAAACGACATAAAGAGTCTGATGGACGAGAGTAACCAACGTGAGGTCAAACACTCATTTGAAATCTCAGATATACGATGCCAGACTGATTCGACTATAAAAGACCTTCAGGATCAAATGGCTGAACTGATTGTGAAAAATGACGACGAAAAAAAATTGCAACAACTAATTACAAGCCCGAAGCAGGCTGGCACTGAACCAGAACCACCTGTGCAGGAAGACGTTGCATTTTATAGGGAGCAAGTTGAGTTCTCCCAGAACATGTACAGAAATATGGTAATTCAAATGGAAGGTGCGATGGAGAAATTGAAGCTGGACCATCAAATCGACGTCAACGAACACATGAAACAAGAAGCCGAGTTATCAGACCGGTTGAGGAAGTCTGAAGATCTATGCTCTGATTACCTAGAATGTATCCGGGATCTCGAAAAGAAGTCCAATTGCATAAATCACAGATCGAAGTGATGGATGAGCTGCTGCAGGTATACGAAGAATCAGACGTTGATAGATTAATTGAAGTGCATGAGGACAAACGAAAGAAGTGCGAAGAGGAGTTCCAAGAAGTTGCAAAAATATATACGGAAGATTTCAGGTGCTTCATGTCAGTGTTTGTCAAGTACCTTGAAGAATTGAGAGACATAGCAAGCCCAGAGGACAGAGATATGGCCGAAGAATATGTTTCTCTTTTCTCTGACGAGACGAACGATCGTTATCTGCTGATGAATACTTTCGTCGCGCAGACTAAGGATTTCAATAACATCAGGTATGCTTTTGAATAAATCATACATAAACTGTTTTTTGTAATCGCGACATTTAATTGTTGAGTACAGTTCACTTTGGATTTGCTCATTCTTCCCTTTTTTGGGCGAGGAGACGCCGTCGTGTGCCACTCGGAAGATTGCCTCTTTGTCTCGGGATCATACTCAAACATCCACGACTCGTCGTTACCTGTGATTACGTTATTCAAAAATTGGGGGTCACTTTCACACATGTTCAAATTTTCTTGGCACACTTCCACTCGCCGCAATTTCTGGTCGTCAGTGAGCACTTTTGGGATCATCTTCGCGCACACCTTGCGCATGTGCCAATGCTGTGTCACAATGTCATGAACCACAGATTTTGGTAAATTTAACATCTGGGCAATTAAACGAATACTTGGTCGACGATCTGAGTTCAAAACTTTGCGCGCACGAGTCACATTATCGGTGTTTGTCGAAGTCGAAGGACTTCCAGCACGGTCTTCATCCCGGCCCTCCAAAAAGGCCTGGTGCCACCGAAACACACCACTTCTTGCTAAAGCAACACCTGGGTAAGCCTGCTTGATCATATCAAACGTCTCTGTCGCAGATTTACCGAGTTTCACACAGAATTTAATCGCGTACCTCTGCTCTAACGAACGGCTTGCACCACTCGCAGAAACACGTCTCGCGAAAATGCCTGTCCTGACTCTCCAAGTGCTCGGAGACAACTGACTAGCCGCTCATTCGTTAGCTAGGAACGCCCTCTACCGAATCCAGTCGGTGCGCGCAGTCTCCGAAGTACAGTCATGGCGGAAGAAAATGAGTCCTATTACTTTCCGGACAAACCCTGTAGCCTTGAAATTTCTGCAACATTGATTTTTTTTTGAGATCATTTGACAAATTATTGTACATTTTTATACACGTGAATAACATTGTTAATAATATCAATAAATGAGATAATTGTTTACATTAACAGGTATACGAAACTTATCAAAAAGCTAAGACAAATGTGTAACTATTGGATCTACCAAACAAAAACGACTAGAGAACGAGAACTCAGAGATGCTATCTTCAGGGAAAATAGTAATCTAAAGTATCTTCATATAATGAAGTTCAATATGGACTTCAAGGCCGACAGTAAAGTAAGAATAGAGACGTTACAAGAAATAATCGAGAAAACTCATGTACAACATGCCATCCAAACAACCAACTACCAAAACCAAATAGCGCAACTAACAGCAGAAAATGAGAATCTAACCACCATTCATGATGAAGAAACAGTCGAGATAGCGAACCTGATATGTAAAGCCACTGGCCTAAGGAATGCGCTCGAAGACGCTAATGGAAAAATCGATGAACAAATAGCAGAGAGAGCACGCCTCGTTGAATCAACATCTACAGAAATTGAGAAACTGCAAGCTCAGCTAGATGAGAAAGACATACTAATTGCCAAGTTGGAATCCCAACTCTCCGTCCCGCAAGCCAGTGGTGGCGATGCTGGTAAATCGGATGAGATAAGCGCATTAAAAAGCCAAATTGATGTTTTGACAAAGCAGTACCAAGATGCAGAGGCTAAAGTTCAAGAATTAACCAGAATTAAGACAGAACTAGAAGCCGTTCGTGAAAACTTATTATCGACGGTTGAAACCCAAATGATCCAGGAGCAGCCGAATATATTGAAAGAGACATTTAGGCGGCTCAAAACGAGAAATGAGGAGCTGAAATCTGAGAACGCGGCGCGAAGAATGCTAATAACCGAACTCGAACATCAGTTGGAGAAGCGGGATTCGGAACCTTCAGAAGAATATAAAAAAAAGATTGAGGAGTTGGTGAATGAGAAAATGAAGCTGATACAGCAGGTGTACGAGTTGGAAAGAAGACTTCGGGATCACGAGTCTGATTTAGGATCAGCAGCGTCCACGTCCACCATTGCGCTAAGTACACAGGCGTCTTCTACGACCACCAGGCCGACCTCATCCAAGCTGAGGCTTGATTCACCTGAACTATCGCCAAGAGACCTCACCAAAATTAAGAGGCATTCACTGCTTGATTCTAGGAGAGGTAAGTGTTCTACCTCAAGGATAGCCAACCTAACGTTAGAAAAAGTATCTGCCAACTAGCAAATATATTCATCATTTTCAATTTTCCGTGCTATTTCATGTTATACTTGCGTTATTACTGCTCTTGTTTTAGTACTTTGCTTTATAAGGTAGTCGTAAGAACGTTCTTCGAGCAAAAATACAAAACAGTTATAAGACAAATTTTAATAATGTTTTTATGTTTGAAAACTTTGCAAAGATGTTGTAGACCATATTTCTCACTTCCGTCTGTCCGTACTTTTTTGTAACTGTTGTTATAGAAATTAATGTTATATAAGCAGAAAAACTTCTTTGACTTGACATTCTGTTTTTTTTTTTCAGGATTGTTAACTTATCAACAAGAGACACAGACACCAATATCTTCGGAAGGTAAATTTCTGGTGTAATATATTGGTAACGCGGCAGATTGCACGAGCTTCTGCGTCACCGTTTTTCTATACTCCAACTACCACGAAGGAAAAGGCCTAAACACCCATTGGGTACCGTGGGGCTATAGGGGGAACGTCACACGGACTCTGGTGAGGGAACACGTGTGCATGCAACATGCACACATTCTGGCCCCGCCTACGAGATCCACCGGGTGGTACCTCCCCGTTCGACAGTCAGAGATCGACTACCCCCTACGGACAATCACAACATAAATAGCCAAGAAAAAAATTTCCCGTGGAACGGGACTCGAACCCGCAGGAGACCGAAGTGTCTACTACTGCGGCCACCGCTCCTAGGCAATGTGACGATGTCCTACGCGCTCTCTCTTGTACACATTCAACTCAAGCCGTCAAATAAATTTGGTTTGCCCTGTATTTGCATAATAAATTAAATCGTGTAATCTCTCGTGTATTTCCAATTTTTTTTTTGAATAGCCTTTTTAATTATGATTTCTTTTCTAGATCGTGAAAAAAAATACACGCAAGAAGAATGGGATAAGTTGATTGAACGTTTCGACAAGGGTAATGTAATGCATTCATTCCAATGACATACTTAATGGCAAATAATGTTGCGATCAAATTTATTTGTATTGTATTCATACATACAACTCGGCGAGCCTTAAACATCACAAAAAATAGCATATTAACTATACGTAATTTGTATATTGTCAGTCTATAGCACCGTTATGATGAAAGATGACTAAAAAAAAATGTAGGCAGCTACATTTTAGTATATCCTGAGAGAACTCTAAAAATAAATAGTCATCAACACTTCGTTTTAATAGCATTTGTTGTGCACTTTCCGATCAATGTAAATCGTGTAAAGTTTATTTGAAATTTACGAAAACGTCCATAAAAGCGCTGACACATCGACAACGCGTCATCTAGCGGCCACAAACTGAACTAATCTAGCAAGATTCAGCATTAGGTTCGCAAGTAAATACCCTTTCAAACGAAACTAAGATCATCAAAGTCGGTGCAACCAAACAGATGTTGTGACCTTTTCTGAAATGACATTCAACTAACCAAAATATGAGGAAATGACATGAACAAGTCCTTTATTATTTGCCCACCCAGTATGTATATGTTGCTGCTATAAATTGCTTTATAAATTTGTTTAACGTTTCAAGATGTATTTTGGTACAAGACAGATTACGCACAAACAACTCACCGTGTATAAACCAAACATCAGTAAATAACAACTTGATTCATTAACTAATAATATTGTTTCAGACCTTGGCATGAAAGAGGAACAATTAAAAAATTTCCGTCATTCTGAAAGCAGACTGAGAAATAAGATCAAACATCTGGAGATTCAAAAAGATTTTGTGGAAAAAGTACAAAAGGAAAACGAAAGACTGAGACAGGAGAATCAGAATCTCCATCGCATTAAGAGAGAACACGAATTGTTAAAGAAAGAACATAAAGATGCACTACACCGTCTAACACAGTGTAGCGAAGATCTAAATGGTAAGTCTTCATTTCATCAGGTTTTTCAAAAAAGTTGTAAAAATTTACATTTATTCGAATTCCAAGAATTTATAATTCTATTGTACTGTTGATTCCTTAGTTATCCATTTCATGAGATGTGACCATTTCATGGAATGCCCAAGAGTTGCAAATAGGCAGCATATTACGGCTTCATGTATAGCACTTGTTGCCATTGCTCTTTTCGTACGATTTAATGTACTTGATTCTTGCGACTCATATATAGTTCTTCTAAATGAGTTGGAGCTATTCTTTATAAAGATTTCAAGAGTATTTATATTTTTTCAGATACCAAAGCGACGCGAAAAGCATATTTTGAACAACTCTATGGTAATTATATTTTTATAATGTACGATTTATACTAGTGAGTAGTGGTAGCAGTAGCTTCTTTTTAATACTCCTGTAGACCCCAATTTCCAGCATTTAAATTTATTCTCTATTGTACTCAAACATGGAAAATATATCAGCCCTAAAGCTGCCTAACTAATTTCTGTTGCCCGAGTTTAGCTTATTAACTTTTTTTCAGCGTGTAAGGAACGTAATAAGGTCTTGGAGAAGGAAAATGAGCAATTATTGAAGGCAAAAGCAGAAACTGACCCAAGTGTGATACAGAATTTGGAGAAAGAGTTGAAAATTAGCAATGAAGTTATACAGAAGCTTGAATTTCAAATGGAAGAGTTAAGTAAGTATTGTACGTGCTTGCTTTATTACTATCTGGTGATCAAGGTTTCTGTGGAACTTGAGTTACTGGAAGCCATCTAGAAAATGATTGGTTGCTGTCTTAATTCCATTCAACATCCTTGAACATTGACCTCAAATCACATCGCCTACTGACGTAACATTTACTAGACAATACAACAATCTCGCACAATTTTTGTTTAACAAATTAAAAAAAATGTATTTTTCGGCCAGGTCATTTTTTTTTTATTTATTTCACTCATTTTCTCTCTTGACGAAAAATGTTCTTAATAACTCTGCCCAAAGTTTTCGAGCTAGAAGCAATTTGTTTTGAAAAACCACTGCTTAAAAACTATAATTTGTTTGATGTTAAGGGGCAACAAACGTGATAAAAAATAAATCTATATGTCGCTGGCAGTGCGTTGAAACAAGGTAATGGGTAGTGACATGCAATTCGAGTTAGTGACAAAAGACGTTATCCAAAATGTTTGCGAAATCATTACCATTAGATTTACCATAGTCCATTTGGGGTCCATGAGCTTTGCTCTTCTTATGGTGTCAAATCTCTCGATTTTATCCCCGTGAGAGTGGGTTCACAAAAATTGTAGATAACGTATTTTGAAACCAAGACGTCAAATTAATATTCACTGCTGATTTCTTCCTATGAATGACACCTCCATATTTTGTCATTTTATTCTTATAGCTGCGCCAGATCGCAGTCCAAAGAAACAGTTGGAAATAGAACGCGATCAGCTTCTAAGAGAAAAACACCAAAAAGAATACTATACCAAGGATTTGGAAAGACGTGTGGGGCTTCTTGAAGGACGTCTAAGGGATCTGAATGAGGAGCTTAACCAAATGGGCGGAGAAAAGCAGGCAGCTGAAGAAGAGTATAAAAAGAGGGTAAGTTGTTATACGGTAGCTTTTACAGCTTTGTTGAACGAAATCTGTGCAGAACTGAGCAAGTGCAAATCGAAATTACCGTTCCAACAGAAAATGGAACTTACTGCGTAACAGGCAGGTTTTAAAATTTGTTCATATTGGGCCTGATTGAGCATTTAGTGGATGTGAAATAGAAAACACGGTTTTTTGTGGCATTGTGGGCTTGAATTGAAACAGGGCTTTTCGAAGAATTTTACATAGGATATTTCCGGCATGTTTTGATAAACCAAGTTTGAAATTCAAAGGAAACTTGAGGTGCTAAACCGGAAGCAAACATTTCAAACCAAAATTTCAGCAACTTTTTTTTTACTCCGGAATACCGTCTCCAACACTATGTGGTTTCAGAAGGGAGTTATTTTCAGTTGAAATCATTATTTGCTGTCGCTGCCAAAAATAACTCAACGGAAGGCTTAACGATTATTGTTGCACTACAACTCTTCTTTCCAAATTGAAATCGCATAAAAACCGAAATTGTCGTTGCTTCTGTCTTAGGCGTCGCACTACTATTTTTATATAAACGTATGGTCGTAACTCGACGTACTTTAAATATCTATAATAAAACACACTGAAACACAAATGCGAAATTGGGCTGACTATTAAAATAAATGCTGAATTTCCAATAGGATGTTTGTTTCTGTTGGATAGGATTTTCTGTCTATTTGCTGCTTAGTTTCACATGTAAACGTTCATTTTATAAAAATATGAGGTTTGGTCTCTGATATATGTATATGGTTGGCCCGCAGATCGACACTCTGGAGAACAAGCTCAGTTTGGTGAAAAAGCTTGCAATAATGCGAAGAAAAGAAATAGTTCAGTTAAGGCAACTTTTAGGACTGGGCGAGGAGGATCCTGTCCCTTCGACTGTTCAAAAATAGGTGTTCCTATTTCCTAATTGCCTTACGCTTAAACTGTGATACTAGTCAACTGTGATGAATGTGCCATATGTACAGTTTTGTAGCAGATATATGCTTAAGTTCTTAGTTACTGTATTTTATGTACATTGTATATAACTTCTCATCTCATGTATCACCGTACTCCTGTATGTCAACCTGAGCTTTCCTATGCTGTCCAAGGAACACAACACCCAATACCTTTCTTGACGCTTTGTCCAAGCAAGCAATTCGAAATAGTGTTTTTGAAAAGTCTCCCTCCCATTTCATCAAGCTCATATTCAGAGTGATGAATTTAATGCATTAATAATATATATGTGACAGCTGAAAATGTCAATATGGTGACTGGAAGCATTTTTTGAATGGCATAAGAGGGCATAGCTTAGGAATTGCTTGTCACTATTTTATAACTGTAGAATATAAATTTTCTGTAATTCAAAATGACGGTTTCGTATATTAAATCGCTTATCAACTAATCATCAAAATGCAAATCTTTTGGAAGGGTGTAACGTCTAGTTGGATATGCAATAGAATATTAGACCATTTACTCGAAAGAATTTGGCACTATTTGAAATTGTTTTAAAATTGAATGTTCCATGTTGTACTAAACATTCGGATAGATACTTTCAAGAAGATTTATATAACATACATAACATGTTTTGATGATTGCTTGTTGAGATATACAAACTAGCCGATCCATCATTTTGAAAGAAGATAGACGTGGAAGTTAAATATTTATGTTGCATTTTGTGATGTTCAATATATAAAGCCCTAAATAGGCTTTGTTATGTTTTTTTCAGTATTATATTTGTATTTAGTTAGGTTGTTCGATAGTTCAAATGTTTTGTGATTATATCTGTAATGTTTTGACTGTACAAAGACATTTTGTAGCTCTCTATTCCAAGTAACAACACAAATAAGTTTGTCTAAATAGTTTCTCGTAATTTGAGAGGTGCCATATAGTTGTGTCATACAGAATCGACTGTCATTACCAGTCATACTGTAGTTCTTATTTTTTTACTTATTCTCGTTTTGTATATAGCTAGTGTATTTGATTGTTTTTGAAACGCTTAAGACGCGTATGTTGTTATACCGTTCTTGGTTTCATTTTGCTTGAAAAGCTTGTTTGTGTTCGGTTATTTATTTATTATACGTTTAGTTGTCGTTACTTTTTAAAACCCGACTGGGAGAACTGATGTTATTTAAACATTCCATTCCTAATAAAAGTTTGCATTCCTGTGACATTGTTTGAATGGATATCCCAGATACCTTAATACAAGCATTTCAGGAGTGTTGGAAGATCCATTAACCATTTTCTGGTTTTGACTTTGAAATATTGCAATTGGTCATTCCAAAAGTCACACAATTTGAATTGTGAAACGACTTTTAAAGCATTTTTATTGGCACACTTTAGATATACAGGGTGGCGCATCGATAACGAAACAGGCGCATTTACTGGCAGCTCAGTTTTTTTTGGAAACACGTCGATTTTGTTTTCCAGGGGGATACAAGTATGGCAAAAAATCACGTTAGCACGTGCAGCCCCTTAAGCGGGGGTGACACCACCCCAAAAATCTTAAATGGAAAGGGGGCTCGAGTGATACCTTATTTTAAAGGTCTTTCAATTCTCTTTATAATGATATAAAATTAATGTACTTCAGTTCAGTAGTTTTGAAGATTTATTGATTTAAAGCTTAAATAAAACTAATACATCATCATTAGTGGAGATCAATACATTTGGCAGCAAAGTAATTTAAAAATGAAGAATGAACTGACCCGTTAGGCAAGTAAATGTTGAAAATGGCCCTCATGACTCTCCATGCGATAATAAAGATTTGGCTCAAAACGTTTCCGCACATTTTGCGATATATGAGGAGTAATTTGAAGGCACTCGTTCACAATTCTTTGTCGCAGATCTTCTAATGATGTTGGCTGAGTAGCATAGATTTTGCTTTTTAAATGACCCCACATAAAGAAATCCAAAGGTGATAAATCTGGCGATCTTGGGGGCCATTCAATGGCACCTCTTCTGCTCTTCTACCAATCCATCGATCTGGAAACGTCTGATCTAAATATTGTCGAACACGTATTGCGTAATGTGGTGGGGGCACCATCCTGTTGGAATGTACCGCCGATCATTCTGATTTTCACTAATGCAGGATCTATGGCGTCTTCCAGTAATTCCAAATACATTTCACCGGTCAAATTTCCAGGTAAGAAAAAGGACTGCAAAAGTTCATTTTTCCGTATATTTTTTTTCGAAATTTCATATGTATACTTGACTATCCCCAAGTAAAATACGTTGATCAATTTACCAGTAAATAAAACATCATTGTAGTGATATGATATAAAGTATATTTTCTATTTGTTTATTGTTTTTTTACTACATAATTATAGCAAGTCATAGTCTTCCTTCAGTATGTCGTATGCTTTTTCTCCAATCATGTAAGCACTAGCCATTGGATGGCCAGAAATCGTTGTAGGTAAAATACTAATGTCAGCAACTCTTAGATTTTTGATTCCAAATACGCGCAGTTTTGGACTTACAACAGCTTCTAGGTCAGTGCTTGGACCCATTTTGCAAGTCGTTGTCTGATGGTAAATACTACTAATGATTGTCCTTAAACCGCATTCCCAATATTGGTCCGTGTCAAAGCCATATTTTTCACACCCTGAAATCAGTTATCTGTATGTCGATGCTCCCGCAAACGTAAAGCATATATGAAAGATGATGAGAACATGTTAATACGGATTTTGAACTTATTGGCATCGTTACTTCACAACTGTAACTGTCATATTCCAATCTATTACGTCAAATTGCGATTTCTCTTATGCCAGAATGTGATGTTTGCAAAGAACATGTATACGTCTCGTACTTCAGAATCCATGTTCGCACACACATATAGAACTGAACGTGTATACATGCCTGCTGAATGTGATCTCTATATACTCGGCCATACTTAATCAAATCTTGTTGTGAAAGTTTATCCTACGAACCCGCAACCCACAAGCCATGCTAGCGAAATGCGGGTTGCACTGGTTCAGGCAAATTTTACAAACATGAGCCACTTACCAGGAATTGGAATATCGACAATCTTGGCATCAAATTTTGCCAGAGCTGGACTTTTTACTATTCTTTGAGCTTCTCTGATAGATGCTATGAATGTTTTGATATCATGATTCTCTCGATCTGTGAAATAGTTGGGGAAAAATAGTGGAGATTCAGCGGGATCCTTGGACAGCAACGTCATGTGACCTTTTGATTTGGGATGCAGCAATACGGGGATAACCTACAAAAATGTTACTGACCAACCATCTCTGATAACAGGTGATCAAGGCAATACTTACCAGAAGCAGAGGCTTATTTTCTAAAGGCTTCCATACAGCATCATAAAGCCCTTGTGGAATATTTAAATATCTTCGTCCAGAAATTCCATAATCTGTAACTGGGCTTGCTCCGGAGACCATATACTCTATATCAGCCGCGTCTGGATCTGGGTTGGATGTGTTTGTAATGTTTGTGTTAATGTAGTGCATAGCTTCGGCAACTACAATTTAATAACCAAAATATAAGAGAACAAACGAAATATGATGGAAACATTTATATGAGCTAGTAAAACATCTGAATGTACAGTCATGGCGGAACAAAATGAGTCATATTACTTTCCGGACAAACCCTGTATCAGCATTTTCGACTATAGGAATCTTCCTAATTGTGCAAATAGTCCACTGGAGCTGAGCTTAGTTGATTAAGTGATCTTATAATAGATAATATAGGAATACTGGTACTTACGGCAAAATCCTGGGGTTCCGGAACCATACGTTAGATGATCTACATATGTTTGTGGGATAAGGTAAGGGAGAATATTCAATGATATGGGCTTATTAACAGTAAACATCAAATTTGGAAAGAATAAGTGATCATACATAATCTTACCAACAGGCAAATTACTGAGAACTGGTATATCTGAAATATACAAAAATTTGAAACAGTTATATTGTTGTATCATAGACTTACACGCATAGTGCCTTACCGAATTTTTCTAGAGTTCTTTTCGGACCCACACCTGACAGCATAAGTAATTTAGGTGAGTTGAAAACTCCAGCTGATAGAATAACTTCTTTCTTGGCAGTGACAGTATACTTCTTTCCTAAAGTTTTGTACTCAACACCATATGCTTTTTTTGTCTTTGGATTTATAAGGATCTTGGTCACTAAGGAATTTTTCCTGACAACAAAATTTTTTCTATGTCGGAATGGTCTCAACCATCCTCTCTCCGCATGATCCCTTCTGCCTTTCAGAGTCGTACTTTGAAGAAAAGACACCTATAAAGACGTACCTATTACATATTATAGAAAAGCGGTTGGCTCGCTAGTCTTAACACCACTGCGACCCATATGGATCTATTGTGATTCCCCATATAGCTTGTGACGACTCTTGTGAGTCTAGGCCAATGGAATTTTTCAAAATAGTGTCCCCCTAAATTTGGAAAATCGCAATTTTTGCGTGTACAGTCTAAATATAATATCACTAATTGTTCTGGCAAAATTATACTAGCTGCTGTGAGGAGCTCATGGTAATTAGAACTAACACTGTTGTCGCAAAATGAATGCCTCACCCTGTATAACACTCACCCCAATCTGCTCCTTTCCATTGTAGTCTACATATGGATATCCTGCCTCCTGTGCAGCCTGGACCCAAGCGTGCGTTACACGTGAAGCATACGATGGGTCACTTACGCTCAAATATCCATCTCTACCGTGGTATGCTTCGTCATGCACCTTTACGTGCACCTGTTCAGATCGCTTGAATAACGGTAGAACGTCATCATATCCCCATCCTTTGTTACCCATACGTTCCCAACGGTCGAAATCTGCTTTGTTTCCTCTTACGTATAACATTAGGTTGATAAGGGAACTTCCACCCAGGCCTTTGCCGTGGTACCATTGAGACCGACCATTGATGCATCCTGTGATAGTGTACATAAAAGGTATTTTTGAACGGCAAATGATATGGTACTTGCAGTGTTGGGCATTTTCGCGTATGCTTTAATTGTCTGTATTTCGATATATACAATGCGTATACAATGTAAACAATCCGTATATAATGTATGCATGGCGTAGACAATGTCAAAACATTGCGACAGCATTATTATCACACAATGTTCTAGTTCGACTGGACTATGGATTCTTGTGGAGCAAAAGGGAGACCGCTGATTGGTCAGTTCAAACGACTTGACTGACAGATTCGCCGTAAGAGAGCCAATTGGTATCAAGATTCGCACCGCATCTCGAAGGGTGACGGTTTGTACAGAGTCGTATTCAGAACCTTTTTGCGATGATTCAATGATGCCAAACGATTTATCGATTGCAGATGCTATATCTTAGAAAAAATTCTTCATGATTGCGACTGAAGTAAAATATGGCAGATCTATAACAAAATGTGGCCACTATAAAAGATTTCCATTGGATTTTCCATAAATCATAAACGCCATTTGAAAAGGAATGTAATCATTTTAATTCTACGTACAACTATTAACATTGTTTATCAGAATGTTGAACTTGAACTGTCATCCTCATCACTTGTATCACATTCTGGCCAAATTCAATTATCAGTAGTTGTACTTGTCTTTCTAAAATATCTGTCTCGACTTTTGTTATAACATGCACTTGTCCCATTTCTCGGCTCCGATTCTGCTTAGGGCTTCATCAAAAAGTACCTTGAGGTCAAGGCAAATTCATACGCCCATATGAGCTCGATGGGATTTAGCTCTCAGTGATATGGGGGCAGACGAAGGACTGTTTTGTTATGGCTTGCTGCCATCTCATCGACTGCATATTTTTCGTATGCAGCCTTACGCTCTTTGACAATTTTCAATAGCTGGACTCTTAGCATTGAGTCCTCAAAGCTGATATTCTTTGCTCGCAACCAATTTTTTCGATGACGTCGTCGGGATTTTCTCTATTCGTCGAGAATGGTATGGCGCATTGTCCAGTACAATTACTGAGTTGTCTTCCAGGTATGGTAGGAAACGCTGCTCGTTCTTGTCCGTTACTTCCGGCATCCTTGCCCTTTTTAACAATGCGAGTAATACTGGCAATTGATACTACTATTGTTTTAACTACTTCAGCTTTAATCTCTGCCATATTTTGGGACACTGCCAGTTCTCATATTGAGGATGTATTAGTATACATTGTATACCACCTCACTCGTCTGGTTGGACAAAACTTCATTTCTACCCAGATTACTCATAGTAGAAATATTATCACCATTGTATCAACAAAACGTGCGCTTTAACTTCAGTCACTCGGTACGCTACTGGAATAACGGCGGACGAGGTTTCATGCAGTATTGCCGCCGTTCCGTGGGAGGAGCTTGTTACTGCGCACCATATGATCAAATCTTGATAGGTGCCGGCAACTGTATCTATCTTTGCTTTCGGGGATGTACCTAAGAGGGGGATTTTCAGAGCCGGCTTCAGAAGTTTGTGTGCCCTGAGGCAAAACATAAAATATTCGCCCTCCACTAAAACTGCAAAACAAAAGTGGCAGTGCTGAGGCCTGAAGACGGTGGTCGACGAGCATAAAGTCAAAATGGATATGTTTGCTTTTCGTCTCTGTAACTACGATCAACCGCAGACAGCGCTGTTTAGTACTCATTGGCAACTCATCAGTGCAGGTCTAGTATTCCTGGAGGCAGATGAACGAGTGGGTATGGTCTCAAAATGGTGATGATGAAGATCAACTTGCCCAACCATTGGTAGATGGAGACCGTCAGGTTTTTCAACCATCTTCGCACAGTATTTTGAGTTTTTCAAATGACCATAGCCATTCGCTTGCTTTCCGTTCATCTATCTCTAGGATTACTAGATCTATACCGAACTGACGAGTTGCTGATGAACACGAAACAGCGCTGTTGGCCATTGTTAGATGGAGATGTAATATTTTTTCCTGCTCCACATAGTATAGGGTTGTATGCATAAGTGGTGCAACGAGTTTGGGTGTCGTCTGGTAGAATAATACAGCAGTTATTCCAAGCATTCGTAGTTTCTGTGAATGCCTTACCTGTACACACTTCTTTTTGTGGTTCTGGTTTGTAGCTCCAACTATATTTGGAGACCGTCACAGTCATAGCCAATGTCGGTTGTTCTACCATTATGCTGGGTTCTTCACCAGCCTCCAATAAAAGGACTTTAATATCTCTGTGTTGTGTTAGTCTGTTTGCAAGAACGCACCCAGAGGGACCTGCCCCTACCACTATGAAATCAAAGTAATCATCGGGATCTAAAAATGTAAAACTTCGTGATAGTACCATCATGAACGCTTTTTCTCCGGCGATATCGTTGTTCCGCAAAGGACCTCGCACAAAGTATATGAAAAATGGATCCCAGGCGATGTGTCTAAAAAATTGAGTGGTATATCATTTCTCACGGGAGAGTTGTTATATTACAGAAAGTATGTTATTTAAAACCTTCAGGAAGGAGAACTGGGATGCGACACGGTCAATTTAAGGCCAAGTTAATTTTTATACACTACTCAAAAATATTAAGGGAGCAAGATACATTTTTCGGTACCTTGAGTTATACAAAAAAAAATATTAGCCTTTCCATTAGCAGTCCCAAAGATGCGCAAAAAGTGTGTTTTTTGAATTCTTAAGCCGTAGCTAGTGATATTTCAGTACTTCTTTCCGGTCAGTGCCCTGATTGGCGATCGGGAAGTAGACCATGAAATAAATTTGAAAATAAAGGTGTTCTTCAAATATTTTTGGAACAGCTGGTAGAAGAGATATAAGATCTAACTTTCGTTCATTGTTCTACCTAGTGACCAAGGCTAGACCGTGTTGATAATTGCCAATAAGCATGGAACGGCTGTACTTTACATTGTGTCTTGAACTTGTTCATACGTACAAGGTAAGTCGGTTATAGGATACATAGGAAAAGCCCTTTGAAAGTCTGCAGATGCATTAAACACTGCAAAAGGAATTTGTTCCAGAAACGTCCTGACAGTGTGTAGTGCATCGAGGCTAAGATTTTTCACTTCTCCAAGAATAGGTTCTTCAGCTTCAGCATATTGTCCTTGCAGACATAAGACGACTAGTATAATCTAGAAAAAGACATGATGACATATTAGTCTCGTATTCCTCGATTTTTGGATAACTGTGTTACAGTTCCTTTTATGGTCGATTAAAAATTAACTATATCTAGATAAAGTAAATTATTATTATACCTATAACGTTTTTCTTATTTAGAATAATAATTTTATAACAGTTCTTGAAAATATTGAATTTTATGATGTCCTCGAGGCGGGTCATACATCTGAACCCAGGGTAGGTAACGCTTCAAGTGGTGGCAAGTAAAATGATGTATTTACCTGTAATATTTTGTGAAGTCCTGTCCTCCACAGGTTGTTCATGATTTCACGAAAAAAGTGTATCTTTTTCACTGAAGCTAAATGAGGAAAAGCGCTGTAGCATACATTCTGATAAGGAATATTTCTGAGATGCACGTTCAATAGCTCTAATAGCAAATATCGTTAGTACTGGTCCACACATTAAGCATGTACTTTTTATTCTAGTCAAATAACAATTTTTGATAAGGTTGGTCAATGGTTGTTAATGTAAAACCAGAGTAGAACAATGAATATTATAAGTGTGCATTTATCAGTGCAAATCTTGCGCTCCAGGTCCAAGCTTCAATCAGTGCTTTTAAATGTGACTGCTGAACTTATTATCTTTATATCTCCCTTAATCTGGTCAACGTAGTTCGCTATTTCATAGTTTGTTTCACGTTTCTTTTATTATCATTTTTTCACCTTGAATAAGGGATGCGTGGCATCTGATACGTCATATCATAATAGATTTTATGGACTCATAATTTTTGCTTTTTGTCATAATTTCTGATTGCCACAGTGCTCTTCAAAAGCATCCCCTAGGTACTTATTTTTTGTAAAGTCATGATAGCAAGTTGAAATTCGGGGTAATGATATTGGTATCAGTAAAATGTAGGGTGTTCCAAAATGGATCAAAAACATGCTTTATTGAATTATTAACATGAATGCAACACTTCAGCAACACTATTTAATGTTTATCTTGTGGTGAGGCAAGGCACAGTTTGGTAGAAAATTTGACGTTGCTTTTCAAAATTCCGAACAAAATTGCTTGAAATAACCTGAGTAGTAATTTGGAGCTCTATAACGCATTACAAAAAGCTTAGCATTCACAAAAACGCTCGGAAAGCTTTAGATCGGGTTTGATTTGATATTTTTTTTAAATAGACGGACACAGATTCAACCTTCTTGATACTATTTCTGCTGAGTTGAAAGGAATTTCGCAAAGATTCACGATCCTTTTGCGAACAAAATGATAAACATTAAAACATTAACAGTTAAATTCTATACAGCTTGTACATAAGTACAGTGGTATGAAATTTTTCAAAACACTTTAGCTTTCACTAATATAGATTTTCGTTATAGAGCATGTTTCAGATCATAGTAGTTACCATCTTACTACAAGCAAAGTGTTATGGAGCTACATCTCCTCCAATTCTTGGAGCCATCGAAAATGTAACTACTGACACCAGACACAGTTTTAATACACTTATGGAGCAAATTGTCTATGGGCTAATGAATGCATCTGCTGATTTTCAAAGCGTTTATCCTATGTATCCCATAACAGATAAACCATGTAAGTATTGGAAAGGATCGAATCGTTTTCCCGTAATCCGTAAAATAAGGATGTCATTTTCATATAGATTTTGAATCTGCATTAGCCTCGAAATCTAGTGCCCTGCTCAGAATATCAAAAAGGAAATATCAATAAATTATTTTTATTCGTTTCACATTTTTATTGGTCTTTGCAGACGTATAATCTCGTATCAGATAATACCTCTAATTTCATTGACTTGATAAAACATTTATATGCACCACTATTTATGTCTGACTAATTCTTATGTCACCATTGACTGCACTATATTTTCTCTTCGCTCTGCTATTCCACCGTATTCCGTACTCTGCTTCCCTCTCGAAAGGATTCCAGCCTTCAAACTTTGAAAAAAGATTCAGTGGGAAAATTTCACCCACGAATGTGAGGTTTTCGCCTTATATACAACTATATATTATCGATCTTACAGATTTAGATGACTACTTTGACTTCATAGTGGTGGGAGCGGGTCCGTCAGGATGTGTTATCGCAAACCGACTAACAGAAAACAAACATGTTACGGTCCTGCTGTTAGAAGCTGGCGAAGAACCAAGCGCATTAGTAGAGATACCAATCTTAGCATTTGGAGCCACAGTGTCTAAATACAGCTGGTGGTACAAACCAGAACCACAAAAAGAAACTTGTACAGGTAACAAACAACAATCTCATATCGAGTCAAGTATTTTGTACGTCTTCTTCTAATTGTGTTTGATCCGGTATGTTCTTTCCCTATGCATAAATGTCACTGTCTATTAGTCTGTCAGCATCATGTCTGAACCACAATACGAAGAGAGAAGTAAACATTTCTACACTTACTGATTGATATCCGAGGAAGGTTATAGGTATGGTTTTATATGCGAACTCATCATCGATTTTGCATCCAACATCATGGCAAGTAGCAAAACCTCCACCGTCAACTACAAGCCGGCAACAGCAGCAAACACTTGAATGCTATAATCGTCCTCCAATCACTTGTTGTATATTCGATGACATTAGAAGAACCACAGCCACCTTGCATGCTCGGGAAATTTGGTTACTTTACTAGTATACAGGGTGGCGCATCGAAAACGAAACAGACGCATTTACTGGCAGCTCAGACCCGCCGATTTTGTTTTAGAGGGGGATACAAGTTTGTCAAAAAATCACGTTAACACGTGCAGCCCCCTGGGCGGGGTGACACCAACCCTAAAATTTTGAACGGAAAGGGGGGTCGAGTGATACCTTATTTTAAAGGTCTTTTAATTCCCTTTATAATGAAGTTTTCCATTATCCTTATTAGGACCGCCAGGATTGATAAATTCTTTTATAGATCCTCTGTAGGGGAGTAAGAGAGATAGATAATAGAATAAAATAGAAAAAACATGTTTCTAGGATGTATAAATGGAAGGACGCAATGGTATCACGGAAAAGGACTTGGTGGTAGTACCCTAATCAACTTGATGCTGTATGTCCGCGGTCACAAAAGCGATTTTGACGATTGGGAACGTCAAGGGAATGACGGTTGGGGATATGATGACGTACTTCCCCTATTCAAGAGATCTGAACAGGTTCATGTCAAAGTGTACGACAAGGAGTATCATGGTAAGATGATCTGAAGATTTAGCCTACTACACCACGAGGATTGAGTAAAAGACAAAGACAGGAAGAGTCAATAAAACTTAAAACTAGGGACAAAATAACATTAAAATAAAACAGAAGACAATAAAAAAAAATTCCACACTTAAAGCATTAAGGGGCCTAGTTCATTCAACAGTTTTTCTGTTTTCATTAAATTAATTTTAAAACTTCAAGACAATTTTTTTATTAGCCTTTAAAAAAGGAAATATATTCCTGGACACGCAGCATGAAGTGTAATATTTTATTTATGATTACTTAGAATGTACTACGTGATTTGAAGGGTTAAGTGTAAGAACAGATGGAAACCACTTTTTTCAAATTGTAAGTTTTATTTGTTCTGTTGGCGAATACAGACGTTTATTATTATTCTGTGATGATGATACTAATAATTGTATTCTCTATGTTTAAAGGAAGACATGGGTATCTGAGTACCAGCGATCCCTCATACGCCTCAAGATTGTCGCAAGTTTGGGTTCAGGCTGCACAAGAGGCTGGATATGCTTACGTCGATTATAATGGGAAAAGTCAAATTGGGGTGAGATATATTAGATCCTACTACTCGAAATAACAAGCAAATGTGTTCATTACACTTGTATACATTATTAGAGAAATTCTTATAGAATAAATAAAAGACAAAATCTATTCTATTCTATATTGGACAAAACTTGTGCCGCGACCGTCAGATTTCGTTATAGGTTTCATTCCTCCAAAGTACCACATTGAAAGGTAGACGAGAGCATGCCGAAAAAGCGTTCCTGAGGCCTTTCCGTTACAGACAAAATTTGGTGATCAGAAAGAATTCTATTGTCACGAAGATTCTCATAGATCCGAACACAAAAGCTGCGTACGGCGTTGAGTACGAAAGTATGGGGAAGACATTCACTGTAACATGCAAAAAAGAAGTAATATTGTCTGCTGGGGTTTTCAGTTCTCCGAAGCTACTTATGTTGTCTGGTGTAGGACCCAAAGAAACTCTCGAAAGATTTGGTAAGCTAGTATTCAAAAAAAAGTGTATAGTGTGACAATATAAAATTTTAATTATATTTGAATAAAAAAATTAATGCGTCAAGTCCTAACATCATACCCTAACCCAGGCCTGTCCAAGTGTCCAACTCAGGTGCCACCAGTGCAGCGCCGAGCACCGCTCGCAGCACGGTGCTGCGGGTGACTCCGTGAAGGTGAGGAGGGATTAGGCAGCGGCATACATATCGCGAGGAAGGTGTTTTACTAACCGTAGCACCCTGCGAATAGAAATGACCCGGGAGCTGGTGGCATTGAGTATACCTTCATCACGGATTCGACTAAATTCAGTAATAATATGTAGTTTTTAAGTAAATGAACAAGAAGAGCTCAGAAGTACCTGTCATACCGACTTAAAGATACAGTGTGGCAAGAGATTTTCTCCCGTCCACACCGAATCAGATGAAATAAAATTCCTATGTTTCTAGATGTTCCTGTCATTCAAGATCTACCTGTCGGAAAAATAATGTATGACCACTTGTTTTTCCCGGGCTTATCGTTCACAGTGAACAAGCCTATAACACTGAATGTTTTACCATACCTCAAGCCACAAAGTTATGTGGACTACGTCGACTATGGATCTGGAACTTTAGGATACTGCTGTATGTATTTCATTTTTGTCATAGATGTTAGGCGATTTTTGATTTCACTCTGCTGAGGTCATTAATTATGATCGATTGTTCGACCATCTACTACTGTAATATAAACTCTTTGTAATTAAAAATTACATTCTATTTTTTTGTTCGGTTAGCTATAAAAGCAAAAGCAGCAATGTCAACGCGGGCGTTTCCCCAGGGATGGAATTTGACTCTAGTAGTTTCCGTTAGTGCCTTCAGTTCTTGTCGGCATTCCTAAGTCAGTGCATTTGCCACCCTAGGACTTCTTAACGCTTGACTTTCGGTATATATCCTGATCCTTTTCTTACTGTATTGATGTGCTGTACTTTGTTTTTAGTGGCTGAAGTGATGCATTACATCAACGTCAACGTAACAAATTCCTCAAATTCTAACCCAGAAGCATCTGACGTAGAATTGATGGTCACCGGAGGAAGCGTAGTTGCCGACTTTGGCTTTTGGTCTAGAAGATACTTAAATATTCCCCAAGAACTATATGACAAAATCTGGAAGCCCCTGGAATTTGTCCCAGTATTCATGGTATTTTATTACTTCTGCAATTTTTGGCATATCTTTAACGGTTCACGAGCATAAATAATACCAATTGGAATATTGAGACAGTTTCTCATTCCCAGAGAGTTCCAGCCACACTGGAAGGTTATGATTTTTTATTTTTTCAAGTAGGCGTTGCAAACAAATGCTAAGCTGTATCTCCCACAAGAATCCTTATCTTTAACACCCTGTATAGACTATATTTATGACTTCTATATTTTTATTTTGCTGGCCGACATACCACAGTTAATACAAATATATTACATATAGGTAGTTCCAGTGTTGCTGCATCCAAAGTCCAAAGGACACATGACACTATTGTCTAAGGACCCCAAAGAGTCTCCTTTGTTTTTCCCAAATTATTTTACGGATCCTGAGAATCATGACATTAAAATATTCATTGGATCTATCAGGGAAGCTCAGAGGATAATCAAAAGCCCATCTCTGCGAAAGTATGATGCTAAAATAGTTGATACACCAATTCCTGGTAAGTAAGCAATAGCTGTTTAGCAAATAGATCACAAACAGTTGTCATCCTATCAGATGATTTATATTTCTAAACTCGGTTTTACTTCAAGTCCGAACTTGCTTTGATAAAAAGTTTTTGTGATTTTAGTTTGCAATGGTTATATTTTTGATCTTGATCCTGATCATAAACCAGACTCAGATAACTGCAGCGTTGTAGAGCTTTGTCGAAAATTACAACTGGGCGTATGAATCACCACTCTTAAATTAAGTCTCCATAGCAAAAGCACGTTGCGCTCCGGACCAACGTTCTATTGTGACTATTTAACCTACACGCCGAACGTGTCGATCAAGATTCTCCACACTTCCTCGCGTATACGGTTGCCGCGTAATTAAAACTTGAAATCTGAACTTTCTCACTGGACACCCTGTACAATACCCTATTTAGTGACCCCTTGTAAAATTGTGAACTTGAGATGAGCTCTGATGTTAATATTTCTTGTTGTAGGCTGTGAGGTGCACGGCTTTGATACCGATGAATACTGGGAATGTGCACTGAGAACCCTAATGAGTAGTATATACCATCAAACAACCACTTGTAAAATGGGACCTCCAAGTGATCCAGAAGCAGTAGTTAATCCAAAGCTGCAAGTGTACGGTGTTAAGAATCTAAGAGTGGCGGATGTCAGTATTGTTCCTCTCACAATTTCTGGCCATACCCAGGCAGCTGCTTATATGATTGGAGAGAAAGCGTCTGATATATTGAAGGAGCGTTATCACCTGTAAAAGTAACATAAATACGCTTTATCCACTGTATTGATTTTTACACTTTTTATTTTATCTGAATATAGCCAACCATGGGTCAAAAAAATTATCCGATTTGAAATGAGATATTCTGGCGTGATCTACGAGGATTTGTTACAGCTATGTCTCTTCCCCCCGCAATAATTAAAATCTGCAGCATACTTAGTGTCCATTGTCCATATAGGCAGAACACGAAAATCACTCGCCAACACTTAATTCATGCCTCGCGGACTTATATTCTATCGATTACAATTAAGTTTTCCCAATAAAATCATGAAAAAATTAGGCTCCCGAAAAAGACCGGATCTGTAAATTAGGTGATGGGACCATTTTTTTCATTCAAATATAATTATAATTTGATACTATGAAATATATGTATAAGGAAATTTTAAACTTTTCTGACCACCTTGTAGTGTAGTTTTTTAGTTCTGGTTAATTCTTTAGGGCTTACAGAGAGGGTGACACATTTATTTTTCCTCCTCTCTAGAAAATTTGCCTCTCTATCCTCTTCTATCGGCGCCTATGGCGTTGAACTTACTTCCGAGCACAAAACGTTTGGATCATAAAACAGAAAACATATAACCATTGAGACCACGCCCCTTATCCTCGCTACTCGCTGTCGCAATCCAATTAAATAGTAGTATAGGCGTTGCCAGTATTTGCCGTTTTATCCCTATTAGCCTGAATTATTTGGCAGCAGCATTGAAATATTCAAATAAATTTTAATAGATAATTTTGAAAGGATACATTTGATACAAGATCTTTTGAGGCTCTACAGATTTTAGATATTTTACAATTAATTAACTGGGAAAGTTTGCGAATTGAGCAGAAGCTTTTTAAGCCAAGTATTTTAGGCACGTGGTTGAGCTGGCATTGATGTATCGACTATTGACATTTGACGTTCATGGCATTCTCGGTTGACATTCAACCAGTGTTACCAAGTCTACCGGTTTTTCGGTAGATCTGCCGATTTTGATCCTGGTCTACCGAAGCAAAATCTACCGAAAAGTGGACTTTCCTTTCAAATGAATAATTTTTGTTCACTATATAAGAGAAATATTTCTAATGCATAGCGATAAAAAGAATGACAAAAGTACTATTATTATTTATACTAGACCAGATATATTCTAATTCTCTTTGCCTGACATTGGTGTGCCACATACGCTGATTCTTCGGATCTGCTGAATCACCGAAGATACTCGATAATTGTACGATTTCGTGTACTTAGTAATTCCGAATTCGGCCAGTATTAGTATTGCCTGGCTTGCATTCATTTTTTTTATAAGGAAAACTGAACTTTGCAAGGCTGGCTTAAAAAAGTAATAAAGGTCGCGATTATGCGGAATGCATGGTCTGTGATAAAGATATTAATATCAAAAGTGGAAGAGATGCACTTATAAAACACGAAAATGGGCAATTTCATAAAAAAAGTGCAAATCATAGCATAACAGCCAAAACTGTTATCATTTGCAGTTGCAGGTGCATAAAATAAATTAGAAAATCATATTGAAGAAGGTAAAATTAAGTAATCTATATGAGAAGATTTGAGATTATATATATTATTTTATTATTTCCAGGAGAAAGTCGTTTGAGCGCATTTTTGGCCGAGCATAATTTGCCATTCCTGCTGATGGACCATTTGGCAAAGCAAAATTAGTAGATAATATGACTGATAAAAACTTATACAAAAATGAATCGGAAGAATGATTATCCAATATAGCTTACACATTTTTATTTTATACACTGTTTCTGTTTTTTATTTAGAATATTTTATTTTTAGTTAGCTAAAGTGAGATATAAACTGTTTATTTTTGTTTTGTCTTTCTGTTTCAGAGTATATTTTGAGTTAAATAAAATTGTTTTAAGTAAATGCCTTCATTTACTCTTCGGTATTCAATCTACCGAAAAATTCCATACAATTCTACCGAAATATCGTCGACTCCACCTGGCAACACTGCATTCAACTGTCATTTGTCGTCTGTGACTGCCTGCCTGTGATTGTGATGTTATTGCTGCGACTTGCATTTTACACTGTTTTTACCAATTTAGTTATGTGATAGTAAATATTTCTGTGCTTTCAAAGACAATTTTCTTTTACTGATGCATCGTTTGAAAGTTTCCAAGCACTTGCCGTTATGACCAACTGCCTTTCTGTCCTCAGACGAATTAAATTTCGTACTGAGGACTTCTCATAGGTAACTATATAGCTGTGTGTATATACATATCACTGCCCACCAATATACTATTTATGTATTATTATTTTATAAGGTATAAATATACCTTCAGCACTACTGCAGGGATCAGGCAAATGAATGGATGATTGAACGAGATCAGTGTAGGTTGTAAGTAAACAATAAAAAATATATACAAAAAAGGAGCATGTATTTGGAAGTAATCAAAAAACTGTTAAACTTGGAGTCACTGTACTGGTAGAGCTGAGCGCCCTGTACAAGGGCTGTATGTTGTTTTTGAGTGAAGCTGTTGAAAGACAGTGACATTAAATGTAATTACATGTCTTTAGTTCAAGTTGTGTGAATATTATTAGTGTTGTGAACTCCAGTATTTCCATCTAACTGGAAGCTTATATCTGCTGTACTCTTGTTCACATATTTGTACACATGGCCCCACCAGGTGATAGAGTTTTTATCCTACCTAAATTTAATAAAAACTGGTAATATCATAAGGTTTACATTATCAATCTCTGTTTTCTGGCAGTTTATTGAAACTAAATATCTGAACCTCAGGACCAGGCTAGGTCAAGTCTAAGGGCCATATCGTCAGTCGTTCCTACAATTGTAGGATGCCTTTATGGACTCCTCGATTTTCATAGTTTTCTACTTTTCAGTGTCAGCGCTCTATTTTGAGGATATGTCACAACTATCTATTTACTTCAAACTGTTCATGCTTTTGACTTATATCATATTTTGTCCCCCTGAAATTTTCTACAATTCGAAAAGAAAAGGATAAGTTTCAGGGGCTACTTTGGAAGTTGTGTTAAATTGTCTGATTATCTCAAAACTATGTATTTGGATTTAAGCTAGTCTGTCTCTGAGGTACAGGATTGAGTTCTTACTAATGTTTTGTCCTACATACGTGGTTTCCTTTAGTGGCCAGAAAACATGATGATTTATTAGCATGAAAATTACATGATAAGTTTACACTGTAGTCCTGATATCCCTAAAACTCCACGATTTTGCTTTATCCTCAAAAAATAATTTGTAGAACGTAGAATGTTACAAGTTGATATAGAAAAGTAGGTGTCCCATTTTTTAAGAAACTTATGGCATTATTTTTTGGGTTCTATATAGCATTCCAAAAATATATATTTCTGGGATATTATGGTTCTATACTTTGCTCAATTATAAGTCCATTATAGTTTCACCATGCTGAATCCAAAACAAAGGTTTACTCTGCATTACACTTTTGAACTGTTGGTACAGTTGGATGAGTCAGCCTAAAAAGACATGGTGGCATTCCTTACTGTCTTCTAACTCAAATTCACTGCACTTCTTGTGTTACTATGACAGCCTGGCAAGGTTAATACTATACAAATCCAAAAGCATTATACAAAGCCCTGGATCACGTTTATGGATCCATTATCATGTTGCCCTGATCGATGAATGAAATCACAGTTCTGATTGATGTTAGACTAATGTTTTTTTTGCCTGTCAAGCCAGCTATTTTTTAAGTTCAAGTCAATAATAATGAAGTAGGTGAACATTTGTACTTTGAAAAAGGCACCCTAACATCTGTGATTTCATTGTGCGACCTACAAGATATGGAGATTGATCAGCAAAACAACCACAGGATAGGATGGGAAGTATTGTATTGTATTTTTCAGTCAACCACGATCTTCTGTGGCGTCGACGTCTGCGGACTCGCGTGCGTTCTAACCCTTTCAACATGGCCCAAGTCGTGAGCCAGAAAAGAGGCCGCGGCATTAGCAGCGGCGACACATCTTCCGCTTCATCCTCATCCTCAAATCAGGTTTCAACACTGGGAAATGGAACCACCCCTGGAACGCTGACTGATGAGCTTGCCGCTCTGTTCGAATGTCCAGTATGCTTTGAAATTGTTCTACCTCCTATCATGCAATGCCAGGTAATTTAAACTATATTGTTCAGTAAAGTAACAAAAGTGACTTGATATCTTTAATTATTGCTTTACAGGTGGGACATTTAGTCTGCGCAAGTTGTCGCCCCAAATTATCGTGCTGTCCGACATGCCGTGGAACCTTAGGAAACATAAGAAATTTAGCGATGGAAAAGGTGGCGAATAATTTAATGTTCCCTTGTAAGCATAAATCAACAGGCTGTAGGATGTCACTCGGACTTAATGAAAAAGCAGAACATGAAGAAATTTGTGAGTTTCGACCATACAGTTGCCCGTGTCCAGGAGCCTCATGTTCATGGCAGGTTAGTGAAGATTATTGATTACAGTTCTTGTTAACACGTTCGCGACGCCGTGTACCACATGTGGTACATGAGTGTTGATCTCCACTGCCATCATGTACCACATGTGGTACACAGTATGCTTTATATTTAATCGTATTTTAAAACGTCACGGCTGCATAAGAAGCTTGGAAAAGAAGTTACGGCTCTACCTAAAGGTGGTACATGACCCGTGGTACATTCGGTTCCAGGTCCGATCATATTTGTATATAATACAATATTATGTTTGACTAACTGAATTTTAGGAAAATTTTCAAACAACCTTATGTTTTACAGGGTTCAAAAACAGGTAAATCCTAACTTATAAAAACCTCTGAAAACAGAAAAAAGTCAAAAGAACTTCGTAATTAAAAAAATGCAAATCTCAAAGGTCGGGCCGTGTTCGAACTATTCGTACTCCGGAAAATCTCGAGAGAGTTTCTGAAAGTATAGTGGAGCGCCCTAGGCCGTCTACCAGACATCGTTTTCAAGAACTAGTCGTTGTGCACTATTTAAGGCTTGCATATGCGGCCATACAAAATTCAGTTAACCCAAGAACTACAGCCTAGTGACTATGAAAGTTGTCAACAATACAGTCATGCAATATTGCATCTTGACACCCAAACATTACGTGTGAGCTCTTAGGCTATTAGGTGTGAGTAGACTATTTATGTAATATAATGTTATTGTTTCAGGGCCAACTGGACAAAGTGATGGTACATCTACAACATGCCCATAAAAATATAACGACATTAAACGGCGAAGATATAGTTTTTTTAGCAACAGAAATAAATTTAGCTGGAGCTGTCGACTGGGTTATGATGCAGAGTTGTTTCGGTCATCATTTCATGCTAGTTTTAGAAAAACAAGAAAAGAGTGATGGTCATACGCAATTTTTTGCCATTGTGCAGCTAATAGGGTCAAGAAAACAAGCGGAACATTTTGCTTACAGGTAATTCATTTTCGTTTGTAATCACATTATTAGTACCGTTTCTGTCAAACGCAAAAGGAGCGTGGAAATCTTGAAGCCCAATCCAAGAGCAATGAGTGATATATCGTTGAATAGATCTTTTCAAATGGAAAAAAGATTTATTAAGGTGAAAAGTGCGAATTGCGAAAATACCTTGCGTAATTCTCAATAATTCCCCGTTATTCATCCTAATTCCTGTCGATGATTCCCCGTAATTTTTGTGTACAATTAATTCCCCAGAAATTGACTCCTGGGCTGCGGCTGACAGTGCGAACTGGGATACAGTTCCAGTAGACAGATTATTATTTCCAATCTCGCAGTGATCAATTCTGGTAATACAGCGGGAAAGTTCACATTTCAAATTTGAATTACGCGACAACCGTATACACGAGGAAGTGTGGAGAATCTTGATCGACGCGTTCGGCGTGTGGGTTAAATAGTCACAGTGGAACGTTGGACCGGAGCGCAACATGCTTTTGCTATCGAGGCTTAATTTAAGAGTGGTGATTCATACGCGGCTGCCCTTCGGAAATTTTGTACACGATACAACATTCGCCGACCAAGAGATGCCCCAAGTAAGAATCTACTGTATCAACCGAAGAAAATGTGCGTCGAGTAAGTGATTCGGTCATTGCAAATCCTCGGCGTTCTGTACATGACATATTGAAGAAAAAAATGGGTTTTCATCCTTATAAAATCAGTCCATGCTGGAGGAGCTTAAAGACAACTTTGGACGACAAATAAACATCACTCCGGAATTCTGCAAGAGTGCTTCAGAATTTGACAGTAATAAATATTTTCTTTTAATCAAGCTTGTATTTTTTTTTCTTGAATCAAAAAGTGAACTTTCCCACTGTGCCGTGTTATTTCGGTAGACCTGGTACTCTTTCCTTTTTGTCCTACCTGAGACCAAGCCTAGACCATGCTGATGAGTTGCCGAATAGCACAGAACAGCTCTGCGTCTGCGTTCGGACGAACCGAAGCAGTACTACTAAGAGGAATTTCTTTTCAGACTGGAGTTGAATGGAAATAGACGTAGACTGATATGGGAAGCTATGCCGAGGTCGAGTCATGAAGGTGTGGCTTCAGCAATAATGGGTTCTGACTGCCTTGTTTTTGATAATTCAATCGCCCAACATTTTGCTGATAACGGAAATCTAGGTATAAACGTTACCATTTCCTTAGTATGCTAAAAGTGGATCACTTCACGCTGATTATTGTAAATAGTGATTGATTTCTAACACCATTCCTGCTGTTTTATATAACGTTGATTCAGGGAGTTGTCCAACCAGAGAGGCGTTCAGAAATCTTTATAACTTTCTTAAACCGACTTTTTATTTTCATTATGTTCGATATTACTTCTTAATCAAAAAAGTATTGTTAATTTAGTTGTTTTATTAAATAAATATATTAAAACCGAATTTATTCGTCGTTATTCTTATGAACCAACTGTGAAAACTTACCCACTAAAAATAATGATATACAGTTTAGTTCACTCAATAATCTGCCCTTATCACTGTAACATAAAAATTGGGAATCAGGGTTTTCGAATATGATTTCATGAGAAATATATGGGTGGTAGAAAATAGCTTGAAATTAGCCAATGAGAAGACGTTTTTGGCAGACAGAAGTTGAGTTCACTAGCTGTTAATGTTGAGAAAGCCGAGATTCCAAGCCAAAATGCGATTAAGTATACGAGGGATGTCTTTTAAGTTTTGCATATTGAAATAAAACAACACGGTAGGTAGTTTTAAATGACTATTGTTTTTCGAAGTATTCTCCACGAAGATTAATACACATCTGTTGAACTTATTCCACTCGTTTGCTGACAGATTCAAAACGGCATTTTTGAATGCGTCAACTGCTTCTTCTGGTGACTGGAGCCTTTGGCCACGTAATCTGTTTTTAATTTTCGGGAAAGTAAAGAAATCGATAGGTCTTTGATCGGGACTATATGGAGGATGGTCCAATAATTCCACGTTTTCTTCCGTTAAATACTGCCTTGTTTGGGCTGTGTGCGAGCTTGCATTGTCTTGGTGGAGGATGATTCTTCTTTCGGGGTTGATTTTTCGAAGCTCGGTGATGACTGTTGGCAAACAAATGGTGGTATACCAGTCCGCAGTAACGGATCTTTGGGGCGAAATGAAACGCTTGATGTACAAAACTGTGGTGCACACTGTTGACGAATTACGTCTGATAATTGAGCATTCATTCGGGGAAGGGACTCCACTCTAAAAGCCTGCACCGATGCTTGGCTACGTCGAGCACGCACATGTGTTTTTGAATCCAACGGCAACAACGTATAGTACGTATAAAATACGTTCACCAAGACAAAGTGACACCGACGTCATATTTTCGATCTCTTTTTTTTTATTTTGTTAGATGAGCTCGGATTTTACGACAGAGTCGTACTTGGAATTTCAATTCAACTGAACAGTGAGTACTTTTTCATTTTCGCATACAATTGTCATTACATTTGAATTAAAAAATATGCGAACACTACTCAAGCTGTTAACTTTCGTTGTTTATGCGATGAACCGTCTATTACGAGGTATTCTTTGGAGAGGAAGGAACGTACGGACTCACGTGGCTTATTCCCAGAATACCAATTTACCTTATGACAAGTGGTTTTCAGAATGACTGGTTCACTGAAGGAAGGTATTTAAATAAACACATACTTTTAGACAGAATTTAAAATCTATATATTTGAAACAATAATAATCTCGCAAAACTGTCTTAACATAATCCCCCATATTTCTCTGGCCAATCGAAACCAGATCTGTCGAAAAAATCTTTATTATCAACGTTTCGGTCACGACGGTGACCTTCAGTACAATGAAATACGGGGGACTATCGACATGAAAACCACAGAATAAGTTTCAAATGTTACATTGTCTTAACATAATTTAAAACATAGTAACAACGACGTTTATATGCCCGATTACATCACATTTTATTTCATGTTTATATTATATCCAATTTTTTACAACAAAATACGAGTAACAATTTGAGCTAATAATAGGCACTCTTTAAGTCACCTTGATACATATTTCACAGTTACAAATAAAGCATATAACTCAAATGTGAAGACGATTTTTAATCGTTATGAATAAAAAGAATCTGGATATACAGTGATTTTCCAAAAAGGTCGCTCCAGTCGTTTTTTCAAATGGATCAGATTCGCAAGCCTAAATTCGGAGAGAAGGAATTTTTGCACCGCTACCATATGAAAGCGTAAAAGCGAGAATTGTAAATTCCAAGATGGCAGCTGGCCCCCATTTTGGAACACATCTTTGAAGCTTCTTAGTATTTTATAACCCTAAGATCTGTTGGCAGATTGAGCGATTTTATACATTGAATCACTCGATCAGTTGGTGCCTTGAAATTTTTCAACTATCACTTTTACATTAAAATATAGTACTCCTGTATTGATTTTCACACTCCAAATTCGAGGTTTCTCTTTTGACACGTTCAAAAAAAAATTATAGGAGGGCTTTATGAAAAGGACTGCATTCCGCTTTCAATAAAGTACAAGGTGTCCCAAATATAGACGTATCAACAATTGATGACGAACGTTTCTATCGCAGTATTTTTTTTGGGCATTGTTTGTATAAGGTGTCAAGATTTCCAAAACATGTAATTTCATAAGATCCTCATAGAACCTATGAAAGTGATATACGGTGAGGTTCAAATTTTGCTGACGTGACTATGTTAGAAAGAGTGTGCCCGTAGCTGCGTCACTCGGGTTGCTAGGCAACGAGGTGCTTCTATCTCTTTCTGACACACGTATCACATGAGTCGTATATGAATCTCACTGTATGTTTCTATGCATAACTTTGGATCTGTTATTTTTTAGCAATGATAGAAATATGTGATGAAACTTTCGTATTTCTGTAACATATTCTGAGATACCCTGTAACATACTCTAATGATTTCATTTTTATTCACAAAACACTGCATGGTTTACAAAATTGTACATCTTAAGGATTCATAATTCGCTACTGAATTACGCCGTAAATTCATAAATCTTAAAACTGAAATATAAACCTAAGGCTGAATGAAGCTGGTGTTTCCACAAAAGTACTACAAGTGTTATAGACAGATAACTTGAATGAATAATATTCAGTTTAGATATCCTCCATACAAATATCACCCTGTTTTCAGCTAAGAGCGCTATAGCAATCACCTTTTTTGGACTAAAATTGTTACTTCAGAAATCTGCATACCGTTTCTCAGTTTTGTTTTCGGAAAGTGTGCTGCAAGATAAGAAAGGAAGAAACATTTTATTATTTCCCCCATTTATTGTTTGAATTGAACATTTTCAGATGACTTTTTCCCACTATGATAATTTAAAGATATACTTTTGTAGGAGATACATTGTGTGCATTTTCTATGCACGAAAGTGATCTATAATTTTTCCAACGCATTTTTTAAAATTTGCTAAAGCTATGCAAATAATTAATTCTTATTTATACTCGATCTAGTTTAATACTGGAGCTTGGTAACTAAAAACTGTTACAATAACGTAAATTTGATCGCAGTAATATTCATTTGCGCTCTTTTAACTACTTGTTGGTAACATCAAATCCGAATATCAGATCAGAAATTACTCTTTCTCACGGTATTTTATTGATACGTTTCATAACTACAACTAAGTTTGGCTACAAATGTTTAATAACATTAAAATGGTAGAGGACACATTCTACAACAGTCTGTTGTATACATATTATTTAATAAAAGAAACATTGGATATTGGTACTGCGGTACTTTCAAGTGATGTGGCATTGTGGAATATTTGATTTTCATTTAATTTATTCTTGTTGGATGAGTTGCACAATCTGACAAGCGTGACCAAATGCAGTCCGTGACACATGAATAGAACCATCACAGTCCCCTTTGTTATTGTCAAGATATGAGACAGAATAGTTATCATATAAATACTATGTGTGACACTTGGATATCACGCCGATCGCAGTCGACTTGCATAGAACTCTCAAAAATTCCAGTAGCGTCGTTTAGGGATGTGTTTCTCCATAGGGGAGCCCTTTAAAACATTTTACATATATAATCTTTTTGTGATCTAAATTCGTACGAGAGATTGACATGTGGATTATTTTGTCTCATGTCTTGATTAATAAAGGAAAGTATACTAGTTCTTTAGGTTTAGAAACGTGAACCTTTCGGCTTGTTGAACTGCATTATACTCGGACCTCCAAATCCACATCTGAGTACCAATTTTTACAGTCACTACCTCTGCATAGGGTAGTTCGAAGACCTGCTTCGACTATTTCACCATCATGCGATCATGTCCATATCTAACGTGTCCCCGTCGTGGTCGATATGGCTGGTCGGGGTAGGCGTAGGGAGCCTCTGTTCACACAGCAAGGGATCTCCGGTAGCTGGGCGGGCTGGAGATGGACAAGGGGAAGGGGACGACAGAAGGACATCCCCTGGTAAGGCGTCTCCTGGAAGGGTGTGAGGGGATGAAAGCATAGGGTCGCCAGCACCGTTCACGCCATACACTAGCTCGTCGTCGTCCATCACTTCTTCCATTGTTGACAGGTTCAGGGAGCCGTCTGATATTGCATCTGATAATGCATCTGATATCACGTCCGGCATCTGAAAATAAATGAGATATAGCCTATTTTGAAAGTTTCTAAAGAATTGTAACGATTGGCTCAATAAATTTTTTTAAATCGACTCAGTCCTATTACTTTCCGGACAAACCCTGTACGTGATGTTTCTAAAACATGGGACAAAAATTCAACGGTTTGATTCTTTGGGCTATTCTAAGACTATCTTACGTTCTGACAAATTTTTTGGCGGTAGTGTACTTATACGCTACCAGCTTCGGCAATTCTACGCACATATTTCATACGTCATAGATTTACCCGTACATTTAAATCACTGATATAAAAAAAACATTTTCAGATATCACAGATATTAAAAAACTAACGATATCGGCCATCTCTACCCTTGACACTTGACGTTAGCGTATGTTGCTCCATTGTGTAGAGGAGACATTACGTTATTTCTTGCTTACCTTTCGACAGGGATCCGGTATGTCTATCGTTGGCATGACGGTGGGTATAGAAAGCTGTTGACTTTGGTGATTTCTGTAAGGTGTGTAAGGTTGAGGTGAGCTGACTGGGATTCCATTATCTTGCCAGTTGAAATCTGATATTGGAAGACCGTGTGATTTGGCTTGTCTTTCGAGTTCCTGCAACGACAAAGGGCACTTTTATTTGAGCATCGAAAGTATCAGGTCACCTAATCAAACAATACAATTCAGAATATCACCAGTGATTTGACTAAAGTAGTTGCGAAGAGAGAAAACTAAGTACTAAGGTACCCCTATTCCATTGTCAGCTACATAATCAAGTCAAATCGTTTTTTATGGTGATTTGATTCCATGGTTTCGATTCCAGCCTTAGAATCGATTCCTTCAATTCGGTCATGATTCCAATTCCAGCCTAGGAATCGCTTCCTTCACGATCCATTTCGACTCCAATTCATTTTGGCTCCAATTTCAGCTCCAAGCAGTATCGTTCCTTACGATTTTTTCGACCATGGGAAGCGAAATCGAAACCACCGGAATCGATTCCTTCGGTTCGTTCACGATTTCAATTCTGGCTTCCAATTCAATTGCTTCCTTTCCTTCACGATTCCAATTCCTCCCTCAATTCGTTCACGATTTCAATTTTGGCTTCGAAATCGATTACTTGCTTTCGTTCACGATTCCAATTCCAGCCTCGGAATCGATTCCTTCGATCCGTTCACGACTCCAGTTCCGGCCGCGGAATCGATTCCTTCGATCCGTTCACGATTCAAATTCCGGACACGGAATCGATTCCCTCAATTCGTTCACGATTTCAAGTCTGGCTTCGAAATCAATTGCTTCCTTTCGTTCACGATTCCAATTCCAGCCTCGGAATCGATTCCTTCGATCCGTTCACGATTTCAATTTTAGCTCCGGAATCGATTCCTTCGATCCGTTCACGATTCCAATTCCGGCCTCGGAATCGATTCCTTCGATCCGTTCACGATTCCAGTTCCGGACACGCAATCGATTCCCTCAATTCGTTCCCGATTTCAAGTCCGGCTTCGAAATCAATTGCTTCCTTTCGTTCACGATTCCAATTCCGGCCGCGGAATCGATTCTTTCGATCCGTTCACGATTCAAATTCCGGACACGGAATCGATTCCCTCAATTCGTTCACGATTTCAAGTTTGGTTTAGAAATCAATTGCTTCCTTTCGTTCACGATTCCAATTCCAGCCGCGGAATCGATTCCTTCGATCCGTTCACGATTCTAATTCCGGACACGGAATCGATTCCCTCAATTCGTTCATGATTTCAAGTCTGGCTTCGAAATCAATTGCTTCCTTTCGTTCACGATTCCAATTCCAGCCTCGGAATCGATTCCTTCGATCCGTTCACGATTCTAATTCCCGCCTCGAAATGGATTCTTTCGATTCGTTCTCGGTGAGGATTCCAGCCTCGAAATTGAGATGTTCAGGATTCCAATTTTGGCCTCGGTATCGATTCCTTCGATTCGTTCACGATTCCAATTCCGGCCTCCGAATCGATTTTATATATGCTATTTATCACCCTGTACTATTTTCGTTTGCCTCTTTTGTAATTTCTTGTTCCAGGACAAGTTAGCAGACCTCCATACAGCATTGTTATTTCATATAAAGCAAATCAAATTCCTAGTAAACAATAAATTACAAAGTTCAACCAGCGTTAGGTTTCTGATGAATCGCTGCAGCAATTTTTTCTATATGCAAAGTTCAAAGTTTAATAGCTCGCTATTCGTTTCAGATGAATCCTCTTTGAAAATGGATGAATACCCATACATCACGATTTGTATCAAATATAATCTAGATAGTTTAACTCAACACCTGCGTAAATCTTCATGCGATAATTGCCTTAAAATTGCTTCCCTCATGTCTTAAAAAGTCTAGTTTTCAAAGTAGAAAAAGCTTTCTCATTAATATCTCGATACTTCTGCCTAATTTTGTTGAATTTTGGCAACGTTGGTCATTGCAATAAGACGCTAAGTTACCAATATTTAGAAGATAGTCATGAATCCCAGTGGCGTCTCAAAAGGCAGTTGTACGAATAATATCGCCACTGACTTTGGAAAAACACACACATATATATATATAATTTCCGATGTCAATAGACGATTCGAAAATCTCGATTTGAGTTGCTCAATTTAATCCCCACCACCCAAAAATTGATTTCTGTATATATGCTTAAATCCTAAAAAACGTTTTTACCGATGTATACAAATTAAGATTACCTGTACTCGGAGTTGAAGTCTTCTGTTAATACTTTCCATCTGTTTTTGTCTAGCTTCTTGCTGCTTAAGTCTCTGTACTTCATTTTTCAGACATTTTATGTACTCAACGGACGATTTTAGTATCGTACCCTTGTTCGGGCGCACGTCTCTCACTATTTCGTAATAGGGATCGTTGTTTTTTGGTAACAATGTACCCAGCTCCTTTATTCGGTCGTTTATATTGAATCTCCTTCGTCGCTCGACTGCAAAATAAAAGCTAAAATTAACGTAAGTGCATACTCACCAGGTTGATACAAGAACAGCGAAAAATGTTATACATGTAGTGATCTACTTTGTCCTACAATGATTTTGGAAATACCCCTTGGTTTCGCACATACAGACCCCTAAAAGGCGTAACGTGGTGGTGTACATGGATCGCATTCAGCCCATTTAATTCGCCTTAAAAAAGGCAACAATTTTGGAAAACTTCATCTTTTGTATGAAAAAATGGATTCTTGTTAAAATGAACCGATTATGAAATAAACACTATTATTTCAATATTATTTTTTGGCTTTTGAACATTTTTACTTGACGTTTCTCAAACAATAGGCAAGAAAAGAAATTCCCGGCCAGCAGGTAGTTTGTGACCTTTTATAAGTTGGGTAAACGATAAACCGTTCAATGAAAGCTAATAATATCTAATGCTTTTTATATTCCATATTATTTAAGGATTATAATTAACTAACACAATAGAACTGAATACTTTACTGTACGTCTAATCAAACTAAAATATTTGAAATACCAATGTATATATGTCTTTTAATATTAGATATGTTATAGTGCCCACTTAATATAAATCATAATAATTGGATAGGAAACTACATAATATAATAACTACATAAAAAACTAGACCAATGATAATACATGATAAGCTATGAGCAATGAACACATAAATATTTAAGTACATTTTCGCAAATTTACATGGTGAGCGGGAATATTGATTCATATGGTGGTTAATTTTCAGTTTTACAATATATATTTATGAAGGTTCACTTAAGCCGGTAGCTCTTTCTTCTTAAAAAATACGTTGCACCACACATTTCAAAGGCAGATTGCGATCTGCCTCACTCTCGTGTCCATGTTTGATAATCAAACGTGTTTGATACATATTCATTCATACTTTTTAATACAAAGATTAACTTACTCATATTATGGTTATCTTTTTTCTGCCTGTCTTTCGCCAATGCATGTAGTTCCGCGTCACTAAGAAGAAAAGGTTCGTTTTTGATGCCGAGGTCATTTCCACCCAGCGAGCTGTCTTTAAATCCATCGGAGGCTAGAGAACTCGACTCCAATGACAGCAGATCATCTATTAAATCTTCAGCCTGAAACAACAAAACATTTGAATGCAAATTATATTCTGGCTCATTGAGAGGCATTGAGATCTTCGATTTCAAACAACTAATAATAGTAATAATAATAATTTATTGATGTTAAATACACAGAAAGTGCTTACACAGGTCAACATACAGGTATTACTATATTTGAGCTATGGAAAACGTCAATAACTAATGATTTTATATTGTTAGGCAGCAGATTAAAAAATGTAATGCCATAAAAGTTTGTTCGAACTCTTGAGTTTTCTAGGCGGTAGTTACGAGTATTGCGACAAATGTCGTTTCTATTTCGTGTTCATATAACAAATATTTAACAACTTTAAAAACTTTTTCATCTTTTATTTGTCGCAACGTACATAAAAATGAGCAAAACACGAAACCTAGATTTGAAAGGACGCCGAAAAAACTACTGTCACTCTCGTCAATCATAATTTCATTGAATGGTTTTTGTGTCACGATTTAAAACAAATAATTGAATGTTATAACATGGTATTCCCAGAGTTTTTGGTAATCATCCTGAGTAGTTAATGTTTATAATATGTATACCACGAACCTGCATTTTAATTGAGATTCCCACACTTGAACACATATTGATCACAACAATAAGCTTCTTGGTGATTATGAGGGTTATACAATAATTGAAGACAGAGTGTAGATTCTGTGGGTCAAGGTCCCAATTTTTATTTTTAGATGTTTCAAGTGTAAAGTGAATTATGGTTCTCTCAAGTTGACCGTTTTTGGCTTATAACCGAGAAATCCTCATAATGGCCATTTTTCATGCTTAAAAATAGTAGTGTTTTTAACCGAGGTTTTAAGCAACGAAGATTGCGATTTCAAGGCTTTCAAAGTTTATATCACTTGAAACTTGACAGCGGTTAACTTTGAAGTATAGTTATTGAAGATATTTTTGTTCAGAATGATTCAAAAAAACCGAAAACACATTGTCCCTACCTCTAAATTTTTTTCAAAAATAATCAGGATCCTGTGAAGTTTTAGCGATTTTTCGTTTTATGCCCTTTTTTCTGTCGACACCGATTTTTATAAACTACAAAGCTTTTGCGTTCTTGGCATAGTAGTGACATTGTTTAAAAATTTAATCGAAATCCCACAGACCGATAGACAGACCAACTGAAATGAGTGAGATGGTTTGTCGTGATATAGCATCTAAAAAATATTCGAAATTTTTCGCGAGGTCAAGATTTTCTCCCAGGAATGCAAAGCTTTCGCCTCATCTAAGGACCAAGATCATAGGAATAAAACAGGAAGAAGGAAAACTTACTTTCATATTGTCTTTATTCCTATCTCAGTTGTTATAATAATGTATTTTCGGGCGTTCTTAAGGTGGGGCCAACGAATAGGTTAGAAGAAGCCAAGCCTATATGTTTACTTTGCATTGTTTGTCGCCGAATTTGCGTAGTTTTAGCATAACCTTTTGACTCATTTGTCTACCATTGCCCACCAAAGTGACAGCGTTGTATCAACATAACATTTACAGGTGGAAACATCTGCCTTCATTGGACGTGTGCCGCTCTTTGCAAATCACGTAAAAAGTTCCATGCCCTGAATTCTTCTAACAGCAAAACTACCAGCAAACACTCGCATTTTTAAAAAATAACACTAAAAATTCAAATTTAATAGCAGGAATGTCAAAAAATTGACTACTCTCTTTTACTACTACACCAACACAACACTTCAGAGCCCTCCTCCATGATGCCACCGCACGACAGACCTGCCTGACGTTGGCCTACCATCGTAACCGTTTCGAACTTCGTATATCCAGTACTGGCCTATACGACCGCTCCTTTGTCCCGAGGGTGTCGAGATTGTGGAACAATCTACAAGAGGAAGCTTTTCCCAGTTCTACTAACCTTAGGCAGTTCAAAAACCGGATCAATAAAATTTGTTTGGGATCCTCGTAGTAGTCCTGGCAAACATATCCTTGACCACATCCTTCTGCCTTGTCTGAATTCGTTCGGTGGGACTAGCGCGACAGCCGAGTGGAAAAACTTAACCCAATCGTCGGCTGCACAGTTGAAAATTTTGGTTTCCTGGCCTCCAGCGCAAATGAACCTTGATTGAAAAACATTTTTTGGTTTCTTACTTCTGCGGACAGACCGTGTCAGTACGCCGCTGGCGCGAATTCCCGGAAGGTCCGAGCAAGTCAAAATCCAGGAAATCAGACACCTGTTATTGGTCGGGATATGCAATTGTTCTGTTCATTTGTTTTTAAGGGTTTAGTCGCGGGTTTCATATTTGCATATCATTTTCGGAAGCCTGATTTTTTATCGATTTCATCGGGAAAACTTAACGGTGATCGACGACGTGAACCGTTAGGATGTTAAGTAAGTGTCCGGGAGTGATTCGCGAGCTCGGGATGACTGATTCGTGCGAAATTAGTGGTGATAGTGGTGATAAGAAAATGTTCCGGTCGACTCGTATATGCACATGCTGCTATGGAAAATGGCGCCAAACGGTGAGCTCAGATTTTTGTTAATATTTCTATTCGCATTACAAACGCAAAAATTCATAGTTCAAAGGTTGAAAAATGCTACTTTTAAGAATTGAGTTATAATTTCCGGTTGTGTTGACAGAGGAAGTGTATAGAGGCCCTTCAACGTGTACAAAAGTTGAGTGTTAGAGGTACGATAATTTAGTACTCCTTTCTGCTAACTTTAAATATATTTAGCTGTCCGAGCAAGTCAAAATCCAGGAAATCAGACACCTGTTATTGGTCGGGATATGCAATTGTTCTGTTCATTTATTTTTAAGGGTTTAGTCGCGGGTTTCATATTTGCATATCATTTTCGGAAGCCTGATTTTTTATCGATTTCATCGAGAAAACTTAACGGTAATCGACGACGTGAACCGTTAGGATGTTAAGTAAGTGTCCGGGAGTGATTTGCGAGCTCGGGATGACTGATTCGTGCGAAATTAGTGGTGATAATGGTGATAAGAAAATGTTCCGGTCTACTCGTATATGCACAAGCTGCTGTGGAAAATGGCACCAAACGGTGAGCTGAGTTTTTTTGTTGATATTTCTATTCGCATTACAAACGCAAAAATTCATAGTTCGAAGGTTGAAAAACGCTACTTTTAAGAATTGAGTTATAATTTCCAGTTGTGTTGACAGAGGAAGTGTATAGAGGTCCTATAACGTGTACAAAAACTGAGTGTTAGAGGTACGATAACTTATATATATTTAGCTGTACGGTAAATGTAGAAAGAGAATGCATAACCTGGTGCGTTTTTGGTTGGTATTGTTGTTACAGTCAATAATGGGGATTGCTTAGGTAACTAGTGAAAAAAATAATTTTGTTACGAAAACAGTGGCGTGCCATATTGTCCTTTAAGAAAAAATCGGAGGTTCCACAGATAAGCTTATATCGTTTTTTTTCTCACCCATAAGTTTTTACTTTACAAAACTGAAACACTTTCTATACGTGGGAAGTTATTTGAAATATGTACGTTATTGAGTTACCCTGTATTTCTCTTACTTCATCTAAACATATCAGAGGCTTGAGCAAACAATCCAACAATCAATTGGCAATGTCGTTTCTGTTTAAAAACCTTGTTTGGAATATACATCTGTAGATAATACTATACATACTGAATTTCACGGTCAATGGCAACTTTAAGTAAACTAATTTTATATAATAAAGTATAATGCATTGCGAAATAGAAAATGAACGTATTACTGTATATTATTTCTGTTATTTTGTGAACTATCGGCTATAACTACATTATACGTGGGTTATGCGAAATAATTTCAGATGTTGTAGAAACATTTACAACCCCTACCCATTCAACCCACCAGTTTTCGGATAGGAGTCTCCAAAGTATAAAAACGAACTTTGAATGATTTTCATTTTCTCCACTGCAAATCGATCGATTTTCAAAAGCTACAAATCTTTTCCATCCTCAGCATAGTAATCAGTAGTAACCTTGTATTAAAATCCACTTTCCAAGTAGAAGGACAGACAGATAGATCGTTGGAAATGAGATGGTCGCCAATTGGCGCAAGAAATACAAGTATGATAATGTTGGAACAAGCTCCTACCTTACTATGATCCATAAAAGCAAAAATTCCGGTACATATTAGTCACTTATAATCTGTTCCTACAATTTTGGAATCTATTTTCACCTGAAAAGACGGAATAGGTGTAATTGTGCCACATTTTTGAGAGACTATAGATACTAAATATTTGCTTACCAGTTGTAAATCAATTTGACTGTGTATTTAGTGATAATGGCAAAAGATGCAAGAATAATTTACGATTTTATGATGCAAACGTATTAAAATAAATTAAAAATGTTTGAACTAACAGTTTTGCTCCACATTTGTGTCGCCAAAAAGTCCCGAAATTTTTATGAGATGTTTATGAAATCGTGGAGGTCGGTATTATGAAAAATTGGAGAGTATTTGTTTACCGCATAAAATATTGTCATTGGGAAACTTTATGTAGAAAATAACCAGACGTTTTTACTTCCCACGCCACTGGCGAGGAGGTACTGTAATCGCGAAAAGTTACAAAATGTATTTCCTCAAAAATTCAAAAACTCATATTGCCGATATAAGTTTATCTGTGTTTAGCGGTAATAAACCTTTTGACATAGTTTCGCTATCATTACCAGAATCTCATTTTTGACTTGAACATAAAAACGAGCAATATAATCGATTGTATAATTTTACGCATAAATTACAATTACAAATGGAGTGGATAAAATTGAACATGACCGAGAATATGACTTTAGTTGATCAAGGTTTAAGATATCCACAATTTTTTAAAATGCTGATAAGTAGTTCGTCGAGCTAAGATAGCATATTCAGGTAAATGGGTCATTTTCATTGGTATACTGATACGGAGTAAAGCAATACTTTTTCACTTCTTTTATTCTGAAGCAGAAGAAAATAAATGTTTGTGAGTTTAAAATCCGCAAACGTTTCCCTCCAACCCAATATAAGCAATAAATCGCCAAGTTGGTAACGT